ATATGCTTTCCGGGACTATAATCCCTTATATATATGCAACGACCACCTCCTACCACAGAATTTATTCGGACGACTCACGGTTAAAATCTGGCACACATAGCAAACTTTTCATTAAGGACTACGGATTAATATTTTTTATTTCAATATAGATCTTAAGTAACATTTATGCCAGTCAGTATTTTATTTAATGATTCTGCAAAAATATTGCGTGTAAGTTAGTGCGCCGTTCAGTGCGTGGCCGACAGACAAGATGAACGGGAGTGTGATGCAGGAGTTACACCCACTAGGCCTCACCAGTTCCCGCCGGAGATCGTCTGCGAGAGATGTTACTGAACTTGAACCAAATGTTCCGGCAAACCCAACACGTTATGAGAGGTTTGTTCAAGGTAAGAGACTACGTTGGCATATTTTCAATAATAAAGTGGTATTGTGGGGTTTCGAGATATTGGTTCACACTCAGGATGGGATGGAGAAAGGAAACTCACAATGTGCTCTCTGTATACATATTGTATTGGATGTACAATGCAGCTTGGTGCTGGGAAGGCAGCATGGTTACAAGCGTTGAGTAGAGAGAGCTGGTTGGTGAGGGTGCTCAGAGGAGGACCAGCTTGTGGGTCGCCATGGTCGCCGGCTGGAGCGGGAGCCGCCAGGCAGGAGTGGAGGAGGGGGTGTTGCTTGCTGGTGGCTGTTGATAGACAGATAGAAAGAGGTAGAAACAGAAAGGTCACCACGAGGTGAGGTCTTATATAGCGGAGGTAGGCGTGGCCTAATAGTTGAACTCAGTCATGTAAGGCGGGGCTGGTTGCTGACCTAGACCACGAGGTATACACTGGGGAATTCGAGGGTCGGCTAGTCAGCGACAAACGGCTTTTGTAGGGGAGGAATCCACTACAGTATCTCGTAGGAAGGAAAAGGGTAATGTTTAGGAGACTACAGCCTTTATTAAAAGTAGGATATATTTTAAAAGAAAATTCATCCAAATATTTCACGGACAAATATACGGTTAATATAATATATATGAATATGTATCAATTTTAAAATTTTAAATACAAAGTTATTACTGGCGTTAACTCGTGTTGGGAATGCGTCTTCGTGTTATAGGCTGCTACTTGCATTATCTGATACATCTCTATTACATAATCCACGTAATCTGGAGTCGTCTGCTTTCTCAGACGGTCTTCCTTATTCGTGTCCTTTAGGTCGGTTGCCAGACCTCGATGTTCATAATTGAATAGTTTCGTTCGCGTGGATGTCTATCTTGAGAGGTTCCCATACTGAATTGGTGTGTTTTAATAATAAAATTTCTACTTTTTACTTTTTTTTATCCTCTTCACCACTGATCGGCTTGTTAGCCGCTTCGGCGATCGGTCACGTCTCTGTTACGCACTGTTGACAAGTATTGGGTAGGCACCGGCTCCTGAACGTATCTGAATCTGCTCCAGTACTTGTCAAGTCTGGTCTTGAAAGAGCTCTCACTCGGTGTCGTCACAACACACTCTGGCAGATTGTTCCAAGAGTTCACAACTCTCACTCCGAAAAAGTTACCCCTCACAGTTTTCTGGGCTTGCTGCTTCTTCAACCTTGAGCTGTGACCCCTTATGGGGCTAGCGTCCGCCAGCTTCAGATAAGGGCACTCGACTGATTAGTGCCCTTGAGATGATTATACACCCCAATTAGGTCCGCCCTTGCCGGCTCAGCAGTGACATAAGCAAGTTTGCGGATGACACCAAAATAGGGCGGCAAATTAATTCAGGGCAGGATGCAAATGCATTACAGGAGGATTTGAATAAACTGCAGGGGTGGTCTGAAAAATGGCAAATAAAATTCAACACCAGCAAGTGCAGTGTGCTTAATATTGGAAGAACAAATACTGTCAATGTATACAGCCTTAACAACATCAACCTAGAGAAGTCGACTTGTGAAAGAGACCTAGGGGTACTGTACTGTACTTGTAAGCCCGGACCTACGGCCTAGAAAACAGTGCGTTAATGTTCGAAATAAGGCAAACAGAGTATTGGGTTTTCTATCTAGAAGTGTAAGTAATAAGAGTGCAGAGGTCTTATTGCAACTATATCTTGCGCTAGTCAGGCCGCACCTCGATTATGCGGTTCAGTTCTGGTGCCCTTATTATAGAATGGATATCAATTCACTAGAGTCGGTGCAGCGAAGAATGACGAAAATGATTCCGGGACTTAGAAACCTTCCATATCAGGATAGGTTAAAGAAACTTAACTTGCATTCCCTAGAAAGACGAAGAGTGTGGGGAGATGTGATAGAAGTATTCAAGTGGGTGAAAGGAATCTATAAAGGTGATATAGATAAAGTTCTTATAATATCCGAGCACGATAGGACTCGGAACGACGGATTCAAGTTGGATAAGTTTAGGTTTAGGAGGGAGATAAGAAGGAACTGGTTTACAAATAGTGGTGGACGAGTGGAACAAGCTTAGCAACTTTGTAGTAAGTGCTGGAATGCTGGAAAGTTTCAAAGGGAGGCTGGATAGATTCATGGATGATGGGTAGTAACTCGACAGGAGCTGCCATGCACAGGCCAACCGGCCTATTGCAGACTCCTTATGTTCTTATATTCATTAATAGTATGTCATATTCATGAGGGTGATATCCCTGTTCACTGCCATGCAGGACAGTGGTTCATATACAGTACAGTATAAAATATTATATTTGAGGACTAATCAGTGTGGGCTACCAAATTTAGGATAGACCACAAGAATGTCCTCTAGCACTCCTGATTCAATGTCGTAATTACATAGTTCATGATACAGTAAGGCAGGTGGCCTGAAGTCTTTGACAGTGTCACATTCAATGATATAAAGTTCAAGCGTATGTTGTAAAGGTTTATCACAAAGTCTACATGCTGAGTGTTCCAGTACAGTATCGGTACAACGCCACTTAACTTGCCAGATGTGTCTGTATCCTAGCCTAATTCTGGCCATGACTATGTAGTGTAGGCTATGTAGGAGATCTCGCACTAAGGATGGAGGTGAGCAGGGAAACTCACTATGGCGTTTTCTATATATATGTTACATGTATAATGCAGTGCTAGGGAGTTGCTGTGTGGTGAGGAGCTTGTTGAGAGGAGGTCTTGTCTGTTTGAGAGCGTTGAGTAGAATCCTCTTGGTTGGTTGGTTATACAGAGAGAAGAGAGCATTAACTCTGAGAGTACAAGAAGGGTATAGTACAAGGTAAAGTTCAGAAGTGGGAAATAGAGGAGGTTAACAGCAGGTGGGCTATCCACCTTGCGGAGACGGGTTTTTTTTGTCTTCCGTCAACAGTGCTGCCTTAGTGGTTCATGGGTTAGGGAAGGCCGGTCTCAGCCAAGCTAAGCTAAGTTGTTCTAAGTTGTCCTTGGGGCATATTATGTTTGGGGGGGGGGTCCCTCCAGGTCCTTGTGTGACTGGAGAGTTGTGCCCATCTTTTGGTTCTTTTTTATTGTTATTATATTGTTATTGTGTATATAGAAGCTCTGGTTCTTCGTTATCATTTTTCGGCTCGGGTATTTATACAAGTCTGCCGGAAGTGAGCGGCGCTGCTGATTGGTTGAGGTGAAAAGTGGAAACTGGCCAATCACCTCGCAGTCCGAAAGCTAGGCTTGGTCTGAGGAACTTGCCGCGGGGTCGGCTGGTCAGCGACAAATCGACTTTGTAGGGGAGAGTATCCAATACAACTGCATCACATGGTCTGGTTCTATCCTTGTGCTTGCCATACCAGTACCTCATCACAAAATTTGTCATATTTACTGATGCTACAACTGTCAGGTTTCTCTGCATTGTTCAGTTCTTCTAGATCAGAGTTCATGTTTTTTTTTACTCGTATGTTTTAAGTCTACATTTTCTTTCTTCCATGCTTCATTGGCCAGTCTATCAGCAGTCATGATACCTAATTCCAAAATGGGATGGAATCCACACAAATTCAATATGAAAGTTGTTCTCCTAAGCAGTTATCAGATTTCTTTTAATATCACAGACAACTTTCGACTTAGAGCCTGACGGTCTGTTCATTGATTTCAACGCACTTTGGAGTGACAGAATTTCATCCCACCTCCATTTTCTTTAAGATAGTCTACGGCTTAAGTAGATTCCCATTAATTCAGTTTGTGTTGTTCAGTCTTAGCATCTCAATTTCTTTATATACAGCATTACACATGCAGAACCTGTTCTACCTGTGTTTGTCTGCACAGAACCACCAGTAAAAGTATAATTCACTTAATTTAATGCTCTCTATGTGACTGTTAATAGTTTCTAGTGTCACACATCTCACCACATTGGTGTTTAACATTTGCTTACCACTAACAGGAGTGTAATAAATAGGAACCGATACTGTATATCCTGCCAAGGTGGAATGGCATTAAAGGCTTTGTCTGGAGTGATTGGGACATTCATTTTCAAGAGAGCTGCAACACTTTTATGAAGCCATGCCCCAGAGAGAGTCTTTTGCGGAAGGCTGGTGAGGTAGTCAGGATTACTTAGAACATCAACTCATTTTTTAGCTGTAGTTTGGGGACCATTGTTCTTCAAAAGTTTGACACAAAACATAGTATTAAGTAGACCTATCCTCTCAGATAGAGAAGGCAACCTGAGCTCTTTCCTCATATTTACAATTCTGGTAGATATTGGGCATCCTAGGAAGATGTGCATGGCATCATTTTATACCTGGAACTGGCAGATGCCTGCCCCACTAGGGGTCACAGCTTAGAGGCTGAAGAATGCAGAAGCTCAGAAAATTGTCAAGGAAAACTTTTTTGGAGTGTGAGTTGTGAACTCTTGGAAAAATCTACCAGTGTGTGACCACATTCAAGACAAGATTTGACCAGCACTGTCACATACAGATGCATTCTGTAACCAGTACTTGGCAAAATGTGTGTAACAGAGATGTGACCAACCAGTGGCAAAGAGGATAAAGGAAGAGTAAAGTAAAAAAGACCTGTAATGTACCTACATTCCATTTTTTATCGTCTCTGACATTGCATAATTATTGTTTTAGTGGCGAAGATAAAAGCATGGGAGTTGTCACTAGTACTGGCAGGCTTCATCATCCTGAATGTGAAGGCCATCATCCTCCTGGTGATGGATGTGTACCGGCTCATCATCCCTCATGAGGAAAAGGTGTTGCAGGGCCAACTGGTGTTGGTAAGTGCATTATACTGCTTGTAGAATTGTTTGTCATATACTGTACTGAACCATATTATTATACAGTAGATGTGCTACTATTGAGTACTATATATTGAAAGTAAGTTACTTTACAGTATTTATTAGTTTTATTTGTGGTAGAAATAAATACATTGTACTGTATTAATATATGATACAAAAGTGACATAACATTTGTATAGTTGAGGACTAGGACAAAGCAAGAGCATCTGACTTGTTTGTTCAACTGACTAGAACTGAGAGGCTAATCCATGAAATGGCATTTTACAGCCAGTCATGTGACATTTGAAAAGGACACACTTTGGTGTGATAATTAAGACTCAACCATCATCTGTAAGTGGTAACTACAGTACTGTATTACCTCAGACCCTTTTTTGTTAAAGGGATTGTTACTATAGGTCAAGTAATTTTTAAATTAGTTGCAGTCAACAATGTTGGGGCTTTCAACTTGTACTGTACTCTTGTATGGCTATACAGGACTGAATTTGAGTCACCTGAGCCTGCCATCAGACTATAAAGTCAAATAATTTTAAGTTTTTTAAAAATAATCTGGGTTAACACAATACGTAATCTTCAAAATACAGTACTGTATTTCATTATTGCCAGTGGGAAATAAACATCAACCTTGATCATGTTCTTACATCCTGTTTACAGATCACTGGAGCTGGCCAAAATCTTGGCAGGGAGTTGTCACTCCAGTTGGCAAATTTTGGAGCCAAGTTGATTCTCTTAGATATTAATGAGGTGAGTTAATTTCAGAAGAAAGGAAGATCACTTAATTTTATTAATTTACTTTTTTAGAGTAAAAGTTATCCTGAACATTATTTTTAATTTTTTGTGCCTGTATGTATATTTGATTGATATGGAGAGCATATATATATATATATATATATATATATATATATATATATATATATATATATATATATATATATATATATATATATATATATATATATATATATATATATATATATATAATTTTATTTACTTTTTTTTCATGACTTTTTCTAATCCTCTTATACCACTTGTTGATCTAGGAGCAAAATGAAACCACTGCTGATATGATCCGTGATGCTGGTGGTGAAGCTCACACCTTTACTTGTGATGTATCTGATCATAAGTCAGTTGCTTCTGTAGGTGCTAAGGTAAATGGCCTGTTAAATTTTTTATGCTAGATGCATATTTTTGTATAAAATTCCTAGCTATAAAGTTAAATTTTTCCATTATGATTTCCTCCTGTAATTAGGAAATACAGGGTGTATTGCTTAATCCACATATGAATGGAAAATGTGAAGTAATCCCTCCCTAGTCCTGGGTTTACCAGGTATCCCCTGATCTACCTGATAGGTTCCAAGTGTTCCCTGAAGAATGCAGTGATGGGTAGGGAAACACCGGGTAACACTGAAGTCCGTTTATTAAAGGATAGGAGAAATACAAGTGGGGACTAGCGTGTGCCATGCACGGCTCACAAAGTCAGACTGAGACTGCCTTGCCATATGGCAGCCTCGGGGCAATGTTGCCACATAACGTGCAGTGTTGCCACGTGATAATATATATAAATGCTACTCGGCACAGTAGCTTATATACAGGGTTGCTACTCGGCACAGTAGCTTAGATACATAACCTACACTACCATAGGGTAGAGTTCCTGAAAACCCGAACGTAACGTATATTGCATGCCTTTAACATGTCCAATACAGACCTGTAACACAGAGAAAAATGATCATACACAACTTAAATAGATACAAAAATTAAACAACACTCACCATGTTAATAATACAGTATATAAACATGCCTGGTCACAATCACATGTCCCCTCCAAGGATAAGTGAACTCTTGTTGCAAGAGTTACACTGATCACTTCACAGTCATCTGGCCCTGCCAACAAGAGAAGAAAATTTACAAAAACAGGCAGAAAACTGCAACTGTAGGCTATGCTGCTCACTAAATCCTCAGTGTTGGTCAAGCCGCTTGGAGTATTACACGCGTGACTCGCCCAGAAAATTTGAAAAGTTATTTTTGTGTTGGACAGTTTTTCTTCATTTTGGACGGGAAAGTACCCAAGTGAAAAAGTATACTTTTTATTCCTCCCTTCAGTCAAAATACCGCTTGCTTACAAAAACGAAGACAGAAAGTGATATACGGTGTATGAAATGTAACAGAGAACTTAGCATTGCACATGGTGGAGATAATGATACGTATTGCAAAGCATCTGATCTCGCAGAAACACAAAGCTGCTGATGTCAGTGCCTTGTCCGGCAAAATAGTCACTACCATTTTTAAGTTTGTCCCCAAGCACTAAGGATCTGGAGGTGGCTGCTGTTGAGGGTTTGTGGGTCTACCATACAATCAAAGAGAATCAAAGCTTCCGATCTAATGACTGTGCGTCAAAAATCTTTCAGAAATGCTTTGAGCCAAAATTTAGATGTGCCAGAACAAAATGCCATGCTGTTGTTGCAAATGTATTTGCACCATTTGCCTTATCAGAATTGGGTAAATAGTTGAAGGATGCTCATAGTGTAACAATTATAACTGATACAAGCAACCATGGGAGCACCAAAATCTCCCCTGTACTGATTTGCTTCTTTCAACCCTATGAAGGTGTTCAAGTAAATCTCAGCCGGAAGAAACCTCGGATAATCTTGACAAGAAATTAGTTGCTTTCTGTGGTGATAATACAAACTGTTAATAACATTTTAAGGAAATTTAATACTTATTTAGGCAGAGAATGTATTGGTATTGGTTGTTGTGCCCACATTTTACATGATGCTGTTCAGACTGCCTGTGACTATTTGCCAATTGATGTGGAAACAGTTGTTGTTAAGATACAGTATATTTATATTTCTACTTTTATACAGTTAGAGTAGGAGACCTGAAGGACTTCTGCGATTTTGTGGAAATTGAATATAAACAGCTACTGGGGTACAGTAAAACAAGATGGTTAGCACTAATCCTTAAAGTTGTATTTTATCAGCCAAAGCAAATGTCCATTGTGCAAAAGTTTTTTTTTTTGAGAACCATTGTGCAGAAATCGGTTTCAACTTTGTGCATAGTCAGTCAGCCACCTTCCATCAAGTTATCTCAAAGATTGAAGGGGAACATACAACAGCAGTTATAAGTTATGATCACAATCAACGATTTGAAGCAAAATCTGCAATCCAAGAAATACAATGTATTTTTGCCACATTCAGTTAGGGTTCTAGCAAAGAAACTTGAAGATGGATTAATTATCTTATCTGCATTGAAGAAAACGGTTACAGAATTTTATGACACGTGTTCAGTATTTAGGCTAGCGGTCAGGTCACTTGCAAGACTTTGCACATATGCAGTGGACCTCATTAAAACAAATATCAAAATGGCAAGACGTTCAGAAACAATGGATTTTCCTGCAGAAAAGAAATTCTGTGATTCAAAGTTTGATACGGAGTTATTTGACGAGTTTTACTGTGTTACAAATTATATTTCAGAGAAAATAGTGTCAGAGTGGAATGCAGCTAAAGTATCTATAGACCAGCACTGAGTAGAAATGTTCACTCACATTAATAACATATAAAAATTGGTTCAGCTCATTCTGTGTCTTCCTGGAACGATTTCATCTACCCAACGTGTTTTCTCTCTAATGAACAAACTGTGGATTTTTGAAAAGTCACAACTAAAAGTCCCAACCCTCAAAGCCTTACTAGTCACGAAAAGTTAACTTCAAGCAAATCTGTCTGGAATTCTACAATATGCTAAGATTAACTCCAGAGATGTGAAAACAAGTCTTATTCAGTGAAAAGTACGAGCATTAGAAGGTAAGTAGGCAAATACAATTATTATGTACAATTGCTTTGGTTTTGGATCCAGTATACAGTCAACCCTCACTTTACGCGGTCCCACATTCTGCGTTTCCACGTTTACGCGGTGCCCTGCCGGAACCAAGGATGCTCACATTCCGCGGTGAGTGTACCCCTTTACGCGGAGAGCGGCTGGCGAGCCGCGCCGTTTTTGGATCCAAACCTCCCGCCATCTCTCCCGCCATCCGCCATGTTGTGTAAGCGGCGCGAGCATGGTGCGCACAAGGTCGCCCAGTCATCAAAACATTACCGAGTTCTTCACCCGCCACCCACCACAGCCGGCCCAAGTCAGTGATAATTATAGTGAGGATATGGACTTTGAGGGGTTTGACAAAGAGGCCCTGCAAGCCTCTGTGGTGGATAGTGATACAATTGATACAAGTGATACAGGTGAGGGCCAATAATCGCCCTCTGCCTCGGAACCAACCGCCCATCCCTGTGTGCCCAGCCATCTTTTCTACTAATGTAAGTGTTAAAAAACCTAATATTATGATATTTCTCTTAATTATTAATTGTGTGTGCATACCATCATAAAGTTAAGATAAAATTTTTACTACAACATAGTTGTGTGTCGTCAAAAAGTGGAGTTTGTGGGTCGGCCCGGTCTCTATTTCAATTACAGTGGGGTATGCTATAACGAACAGATTCTACTACGAATATTCCTATAACGAACGGTTTTACCTATAAAATTGAGAATGCTATAACGAACGAAACTCCTACAACGAACATTATTTAATTTTTTTTTCTTCTAATTTATTGTTTTTTTATTACAAATATTAATGATATTCTTTATTTCAGGGGTTTAGATGCATCTTTATGCACTTTTTTACAATTTTTACAATTTTATATTACAGTATATTTTTCAGTGTTAAGTGGTTGTATTTGGGGGCCTGGAACGGATTAATCCTATAACGAACGAATGCTATAACGAACAAGGTTCTAGAACCAATTAGATTCGTTATAGCATACCCCACTGTAATCCCATATGTTATGTTATTCACTTTACGCGTTTCTCACTTTCCGCGGTACCCTGTGGGTTACATTAACCGCATAAAGTGAGACCCAGTTGTAACTGTATAATTGGTGCTGGTGTATGGATTGTAGGTTTTTTTTTCATGATTTTGGGTATTTCCCACTTTTAGTTTTTAGAAATATGGTTACTTAAAGCAAGAGGGTGTTAAAACCTAGTTAACATTAATGCAGATTATCATAAAACAGATAATCATAAATTGGGGAGTGCTTGTACAGTACTGTGCTCAGTTGTACCAACCATGATATCTAGTTTTAACCAGAAAATAGCTGGCCCAACCCCAGGTGCAGCAAAAACAGTCATTTTTCTACAACTAAAATATGAATCCTGTTCTTACATTGGTTTGGTTATGGTAAAGCTTAGAACATGAAATTCAGTGGTGTGCTGGAGGATGTTGACAGTGCAGGCAGAGGAAGGTGATGAATGGGTAATGTTTGTCTAGTATTTTAGTGGTTAACATATTTTTATTTTACCATCACTTCACACAAAGGATGCGAGCATTGCATCACATGGCTGTTCTTCCTCCTCCCTGTCACTTGATAGATCATGGAGAATTCCATCACTGATGCCTCCTCTTCACCTGCACACACTATATTCCTCGTAGGGTCTTCTGACATATAACAGCTCTGAATCAGTTTCCACGCCCATGCGAACAAATTTGAAAGGGTATATAGGCTTTATTTATTGGGGGGGAGGGGGCACATGGAGTTGCAGAAGAAGTAGACAACTGTGTAGAATTCTTCCTTCTCCCAGGCACACCCACATCCTGCTTGCCACTAACACTCAGTATTTCAGTTTTACCTTCTTCAAGAGAAATACTTGAAACCTATTGTAATGTGCAGAAAAATAAAAATGATATACTTTGGACATGTAATTAGGGATGAGGGGATAATAACAAATGTTTATAGGCTAATTTGAGGGGAAGGCAGAGACGGATGGATGAATTAAATTAAAAACTGACTCCCCAGAGATACAAAACCCTAGGACTGATTGATGCAGTATTGATATTTTTTTGTGTTTTTCCTTTACTAAATCAAATAAATATCTGAGTATGTATTCTAAGTGTTGTTTTGTATAATATAGGTGAGGAAAGAAATTGGTCATCCGGGATATGTGTTCAACAATGCTGGAACTTATGAATACAAGCCATTCCTCTCCCACTCAGCTGAAGATATCCAAAGACTTGTGAATGTTAATCTTCTTGGAAATATCTGGGTAAGACTACTGTATTGCTTTCTACCTTGAATGTAAATTTATGTTGTTACAACATTTTTGCTTGATTTGTAATTTTGTTTATTACACTGTTTCACCAAAAGGGAACAAAAGAATTTGTTACTTTTTGTGTGCAGTCATTTTATCTATCCACCTGAACATCTATTTGTTAAAGCATGGTCTCAGTCAATTCCTTAGAAACTTTGTAAACAAAAGGATTGAACCTGAAATCCCATTTTATAATCGATATGGATCAGTTAACCTCTTACTGTACTACAGTAAAAAAAAAAAACATAATCTGTACCCCTCAAATTCGAAATCCCTCATAATTTGTAATGTGTAGCTATTACAAAATATATATTACAAATTTCGTAATAAAGGTACTTGGTAAAATTTCAAAATATTACAATATACTTGTATATACAGTATTAAAATTTTCATATTTGTTAAAATTTGGGATTTTGAGAAAAATTAACGAATATATATGGTGCACATGTTGCCATGGGATGTGACCGCCCGCTTCAGTGTAAATGAGCATAGTACTGTACGCATACCATGTATGTTAACAAAATTCTGAAGCTACCATAATATACCTAGACAGTTGTACCAACCCAATGGAATAATAACCTGAAATAAAACAATGCTTTACTAACAATGTGACATCTTTCTGGCCCACCCTGTATATAAATACAGTACAGTAATCTGTCCCCTTGTAACACATCACCAACATAATGGATACTATAGGTATGTAAACATTTGGCAGGTGACGAGAGAGTTTCTTGGACACATGATACAGCTTAACCGTGGCCATATCGTCTGTATTTCCTCAGTGTTGGGATTCATTGGGAGAAATAATGTTGTACCATACTGTGCATCAAAGTTTGGAGTGAAAGGTATTTAACTATTAATTTTGTTACTAGCATTTCCAGAAGTACAATTTCAGCTTTTGTGCCATATTTTGTGCACTCCTTTCTGTACTACTCTTCTGCTTGTTTAACTCTATTCAGTTTACCTCTCTGATCAACAATTGTTCTACCTTTTTTATTATTACCTCCTGTATTATGAATATGGCATTACAAAAAATAAAACTTGTATTCATTCTCACTTGCAGTAATAATGTATTTACAGTCTAGTCTTCTTCCATCAACAGACATAGCACTATTCTACAGTAGATTTGTATTTTATTTCTCCCATGTTGCTCACCTTCCTCCAATAGCCTGTACTGAACATAGTGCAACTATCTCTTAATAATGAGTTCACTTCATTGCAGGAATGACAGAAGCTTTAGCTGAAGAGATGAGGATGGAGAGAAGATCTGGAGTGAGGGTTACAGCAGTTCATCCATTCCTTATATCCAACATTGATGATGTTACCCCAAACCTTAAGTATGCATTATATAACATTTTGTTTTGTTAGTGTCTCAAAGTTGATATAATGAAGAAAATTTTTACAAAAGAAAAAAGTGATATTCCATATTATCTAACAGAATTCACTAATACAGGTACTTAATCCATGTACGTAAATTGTGAAAAAAGTACAACCTGGACCATATGCATATATACCGCATGTAGGTCCCTTCCTACAATGTCTGCTTTATCATGCTCACAGTATCCACCTTCCTTCCATACCAAGCTGACCTGCTTTATCCTCAGTGAACTTTTTAAATTTTTTGTGGTACAATTTTGTGTTTATGATGGGGTTAAATGTGTGATATCTTTGGTTAAGTTCTCCTTTGCATAAAAAAGGTTGAGCTAAACTTGGAAGGTAAAACAAACTCATCTTGTGTTTGGAGAATACTGAGAGTGCAGAGTGGTATAATTTTGGTTTGCTTGCTGCCTACAACATAAAAAGTGGAAACCTGAGATTATAAAAACTGACCAGAAAAATCTAGGTTCTACAGTTCATCTCGTGGCTTAAACAAGTGTGTTTAAAACACTGTATGGCCTTATAAAGTAACATGCTATTTAGAATGGGGCCAAAGTATATGATCCTGAAAGGATTATACTGTAACCTAACTAGGTCCACAATGTTCACCTCATCGTGTCTTGTCTTGTCTATGTAGGGAATGGACACTAAAAATAATAGCTAATTCTTCCACAACTTAGCTGGCTCCTCCTTTTTAAAGAAAAGGGTGTTTGAACCATAATAATGTACAGCATCCTCTTTAAAAGTGAATCAACTGGGAACTAACCATAGTTTTGCCACACATTACATTTACACCATTACCAGATCAAGATAAATTTCATAGAGGAAATTTACAAAAGGATAGACAGACATGTTTGCAATAAAATCATAAAGTTTATATGAAACTTAAGATAAAATGACAAGGAAGGTAGGTTAACCCTGAACTATAGTACTGTATTGCATTACAGTACTTTAAATTTTAACAATATTTTTGCTCTGGTAGGTAGATTTCATGACAACACTTACTTTACTTTTACTTTTATCCTCTTCGCCACTGATCGGCTCGTTAGCCGCTTGGGCGATCGGTCAAGTCTCTCTCACGCACTGTTGGCAAATACTGGGCATGCACCGGCTCCTGAATGTACCTGAACCTGCTCCAGTGTTGGTCAAGTCTTGTCTTGAAAGAGCTCACACTCGGTGCCGTCACAACACTTTCTGGTAAATTGTTCCAAGAGTTCACAACTCTCACTCCGAAAAAGTTTGCCCTCACAGTTTTCTGGAATTGCGGCTTTTTCAATCTTGAGCTGTGACCTCTTGTGGGGCGAGCGTCCACCAGCTCCAAGTAAGGACACTCGACTGAGTAGTGCCCCTTGAGATGCTTATTCACCTCAACTAGGTCACCCCTTGCCCGTCTGTAGTATAAGCTAGGCAAGTTCAGGCTCTCCAATCTCTCAGGGTAGCTGAGGTGCCGAAGTGCAGGCATATCTCGGGGACCAGAAGGGGTGACAGTACTCCAGACGGGGAAGCACTTCACTCTTGAAGATCGTTACGAGGGACGGACCGTCTAGATATCTGAACGACCTTCTTATAAGACCCAATAATTTATTTGCCTGGTTTACCTTCTTCTCGCAATGGCCCAAGAACTTCAGTTCATTGTCAACATACACACCTAGGTCCTTCTCACATTCAGTCTCAACTAGTGCAACTTCTTCATCCCGTTGGGACATATGATACGCCTCCTTACCGTTGGTACGCCCCAGGTGCATCCTCTTACACTTCGTGACATTGAATCTTGGCAGCCATTTCTTCGACCATTTCTGGAGCCCACAGAGGTCCTTCTGCAGCTCTTCACAGTCCGCTTGGTTCTTAATTTCCCGAAATAACTTGGCGCCATCGGCAAACATTTGTATGGAGGAGTGTACAACGTCAGGCATGTCATTTATGAAACAAACAAACAACAGCGGGCCCAATACACTGCCCTGTGGTACCCCACTTGTTACAGGAACAGATGATGATTTCGTGCCATTAATCACCGCACACTGCTTGCTGTCATGTAGAAAGTCTTCTATCCACGCTAGGACATTTCCCCGAATTCCGTACCCTTCCAGTTTGATTTTCAGCTTTTCGTGGGGTACACTGTCGAAAGCCTTGGCAAAATCTAGGTAAATATTGTCGATATTACCTGCCCGTTCCAGAATATGGGTCCAAATATCCAAAACCTTGAGCAATTGTGTTAAGCAAGAGCGCCCTGGCATAAAACCGTGTTGACAATCCTTTACAAGGTTGTTTCGTATTAGATGTTCCATTGCGGCATCTCTGATAATAATCTCAAGTACTTCACATATTATGCTGGTCATGCTCACCGGTCTATGGTTGTTTGTGGAGTGACGATCGCCCTTCTTGAAGATAGGACTCGCATAAGCCACTTTCCATTCACTGGGGACCATTTGTTCATCCAGGCATTTACAAAAGAGGATCTTCAGGGGCTCTGCAAGCTTGTTGCTCAACTCTCTTAGCACTCTAGGATGCACCATGTCAGGGCCGGGACTCTTATGGACCTTTAGCCTGGACAGTTTATTTCTAATACCCTCTTCTGTGAACACAATGTGGGTCAGTGCTGTGTCGAACCATCTGTCCTCAAACGCAGGAAGGTTAGTTGCATCCTCTCTTGTGAACATTGAGGAAAAGAAGCTGTTCAATGCCTCAGCTTTATCCTGGTCAGAATCTGCGTAACTACCATCCACAAGCCTCAGGTCTGATACTCCTACTCGCGTTTTCAATTTCAACTTTGCATAGCGGTAAAACGCTTTGCTGGGAACAGTTACTAAGATTGTGTAGGTTATTTGTAGCATCCAATATTTTGTTCTCAACAACTTGCCATGGGAACAAGCAAATTCAAACAGAAGGAAGATTTACACAACATTACAAAGGTTGTCGCACTACCAAAACTACAGTACATAACCTGTATGGTGTTAACCCACAACTTCCCAGTCACTCACACCTGTTTTGTGAAATTCTAGCCACTTTTAATAGTTTATTTGTCTATCACCAGACAATTTTATTCAGCTCAAAGGGGACCTCGTACACAAGGGGCTTAAGACTTTGCTGGCCTTTCTCTTAAAGATATTCCAGACCTGATCCAATAGGTTGTACCATGCATCATTTACGGGGAGAGGGAATGCTTATACAGTATTTTAATTCTGTATTCACATCAGAGACTGATCTACCAGTACGTGTAGTAATCCCTAAATTCATAACTTTAGGTCAATTTGCCAGCTTTCCATTACCTTGTTATTTAAAAAAATAACATCACAAAATTAATATGTAAATTAAAATTTGCACAATGATCTGTGATGGTACAAAGCTTGTAAATCTGATCACTGACCGTAAACTCACATTGTAGTAGGTATAGTACCAAATGCTAAGTGCATAAAATGGTGAGGCAAAAGCCATATCTTACTTTTACTTTTATCCAAAAATCAATAAAGATTAAAAACTGTAAGAAAAACACTTATTGGTAGTTCTTTTAGGTTAGTCCACAAAATTAGCCCTGGAAAGTTTTGACAGTCTGCCAGACACCAAGGAACTGGATTGCAATATCCCCACATATGCAGTATGGGTATGAACAAACAAAGCTGTACTCTAGGCGCCAACCTGATCTCCCACTACTATAGATGTCTCAGACAACCAATGGACCGGTAGACTTCAGTGTGTTCATAGCTTGTAGGCTGTAGTGATACTTGTATATGGTCAATTTATAGTATCATGCCGGTCTTTATTTATCAATATTAAAAATAGTTTTTCCCCCCCTCCATAAGCAAACAAATCATGGCGATACTTGTGACTGAGTTAAAGTAATTCTCTTGAAAAATTAATATCTCGGTTATCCTTAATTTCCGATGGAAATATCATAGAAGAAAAATTTCTTAGAATTGTGTAAACATTACGAGATACATATTTTTAATACGGAAATAAAGACTGGTGTGATACTATAAATTCACCCAATATATTGTTCATCAGAATAATGGTATCTATTGTCAACCATGAAGTTTAAAATCCAGGGAGTATATGCCTAAATTCTTAGTAGGTCACCATTTTTGTTTTCATCTGTTCAGTCTTCATTAACTTGTGGAAAGGGGTCATTGCATGATCTTTCTTACATTCAGGACACAAAAGTAAATTACATGGGTTCTGGGCTTTCTTTGTTCAGATTATTTAAATTCTTATAATTTTTGTTTGTGCATAGATTCCCATGGCTCTTTGAAATCTTGGAACCAAGTGATGCTGCCTCAAGAATCATCAATGGTGTTAGGAGGAATCAAGAGGAAATCTTTCTGCCAGAGAAACTTAAACCCTTCATGGTGTTTTCCAAGTAGGTTAAGTTTATATAATTAAATTATTAATTACTGTAATACATACAACTTTTCAGTGCCTTTTGTTAATACTGTATAATGATGCGCAGAATACTGTACAGGTATTCCATGCTTAACAATTGGTATGTACATACAGTATTCCTGAAAAACCCATCATTAATGCAAAATAATAAATTAAAAAGGGATAATAAGAACAGATATCCTAAACAAGGGATAATGAGGTATAATATCTGTAGATGGCACATAATCGTGTAGCAGAGTCTCCAAATTGCCACCCAGTAGTACTCAGAGCGGGTGAGGCTGAGCTATGAGCTATACAACATTATGGATCAACACATAATTTTGGGTACATATATGTAATGTTCCTATTTTCCCTTGCTGTTACATGCGCACACAATGATTCATACAAAATGTTGGGAAAAAAAAGCCTTTTTTTTTTTCTAAAAATCCGTTTTTGTGATATAGCTTGAATGCGACACTCGGCAAATGCTACCTAAGTATGTTAATTCCTAGCCAATTTGCCAGGCCAACATACAGGCTCACCTTTCTTTTGCCCTTCAGCTGTATTTTGCACAAAACAAGGATATCCAGGTTCCTTTCATTCATATTTTTAATTATTCTTTCCATATCATTTAGATCAGGCATGGGCAACCTTTCCTCGATCATGGGCCACATTACGATTTAGGTATTTTTCTGTGGGCCAACTCGCCAAAATTTATATCCTATCTAACCCAAAAGTAATGTTAATATTGTACACAGTATTAACAGACAGTGAAGCAGTATATCATCATGACCAGGGGCAGATCCAGGAATATCAAAGGGGGGGAGGGGTCCTAGACGTTGTGGGTGGGGAAACATGGTGAACACAGCAAGCCCACCCAGCTGGGAGGTTTGGGGAGGGGGTGCTGTAAGGCCCCCCCAGGAAATTTGTTGAAATCTGATCAATATTATGGGCATTTTGATGCTATGTGCACCTGATATTAGGAGATATTCTGAGGTCAATAGTACAGTAACTACTTTTTACTAAACAAAAATGCCTGAGTACGATATGATGGCTGCATTTACCTGAACCTTGGGCCACATTAAGTAGACTTTCTTAATCACTCTGCAGGCCACACAAAGACATGGTTTGGGCCACACGCAGCCCACGGACAAAGGATTGCCCATACCTGACTTAGATTATATCCTTGTAACTTCTCACAAACAAATGTGATTTTCTTTTTTGTTTTAGTACAGTAATTATATGCAGGAAAGTAGGGTTATAAACAGTACTATCCATTTTTGTTTCAGGGTATTGCCACGGAAACTTCGGCGATTATTTGGAGACTACATGGAAAATTAGGAAGATAATCTGCAAAGAACTGAGAATTATTTTCTTAACTTACAAAAATTACTGGGGAAAATTATAATTACTCATACAAATACCAAAGTGTAATAAATTCTTAGGTTATGTCTGAATTCATTTCTTTAATGTACAAATTCATGATTATAAAGTACAGTACAGGTGCTCCCCGACTTACGACGGGGTTAGGGACCCAAATCCAGGTTGTAAGTCGGAATGGTCATAAGTCCGGCATAGATTAAAAAAAAAAATCTACAATGAAATACAGTACAGTAAAAGTAATAAATAATGAGGAATGGATACAGTGTGACTGAGCACTTACCTTTAATGTTGTCAGCTGAATGCACATGGGGCCCCCATAATTTTCTATTTACAGGTATACATGGAGACTACCGTATTAATTGGATGAAGCAGAGGAGGAGACAGGGCTGGGTGGGTCATCAATGTTGCTTTCTTCAGACAGGTTTATGTACTGTGGAAACTTGCTGGTTGAAGGTATTGGATCATCTTGAGGGAGTGAAGAGGCAGCACTGCTGGGGTGTGAGGAGACAGCACTGGGGGACTTCTTAAAATAGATGTCCAATTTAGACTGCACAGTTTGGTTTTTCTTTTCATTATAAATTTCTCTGTAGCAAGCAAGTGCATCTTGGATCATTCTGTCAATTTTAGCAAAATGCTCATAATTTTGATCTATGCCATCAAACATTTGCATCCCTTTATTAATTGTAGCAAATGCCTCTGCCATTTGCTTCACTGAAAAGTTTTTGGGGGTGCAGGTCCTTCTTCTACATTTAGACTCACTTCTTCCTCTGCATGTGTGTGTGCTTCCAGTTCGATGAGATCTTCGTTACTGAGCTCTTCTGCTACACTTTCAACCAACTGTTCAACATCTTCATTATCAATTTCTAACTGAAGCTGTTTACCTAACTCCACTATCTTGTTACTAATATCCGAAATAACTTCATTTTCATTAAATCCTCTAAAACTGTTCACATATCTTTTCAGGGCTTTCTTCCATATTCCATTTATGCAATGTTTTGTAACCTGATTCCATGCTGCACTAATGTTCTTTATACATGACAAAACATTGTACTCCTTCCAAAACTCTGAGCGTTTTCTCACCTTCAGTAGCAGCAACACCCTGAGCGAAGGTCGTACTTAAATAATAAGCTTTAAAGGCAGCAATAGCACCTTGATCCATGGGTTTGATGACAGAGGTAGTGTTAGGTGGAATGTACACTACCTTAACATCAGGGTGCATGTTGTCCAGGTGTGGTGGGTGTCCCGGAGCATTATCCAAAATCAGCAAAATCTTAAATGGAATCCGTTGTTGCAGACCACACTCTTTGGCTCGAGGAATGAAACAATTCATGAACCAATCCTCAAACAGTACAATGGTCATCCAGGCTTTCTTGTTACTGCGATAAAACACTGGCAGTGTAATAATAATAATAATAATAATAATTGACGGTTTATTGAAAAAGTTCTGCAGCCCGAAGGCTGAAAATATACATTGGACATAAATGACTTATTACATACATTGGTGGTTTAACAAAAGCCTTCATTAGAGAAAGGTAAAGGAACATACAGTGAACATACAGATTATTGTAGATGTTGAACAGCAAACACGTAGTGTAGTAACTCCCTCCCAGATGGTGTTAGGAGGGATCTCACGTGGTGTAGTAGTTCCCTCACAGATGGTGTTATGAGGGGCCTCACGTGGTGTAGTAATTCCCTCACAGATGGTGTTATGAGGGGCCTCACGTGGTGTAGTAATCCCCTCACAGATGGTGTTATGAGGGGCCTCATGTGGTGTAGTAGTTCCCTCACAGATGGTGTTATGAGGGGCCTCACGTGGTGTAGTAATTCCCTCACAGATGGTGTTATGAGGGACCTGACGTGTGTAGTAATTCCCTCACAGATGGGAGGGGCCTATGTAATTCCCTCACAGATGGTGTTAGAGGGCCTCACGTGGTGTAGTAATTCCCTCACAGATGGTGTTATGAGGGGCCTCCGGTGTAGTAATTCCCTCACAGATGGTGTTATAGTGAGGTGTGGTCCCAGGCCTCGTATCATGAGCCGGTTACACATCGCTGGTTGTTGTTGGGTCTCACGGGCCGTTATCACTGGGTACCTGGGACCTCACTGTGTGAAGGTTAACTTGGGTGCGACTGTTACTGTTGAGTTGTTCTCACTGACTTAAGCACTGTTCACCTCTGTTTAACACTGGTTCCATTCCTTTCCTAAATGAAATAGTAACTTCTGGCGAGAACTTGTTGATATTCCGGTGGGGAGGAGGGTTCAGGGGAGGGAGTTGGTATGGGCCAACTTAACAGTTGACCTGGCTGCTCCGAGAGGAGCGCCAGGTACGTCTTGACCCTTCGGTGGTCAAGGATGTAGTGTGTGCTTGCTGACATGTTTAAAAGCTCTGGGGTTTTCTGAATGATAGATCATGATGGGCTTTAGCTTGAAACCAGCATCATTCCCCCCAACAGAAGTGTAATTCTGTCCTTGAATGCCTTGAATCCTGGCATTGTTTTTGCCTTTTTGTGGATGTATGTCCGCTCAGGCATGCGCTTCCACAATAATCCAGTCTCATCCACATTGAATATTTACTCAGGCAAATAATTTCCTTCCACAATCACATCATCTAACTCCTCCTTAAAGGCTTCGGCAACACCAACATCAGCACTAGCTGCCTCTCCACTCACCTTAACATTATTTAAACTGTAGCATTTTTTAAATGTTAAACCACCCATGATTTGCTGTGAAGGTTTGGTCGCACTCATCTCCTGCCTGCTCCTTCAGGCTTTGGAACAGGCTTTATGCTTTAGCCTGTAAGGTTAGAAGGCTTAAGGGTACACGCTTCTGTATTTGGTCTTCAATCCATATCGCCAATAATTTTTCCATATCGTGAATAGGACCTTGTCTTTTCTTCGAAATTATAGTTCCCTTTATAGGTGTTGTTCCTTTCACTACATCACGAATACGTTCCTTGTCCTTCAGAGTAGTGGATATGGTCGAGTGCGAGAAGCCTAGGTCACTTGAGATTGTTGCTACAGTTTTTCCATTCTCATATTGCATTATTATCTTTATTTTCATCTCAAAAGTAATTGCCTGTCTCCTTTTCTTCTGAGCACCAACAGCACTCTCACTTGTACGCTTTCCAGTCATTATAAAGTCAATTAAATACGATAATAACGTAAGTACACAGCGCAATCAGTATAGGATACGATAGCCAAACACCAACTAAGCGCTGTACTGAGTGTAACCACGCGGTGACCCAAGCCACACTCTCGCTAGGGACGGAAACGTTTCGGTATAGAAAATGCGCGCGTCATTTGAAAAAAATTTGGGTCACGAATGCGGAGGTTGTATGTGCGTATTGTCGTATGGTCAGAGCAGGTTGTAAGTGCGGATGGATGTAAGTTGAGTCAATCGTAAGTCGGGGACTACCTGTACAGTATTTCACTATTGCTTTCATTGTCAGATGAAGATCCAAGTGTCATTGTACTTAATATTTTCCCCCATTAGCAGTGTGAACTTTTATTTTATAATATTTAGCACAACAACCGATTGCCCAAGAGGCTAATGAGTTGATCATTTGGTGAAGAGGATAAAAGAAAAGGAAAAGTAACAGAGACGTGACTGATCGCCCAAGCGGCTAACGAGCCGATAAGGGGTGAAGAAGATAAAAGTATTATACAAGTATAATTTTCAGACTATAGTTGATTTTTATGATTGAAACAACAGAGGTACAGACTGTTTATGGGTAACTATTTGTTTAAAACTGAAGATCTTTTGCTGCTGAACAGGCTGTAGTAGCATTGTACAGTACTTTAACTCTTAACTTAATGCTTCACAGAACAAATACAATTACATACTGTAGTAAACATGAATTTATACATACAGTACTGAAATGTGCATTATTCATATTTTGTGAAGGCAGTATGCAAATATAGTTTTTATCCTTGAACAATAAAAACAAGTCTTTTTTTAGTTGATGGCCTTTTGTACATTAAAAAAGTAATACAATACTGTACTGTGCATATTAAATAATCTTTGATACATAATTTACCATTAATCCTCAACAGTAGTGATTGTTTAGTCTGCATATAGCTTTATCGTGTACAGTATAAGTACTGTACACGATAAAGCTACATGCAGAAAATGAAGATTACAGTACTTTTACAAATGTTAAATATTATTTTATTACAGGAATACTGTACAGTACTTCTTTTACTTGTGAAGGTGTTCAGGTAGCAATGTAATTGATTTGGAATAAATCTACACCCTTGATTTTGCTCAGATAGTTAGAATGGATAAACTCTATTTTGAGAAAGACCTTGTAGTTAAATTTGTTAGTCCAACCAATCAATGGGTGCACTGTAATGTGAAAACAGTTTTTTTAAGTTAAGAGAACCACTGATAGATCTGTGTGGAATGAAATTACAATACAATCTAAATAATTTTAAAAGTGTAAGGAAACTTGTAAAGTATGCCTTATGAGTAGTGACAAAATGTATAATTTTAATTTATTTTATTGCACTTTCAATCACAATGAACAAAATATCAAAAGCAATATACAGTACTGTATTTTAATTTCTCCTCATTTTTTATTGTCTTACTATCTTCAGGGGTATTGCATTACTGTTTATTGATTCGGTGAAAAGTTTAATGTGTGACAGCTTTCAAAAGGATGAAATAATAATGTACCATAGAGTCTAGAGCAGGTCACCTTCCTATCTATAACCATATCTTTAAACTCTATTGAGGGGATATCGTAAGAAAACCAAGATATTTATTAAAATCCTAAAATTTTAAGTTGGGGAGGTTAGCCCTGACACAATCTTGACATTTTAGTGCCACCAGTGTTCGGTACACCTTAAACAGTAATACTGTACTCCCTTTAACCTAAACTGATTCCCTATTTTTGTATGAGTATATAAAAAATTATTGAATGACAATTGATGGTTCGGACTGGCTTATAAAATATGAACTTGTCATTAACACCTAATGTTTAAGGGAACTTGTACATGATCATCCAATCAGTCGCTATTGTTTGCCATTCTATGTCTGTTAACTTTACAACAGGGAGCCACTTTACCTTGTAGCGTACGGTATGTGGCCAGTTGTCAATTCTCTTATTATTGGGCACACAAACGTATGTGCATGTAGATATCTCACACTCAGGAATGAGGTAGGATAGAAACTCACAATGCGCTTTCTGTATATATATTGTTGTACAGCGCAGTGCTTAGGAGTGACTAGGTGAGGAGAAACTTGCTCAGAGGTCCTGTAGGGCGAGGAGGTTTCTGAGGAAGCTGGGTGGTGTGGAGCTGAGAGAGATGTTGCTGGTCCAGTAGCCGAGTGTAGAATGGTCTCCCTGGCCAAGCATGACCGTATTTATACAATTTACGAGGATCAGGATTTAGGGTGAGCGTAGCGAGAGGGCCAATCACAGCGGCTTAAGCATAAGGTGTGAAACGCTCTGATCCTGAACTGGAGGTTGAAGGTTGAGACTAGGTCGGCGATCGTACCCCTACGTCCTCTGCATAGACCTAGTCTCTCGGAGTAGCTGGCTGTACACTGATTGGCTGGTAGGCGCGCGGCCGGAGCTCAGTTGGGAGTTGTAGGGGAGAGGAGCCACTACAACCTCTACCCTTGCAGGTGTCAGCCCACAATATCTTGAGGTGAGAGCCAAGTTTACCTCTGTTCAGGAGAAATTTAATACTTTGTGCTGTATTCAAATAATGAAATACTGTACCCTGTATTAAATGTCTTATAGGATATTATTAAAGGCAACTTTATTTGAAGTTGCTGCTGTCTCATTGTTTGAAAAAGGAGGTTTAATATTTTTTCTATAAGAAGTGAATTTATTAAAAAAGAAAGAGATCAAAACCATAAATTGTTTTCTTTCTTGGTTAATACAATATATAAATTAACTTTTACTTTTATCCTCTTCACCACTGATCGGCTCGTTAGCCGCTTGGACAATCGGTCACGTCTGATTGCTTTTCCTTTTCATTTATCCTCTTCACCAAAAGATTGGCTCGCTATGTACTTTTATGTACTGTGGGTATTTACTTTAAAAAAAAAATAACAGACGTGACCGATCGACCAAGCAGCTAACGAGCCAATCAGTGCTGAAAAGGATAAAAGTAAAGCAAAGTAAGATTTCTTTGTCTTTAAACCTGTGACTGTAAAGAGCTTTTAAGAAATATTTGGTCCAACCAAGTTTTATATCTTGTTTATAGTACAGTACTGAAGTATATTACAGGTATTAATAACTATAATTTTAATTACCATACTAACCATTATTGCTACTGAGGAAGGCAGCTGGCATCAAGAGCAACACAGACTCTCCCTTCTTTCACATTATTTACTTGTAACTGAGCAGTATTATGATTTGCCATGTTTGTTAGTAATACAATGCAATGGGAAAGTGTTTTTTCATTACATGATGATTTGTTTCTTTGGCTCCATCCATATTGCAGGCCTCTCTTGACACATACTCAAAGCAAAGTCTTGATATAGAGGCCTGTACTACTAGGGACAATTGTAACAAGTGAACATTACTCCAGATCTTTTAGCATGTAAGACCTAGAAAATCTGAAACCTTTATTAAATATGCTACATGTTACTCCATTGAAATTTTAGCAGCTGATATACTCTATGTAATAAAGCATTGAAAAAACGATGTTTACCAAAACACAGATACATGGTAAAAAAAAATGAAGAAAATCTTTTACTCTTTGGGACACTGGCACTCTTTGGGACACTGGCCATCCTTGGGACACTGTCCAAAACCTAACCTATCCTGAGTTAACTACATAGTTGGGTGACCGTTTAGGTTAGGTAGGTAATAATAACAAATTACTTCACACTGCAAACAAATGCCAGTAAAATGTTAAATATTTATTTCTGCCAAAAAAAAAAAAATAGTTGCATACTTAGAATCAGCATGAAAACTATACGAATGACAAAGTTTTCAACAAAATATAAGTCCAAATTTTTATATGTACTGGGTCTCTTTTTTTTATGTGCTGTGGGCAAGAACTGGATCTCTTACACATTGTGAGGATGTACTGGCTCTCTGATGCGTATTGTTGGCACTGTGGGCACATAATTGCTCTGTTATGTACTGTGGGCATTTACTGGCTATCTGTTATGTACTGTTGGCACTGTGGTCATGTACTGGCTCTGTTATGCACTGTTGGCAGCTTAGTAAACAGATGAAAGATCCTGTTCTGTAAATGCCTGGATGAACAAAGGGTCCCCAATGATTGGAAAATGGCTCATGTGAGTCCTATGTTCAGGAAGGGCGATCGTCACTCCACGAACAACTATAGACCAGTGAGCTTGACCAGCATAATATGTAAAGTACTTGAGAGTATTATCAGAGATGCCGCGATTGAACATCTATACTACGAAACAACCTTGTGAAGGATTGCCAACACTGTTTTATGCTGGGGCGCTCTTGCTTAACATGATTGCTCAAGGTATTGGTTATTTGGACCCATATTCTGGAACGGAGTGGTAATATCGACAGTATTTACCTAGATTTTGCCAAGGCTTTCGACAGTGTATCCCATGAAAGGCTGAAAATCAAACTGGAAGGGTACGGAATTCAGGGAAATGTCCTAGCGTGGATAGAAGACTTTTTACATAACGGCAAGCAAGGTGTGGTGATTAATGGCACGAAATCATCATCTGTACCTGTCACAAGCGGGGTACCACAGAGCAGTGTATTGGGCCCGACTGTTGTTTGTTTGTTTTATAAATGACATGCCTGACGTACACTCTTCCATACAAATGTTTGCCGATGACGCCAAAATATTTCTGGAAATCAAGAACCATGTGGACTGTGAAGAGCTGCAGAAGGATCTCTGTGAGCTCCAAGAATGGTCGAAGAATTGGTTGCCGAGATTCAAAGTCACAAGGTGTAAGAGGATGCACCTGGGGCATACCAACGGTAAGGAGGTGTATCATATTTCCCAAAAGGGTGAAGAAACTGCACTATTTGAGACTGAATGTGAGAATAACCTAGGTGTGTATGTTAACAATGAGCTTAAGTTTTCGGGCCATTGCGAGATGAAGGTAATGTCACGCCGTCTGGTCCCGAGATATGCAAGGGACTGTCAGTTGGTTGAAAATGTTCAAAGAGGGCCACCAGACTGGTGCCTGCACTTCGGGACCTCAACTACCCTGAGAGATTGGAGCGCCTGAACTTGTTTAGCTTATACTACAGACGGGCAAGGGGTGACCTTATTGAGGTGCATAAGCATCTCAAGGGGTACTATTCAGTCGAGTGTCCTTACTTGGAGCTGGCAAACTTTTTCAGAGTGAGAGTTGTGAACTCTTGGAACAATTTGCCGTAAAGTGTTGTGACGGCACCGAGTGAGTTCAAGACCAGACTTGACCAACACTGGAGCAGGTTAAGGTACATTCAGGAGCCGGTGCATGCCTAGTACCTGCCATCAGTGCGTGACAGACGTGACTGATCGCCCAAGCGGCTAACGAACCGATCAGTGGTGAAGAGGATAAAAGCAAGTAAAAGGCTGGTCCCCGAGATATGTTAGGGACTGTTAGTTGATTGAAAATGTACTAAGGAAGGCCACCACCTGCACTACGGTACCTCAGCTGCTCTGAGTGATTAGAGCGTCTGCAACTGCCTATCTATTACTAATCAGCGGTAACTACCCAGTAAGGTACGGTAATTACCATTATTGTATTCAGGGAAGTACTTCGTCTGTATTTTCCCACGTAAGTTTTTCTTAGTTAAATGTTTTATTAATCTGAAAAGAATTATATTATTATTAGATAAAAGTAAATGTGTCAGTAACATTAAAGTACTTTTATGATCTAATTGGAGTAAATCAGTAATGTTAGCATTCCTGATTCAACGGCCGACTTTTTCCGAAGCTGAAAAATTTGGAGTCTGTACAGTTTTCTTATTTCTTTTTATTTTTCCGTAAAGTTTTCCTTACAGTTTCTTATCTACACCATAATATAAATTAACTTACCGTATAATTTATATTCAAATTTGCATTTAATATTAAGGATGGATTTATTTTTTAAGTCCCTCATCCGGATAAGGTTTTTGGCGAATAGGAGCGCAGAGACATAGGGGGCGAGGTGCTGCCAGTCGTCTCTATCACCTAACAGACGCTGTTCTTTAAATATAAAGTAAGTTTTATTTTTAATTTATTTAAGTGGTTAAATTTATACTTGTGTAAAGGTCGTTATATTATGGTCATTTGTGTCGATTTTGTTCAAAGTGATTTATTTAAGAAGGAAATACTTTACTTTAAATGGACTTTTAAAAACTCTTAAAGGTACAAGGCCGAGTTAATTAAGAACAAGCGTAGGTTAATGGTCGTTAACTCTCGTAATTACGTTGACTAGTTACTTTAGAGAATACTTCACTTTTGGCTCCTGCTTTTATTTAAGTTAATGAAGTATGGTTTAGTTCATCATAATAAGTGTGTGTTTTGGTCTTATATGTTACAGGATTTAACTTGAGTATTAAAAGTATTTGTTACTCTTAAGATTTTTGGGTTAATATTCGTCCATTGGCTGACCGCAGGTTCCCGCCATATTTACTTTTATTTTCTTCGCCACTGATCGGCTCGTTAGCCGCTTGGTCGATCGGTCACGTCTCTGTTACGCACTGTTGGCAAGTACTGGGCATGCCTGAGGTTATAGTATACTCCTCACTAATGTCTGCTCTGTTACTTTTACCGATATGTTTCATTCTGCGGTAATTTAATTCTTCCAGTTATTAAATAGTTGTTTATATGTACGTTTTTAACCAGGGTTAAGCAATGGTTATAACCCTCAATTTGTTTATAATACGGCTAACGAGCCGATCACTGGTGAAGAGGATAAAATTAGTTTTGCTGAGGTATGTTTGCGGTATTGTTATATAGTATATAGGGAAACAGATACACAGTACTGTACTCACAATGTGTGATAAATAAATATATGCTCTTTCGTCCAAAATTATATCGATAAAGATAAAGGAAAATAATCAAGCATGTAATGTTATTCTGTATTCAATAGTTCACTTTTTAGATCAAAACAAATATTTGTAGTGTCTTTTGACTTCGTAAGATTCCCTTTGTTATTCGGTACATGTGGTATTAATATTATTACAATAATAATAGTATAACATCCCAGTTACATAATATGTAACTATACTGCATAGTATGATTGCCAAAACTTAACTTTAATACCTGCGTCGGTATGAAAATTTGTCCATGTCTGCCACATCAGCGACTGTGGCGGTAAAACTAATTTAAGCTCCTTGAATAAATCGAGCTGGATTTCCTGGTCAGAGTACCTGGTTAACCTGGAGATTTGGGAAGAGTTTTCCTGGTACCAGAAGCGGTGTAGGATGTTGCTTTTTACTTTTTTACTTTTATCCTCTTCGCCACTGATCGGCTTGTTAGTGGAACTGTAAAGAGCGCACCACAAACAGCTGTGAAGCCTGTTTACAGCAAGGATAGAATACTAGATAAAATACTATTAAACGTAAAGTAAGGATCCTATGTGGACGTAAATGCGCAATGTGTGAAGCGTATTCGCTGCTCCCATGTGTCCGTCAAAAGTGGTGCGCGAGTTCTTTACACGGCAAGAATTCATCTCGAGTGGGACGTGTGCAATAGTTTAGTATGTACAATCAAAGGAACTTAACGAAGTTAGCGAGACCATGGAACTGGGTTCTTTATAAAAGGGAATTATTTTAAGAACTCTTTCTAGGGATTCCCCTGTAATTTGTTGTTTACCAATTATATTATAAGCACAAAAGTTATTATTCAGTCAACTCTGTCGTCATAGTAATTTAACAAGAATATGTTTGGTTATAGTTAAATTCACGGGGTTGTCCCAGATTCACTGATTGGAAAATGGCGTGAGTCCTATCTTAAGAAGGGCGATCGTCACTCCACGAATAACTATAGACCGGTGAGCCTAACCAGCATAGTACTGAAGTACTTGAGAGCATTATGTGATGTCATGATGGAACATCTACTACGAAACAACCTTGTAAACGATTGCCAACACGGTTTTATGCCTGGGCGCCCCTGCTTAAAACAATTGCTCAAAGTATTGGATATTTGGACCCAAATTCTGGAACAGGGTGGTAATAACGGCAATATATACACCTAGATTTTGCCAAGGCTTTCGACTGTACCCCACGAAAGGCTGAAAATCAGTGGCGTAGCTAGAGTGTGTGCCGCCCGGGGCCCTTGAGTTTGCCCCCGTGCCCCCACAAAAAATACATATTGCACAGTGACTCACTCTTATATATATATATATATATATATATATATATATATATATTAAATAGTTTGTGTACCATTATAATATTACTGTACTTTCACATACTCAAATATAGTATGCTTTAAATACACACCAAACATACTTAAACTTTATAAGTTTCCTTAATCCTCAACAGGTTACAGGTTGTGTGTGTGGCGGGGGGGGGGGGGGCGCATAGCAAGGGTGTAGCTCATGACGTGGCCGTGATGATGTGGGTCAGGTGTTAGGTCAGACACGACAAGGATTAACTTGCCGCCGATACAAAGGGATGGATTAACGTCTCCAGTAGCTGCAGATATGGGTGATGAGCAGACCCAAAACCCAAAAGTGCCGCCCGGGGCGGACCGCCCCCCCGCCCCCCACTAGCTACGCTAGTGCTGAAAATCAAACTGGATGGGTACGGAATTCGGGGAAATGTCCTAGCGTGGATAGAAGAGTTTCTACATGACCGCAAGCAGTGTATGGTGATTAATGGCACGAAATCGTCATCCGTACCTGTCACAAGTGGGGTAGCACAGGGCAGTGTATTGGGCCCGCTGTTGTTTGTTTGTTTCATAAATGACATGCCTGACGTTGTACACTCCATACAAATGTTTGCTGATGACGCCAAGTTATTCCGGGAAATTAAGAACCAAGCGGACTGTGAAGAGCTGCAGAAGGACTTCTGTGGGCTCCAAGAATGGTCGAAGAAAAGGCTTCTGAGATTCAATGTTATGAAGTGTACCAATGGGATGAAAAAACTGCACTAGTTAAGACTGAATGTGAGAAAGACCTAGGTGTGTATGTTGACAATGAGCTGAAGTTCTCGGGCCATTGCCAGAAGAAGGTAAACCAGGAAAAATATATTATTGGGTCTTATAAGAAGGTCATTCAGATAACTAGACGGTCCGTCCCTCGTAACGATCTTCAAGAGTGAAGTGTTTCCCCGTCTGGAGTACTGTCACCCCGTCTGGTCCCCGAGATATGCTAGGGACTGTCAGTTAGTTGAAAACGTTCAAAGGAGGACCACCAGACTGGTGCCTGCACTTTGGCACCTCAGCTGCCTTGAGAGATTGGAGTGCCTGAACTTGCCTAGTTTATACTACAGATGGGCAAGGGGGGACCTAGTTGAAGTGTATAAGCATCTCGGGGGGCACTACTCAGTCGAGTGTCCGTACTTGGAGCTGGCGGACGCTCGCCGCACAAGGGGTCACAGCTCAAGATTGAAGAAGCCGCAAGTTCAGAAAACTGTGAGGGCAAACTTTTTCGGAGTGTTGTGACGGCACCGAGTGTGAGCTCTTACAAGACAAGACTTGACCAACACTGGAGCAGGTTCAGGTACATTCAGGAGCTGGTGCATGCCCAGTATTTGCCAACAGTGCGTGACCGATCGCCTGGGCTGCTAGCGAGCCGATCTTTTGGTGAGGAAGATAAATGAAAAGGAAAAGTAATCAGAGACGTAATCGATCGCCCAAGCGGCTAACGAGCCGATCAGTGGTGAAGAGGATAAAAGTAAAGTATGGCATATCTGATAATGCTTTCGAATACTTTACATACTATGTTGGTCAGGCTCGCCGGTCTATAGTTGTTCATTGAGTGAAGATCGCCCTTCTTGAATATAGGACTCGCATAAAGCCATTTTCCAATCACTAGGGACCTTTTGTTCATCCAGGCTTATTGCAGCTATTGAGTGCATGTTGATATCTATGACTATTAATCAGATACGAACTTGTTCAAAGCAACATGTAAGAGTAGTGTGATTTATTCCAGAAATGACCTTAAAATCAAATAGATGAAGTGCACATTGATTTTTTGGGGTAATTATTGACGATTGACCCACTGCCGATTTTTCATAGAAAACAAATTTAATATCGCTGTAATTTCACCGTTTTATGGTGTACACTGTCGTAGTTTTGGCAAATACAGTATAGTCTGCATTTACGCGGTCAATTGAACCTGTGGAGGTCCGCGTAAAATGAGGAAAGCGTAAACGAAATAACAGAACATAAGGGATTAATTGAAATACGGACTGGGTTGACTCCCAAACTCCACTTTTTCTGACACAATACGTACCTTGTAGTAAAAATAACATCATAATTTTATGATGGTATTGCTACACACAAAATATCAAAATAAAAAACTACAAATCTAAAGGTGTTTAACACTTACGTAAGTAGAAGAGATGGGTCGGCACACGTGGATGGCGGCTGGTTCCGAGGCAGATTAGTTGCCCTCCGGTGAATCACTTTCACTACTCGCAGAGGTTTGCAGGAACTCCCTGAAAAACCCCTCAAAGTCCATATCCTCACTGTCACTATCACTGAGTTGGGCTGGCTGTGGTTGTGGTGGGTTGCGGCGCGAAGAAGTCCGTAATACTACGTTGATTACTAGCATTGATGTTGTCGTGATAGATCTGGATATACGGCTCCATAACTTTCGACAGAAGGTTATTAGACACTTCATACTGATGCTTGACTGTGTCTTTGTCAAGAATGAGCTTAATTTTCTCCCCCAACTCGATGATTTCCTTCACATAATCATGGCTTGGTCCAGGTAATTCAAGGTTTTTCTGGGGTGGTGGGGGTCCAGCGGAAGTCATTGTGAGGGGAATAGCGGGCACAAGAGAGAACTGTATACGCGGACTGAGAACAATGAGACTGGCCCGGCTAGGTCAGCGACTTCTGGTGGCAGGGCACGTCATGTTACATTAGACCAATCACAGCTAGCGGCGGAGGGAATGTGTGGGTGGGAAGGATGCGCGGCCCAATCACAGTCCGATACGTCATATGACGTCAGCGATAACGTAAGAGTGACCTAATGCGCACCCCTCACCGCGCTGCTTCCCGCGTATGGTCAAGAATGGACCGCGTGAGTAAAAAATGGCACGGCGGTCTGGACCTCTCCAGCCGCTCGCGTAATTAAAACATTTCATTCTGGCAAGGCACCGCGTAAATGACCAAACGCGTAAACAGAATCCGCGTAAATCCAGACTATACTGTATGTTAAAAAGTGATTATTTCTAGATTGAACATTAGTTGATAATAAAAACATGCGGTAAAAACGTTGTTAGTTGACCTCATCAATCCAACCAAATAAATTTACTTAACCTTACCTAACTTCTTAGCCGTGAGACTCAATGCTCCTGCATGTGATATGGCGTAATTTTTGTTTTTTGTGGACGTTAGAGCAGCTGCCTGGTCTGTGTGGCTCATGAACATACACTGGTGGTTGCTGTCGATTGGAAGTAATTGTGTACTGCAGCATCACCGCTGAGAGAGACAAAGTAGTGTGTGACTAGTCGCCTAATTATCAACCAAAGGAAGTAATTTCCTACAAAAATGATATATCATATCAGAACTCACTGATGAAAATATATTAAGATTATAAGCATCAAAACAAACAATGCATCTACCGGTTCGTCGTCAGTATTACGGTAGCCAATTTTTTATTAGAGGATGCAAAGTGGTGCAAAATTAAACTGGAAGAAGACACACTCATTTTTGGATGCATTTCCAGGTCACCAAAATGAACACTATACTAACTATTGTGACAAAACCTGCTTGAGAGGTGTTAGCTAAAAATGGGAGATTGAATCATTAACTTAAAAATAACTTATTTTTTTAATATTTCAGTAGGACTTATGACTTTTTTTTTTCAGAAGTAAGCAGGTTACTTACCTCCAAACTATTCCATATTACTCACAGCAACTAGTACCATACAACAACATTGCACCCACAACTCAATTGAAGTGTAAAAATCCTTTTGGAGATGCAGTCGATGTTCCCAGTGTGGTTTGTGAGCCTCTTGCTGCTCACTATCTTCATCACACTTCAGTAAGCCCTTTTCTCTTTTGTTTTGTGCAATGACGTAGCCATAAAGTAAGCCCCACAAACCCTTCAGGAGGTTTCCAACTGAAAGATAATCTGTTAACCCTAATTGGTTGAAATGTTATGGTGAATGTTTTTTGGCAATTTTCTCTTTCCTTGTGACCAATCAGCAACAAGGGGTGTAGTAGAGGGAAGTTTTGTGCATGTCATTGTCCCACATGGTCAGGCAACTTAAGACTATATTATGAGAATATGGGGGCATGTCAGAGAGAGCACCATTTTCCCCCCTAACAATCTGTATGGTAGAAAGCCTGCAACTGCCTTACTTATACTACAGATGGGCAAGGCCGGGGTGATCTAATTGAAGTTATAAACATCTCAAGAGGGCAGTACACTGTTGAGTGTCCATACCTGGAGCTGGTGGACACCCACCCCAAAAGGGGTCACAACTCAAGGTTGAAGAAGGCACAATTCCAGAAAACTGTGAGGGAAAACTTTTTCAGAGTGAGAGTTGTGAACTCTTGGAACACAACCTGCCAGAGTGTTGTAATGGCACCGAGTGTGAGCTTTTTGAAAACCAGACTTGACAAGCACTGAAGAAGGTTCAGATACATTCAGGAGCCAGTGCAGGCCCAGTGCTTGCTGGAACCTGTTTCACCTATTTATATAAAGATGGTTGGATGCAAACCTGGAAGAAATTAGTTTTTCAGTTAGAAATAAAGATACAGTAGGGTTGGGATATATCGCGACTTTACATAAATATTTTTTATATCGTGGCTAACAAAATTATAAAATTTTCCTATACCGGGTATATGGCGATAATTTTTTTATTTCAAGAGGGGAATCGGGCAGGAAATATTTAAAATGTACTGCCATGGCAAACAAATGTATTATTTGCTCACCAGAGGCGCCACCGTGGCTGCTCATGCTCGCCTGCTCAGTCTTTCTGAGTGAGTGACGAGAAAGCAGCCGACTCTGCTGCAAATTACGATTTCTAAAGCAAGTGTAAATGGGTTGCTAGTGATGTGAAAAGTGAAGCGAAGATAATGGAAAGCTTAATGGTAAAGATTTAATACTGTAACTTATATTTTTGGTGTTTATTTATGTAGATGTGGGATTGTCAAGTGAGGGTGGCAGTGTGGCATCTGCTGCCGAGTCTGGTGCTCCCAGGATGGTGCGTCAGCTGCCAAGGCTGGTGTTCCTTGCATCTCAGCTTCCTCTGACTGACTCTCGGGGACTCCATACACAATCATATTGTTATTGCGTTCAAACCAATCCCGACGTTCCCCATCTCCTAGATCAGTAGGTCTACAAGTTGTAATCTGCAGTCCCTAGCTGCTGCAAAACCTGTTTGAATCCTACATTATTCTCCATCTCCTATTGTGACCTTGCCACAACCTGAGCATTGCTCCTCTTAACTACACACTGTATCCTATTAGCAACTTCTTCAATTTTAATGAAGATATCTTTCCCAACTTGCTGTAGTTGACTCTGGTTATACAGTTGGGGCAATACCGGCAACATTCTTTACACTTGGTGCTCACAGTACTGACTCTACTAAGTCTGAATAATTATAACATTTAATTTTTAGGCCTAACTTTTGTTGTTCTTTGTAGATTGTCGAGGTAGATGACATGCAGTATACACAGTACTGGGTACTCTACTATACAGTATATGACATACTGCACAGTATTCACATTGTATACTTACTGTTTGTGTTATTCGTTGTATATGCTCATGTTTTATTAATGTGTATTATATACTGTGTACTGTATAACACATTATGGCGACCTGTGGTGTAATGGTCAGCATCCTCGCCTCACAAGCGAGCGAACACGAGTTTGATCCTCGGCCAGGGTGAAACTAGGGCAGGTTTTTTGACGCCATTTGCCTCTGTCTACCCAGCAGTAATTGGGAACCTGGATGTTAATTGATTTGTGGATCGTATTCCGGGGTAATGGTTAGCCAGTGCAATTGGTGAGTTGTCCAGTCTTCTCGGACTATTCCTTGACACTGGGTCATGCAGCTCGTTAACTCAGGGTGTGGTTGTTGTGTTGGCGACAACTTCTACTCCTTATCAAATTCACGCCTAGGAGGACCTTGGGCCGGCCATCCTCGATTTCGAGGGGCTTCCATTATTATTATTAACACATTATTATAAGCGAGTTGGTAGATACTGACAACAGATACACCCCTGTAATGAAACAGTTTGCCAGAACCAAAGTAGGCTTTATTCATCTTATAACTGTCCTACAGCAATACAATAGTATCTGAAACAAAGGGAAATAACAAAATGATATAATAGAATACTGAAACATAGAAGGGACATTTAGGCTAGTTATAAACAATAGTGCAGTAATTCTTATCCATAGAACTATGCAAGACTAAAGTAATTGAGTTAAACATTATAAGCAAGCATTGCATCCCTTGAACATACATTAGTACATTAGCACAATACAGAAGTAAACTACAAGTCCTTATTACACCCTCTCCTGAATATCTTCTTTTTTGAAAGTCAAATATGGTAACCCATAGAGTGCTGACTAGTACCCTACTGTAATTTTTGCTGTTTGTATTAATAAAACTGTACAATACCTCCAGATCACATTATCAACATAACCTTGACATTTACTCCATGATTTCAGTGTCACCATTGATACCATCCCTTTTTCCACAGGTTGCAGCACGTAGTTGACCAGAGTAACCACTGCCGAAAGTTGATTGTTCCTGTGAGTGTGGGAAGCAAGAGCTCTCACTATCCACACCCGAGTTTATATGACTACAATATCACACAGTCAGGTACTAAATATAGAATTCTATAATCTTAACTTTTTGACCAATGCTCTACACTGATCACCCAACTTTAACGACTTTATTATACCATTGACTAACGTATTACAGTGATCACCATTCTCCAGTGCCCAGTTTACTCCAGGAAACAAGTTACTCTGTTGATCCACATACTTCACTGAGAATCTTACTTTAGTGATCAGTTTACTCCAATGACCACCTTACTTGGGGCCAGACTCAGATGTGGGGGCCCTGGCCAAACAACTGGTGGAGGCCCTTGCCATCCTTTTTGTATTACAGTATATTATAAAACCAAATGTAACTACACATGTTTGTTTTACCTTACTGTTTACTATTGTTGTATACCCACATTGTCAAGGTATAGTACAGCACATTGGGCACTATACCGCCCTGGTCTAAGTAAACTAAATACAGTACCTGCATTGTTTGTATACAGTACAGTACAGTACCTGTATTGTCTATATACATATCAAACCAATTCTAAACATGTATGATGATTTTACTGAATAAGTATTGATTTTATTATTACAGGGGGTCCGTGGGTTACGAACGGGTTCCGTTCCTGAGGACGTTCTTTAGTCGAAAATGTATGCAAGTCGGAACACATGCAACTGTATATGCATACCGTACTTTTTTCCTCCAGAATTAGCCCACATCAGGGCCTGGGAGCGAAAATATAATAATAATAATATTAATAATTACTTTTTAATAATATACACTGTAAATACAAAACTTAAAAAAAAGATCAATAATAAAAAACGATTTACAGTATGTATATTGTGTTGTCAAAGTGAGAGAAACAATTGAGATCCTGCAATTGTGTGTAAATGAGGCAGAAAGTTAGATCAGCACCTGGGACTTGGTCACAATTTTCATGATGCCATATGGCAGCAGGGTCTACCATTAGACAACACATTATGCTTCCAATATCTTTCCAGCCAGTAGTACCTCCCTGTTTGATAGCTGTCGACTACCTACTTACAGAACAATGTTTAAAATCCCACTACATCATAGCATAAGTCCTCATATTCAGTACTGTACTTCTAAAATCAGTTAATTTAAGAGAAAAGAAGAAATAGAATGACAAAATACAGAAAATGAAAGTAAAAAGTCATCACATAAATAAAATACTGTACTTTTATCCTCTTCACTGCTGATCAGCTCGTTAGCCGCTTGGGTGATCGGTCACTTCTCTGTTACTCGCTGTTGGCAGGTACTGGGCATGCACCAGCTCCTGAATGTACCTGAACCTGCTCCAGTGTTGGTCAAGTCTGGTCTTGAAAGAACTGTACCTTGAGTAATTGTGTTAAGCAGGAGCGCCCTGGCATAAAACCGTGTTGGCAATCCTTTACAAGGTTGTTTTGTAGTAGATGTTCCATCGCGGCTTCTCTCATAATGCTCTCAAGTACATATTATGCTGGTCAGGCTCACCGGTCTATAGTTGCTCGTGGGGTGACGATCGCCCTTCTTGAAGATAGGATTCGCATAAGCCATTTAAAGTTTAACCCCGTTTGTATCAGCGGGTGTTCATAGTTAGATGTTCGTAAGTCGGGGACCTCCTGTATTAAAATTTTAGTTCATTAGCAGGATGAAAGACAACATACATGTGTATTTATTACAGTATACATTTCTAATACTTCAAGTTGCAGGTGCAGATGAAGGATTTAGGGATATGTACTTCGCCCCAGTGTTGGAGGCGTACCGTAAGGTGGCTGAGAAATCATATGCCGAGATGCCTCAACGACGGTATGTACTAAACAGTAGTTGTTAGCACTGTTTTACATGATAGTTGTGATGAATCAACCTGTTTGATGAAACAGCAACTGTCTGTTATTGGTGTGTATAAAGCAAGAATTGCACTCTTATAATGGATGAGTTGTCGGTTCTGGGTAAACTCAAGAAATACACTGTGCCACATTTATAGAATGATACGGTTTATATAATTTGTAATAAAAGTTAAGTCCTGCTATAGCCGAGATAAGTTTTATTTCTCTAGAAACAGGACTGCCATTTGCAATGACGTCACCACCTACCCTGCAAATGATGCAGGGATGGAGATACAAGTTAATTTAGAAGTACATTGTCTGGATTTTGTTTTGAGAATCCCTGATACTAGCTAAACATGGCAACATTTGCTGTTATTGTTTTGATGATTCACTAATGAACCACTGGCATATATCATCATTTATATTAATTAATGGGTAAAATTTTATTTTAACTACCATAAGTATTTGGATGCTTAGAATCAAGACAGGCTATATTGGGTAAATTTTAAGTTTTGGCCATCCCTGTACTTAAGACATGCAGACTTTTTTTCTGGTGGTTTGCAATGCATTATGAATGATTTGGAAAGTAGATGTCTTTATGGTTGTAGAGTATTATCAACTCAGCTATGAAGCACGTTAAATTACATCTGTTATCTGTTCATCTCGAACCCATCCCCTGGCCATGGTCGTCCAGAGTCCTTCCGCAATATTAATTATAGACATCAGTGATGAAAACTTACATTTTCCAGACATGAAATAGAGAGCAGTGATGAAAACTTCCATGTTGGAGTTATCGATCTTTTGTATCATTTTGGCACCCAGCAAGTCAATACACATGATGAATACTTGTGCAGCAATTTATTTTAACCTAAAAATAAGGTATGCCCGTGTTTATCAACATTGTATAAGGCCACAACTCCTGTATTTCTGCTGGTAACAACACATACACCAAAGCTGGCTGCCTCTAGGCTCCCTCTCAGCGGCTCTAACCAACCTGTGACGTTGCAACCAATCACAGAGCTTTTCAGTCATGTGACTTTTACACTTTTTGGACCAATTTACTAAAAAATATCATTACCATTAGTGAATTTAAGTGTTTTCTTTACCCATTGACCTGCCATCTTATGAAAAAATTATAACCGACAACTTATCCATTAGCTTATACAATGCTGTGCTACTGTATCGAAACCTATAGTTCTTATTTACTGAAAAGAAAAAAGTAAACAATCAATATCAGGAAAGTCTGTAAGATAACCGTTAAATCTTTTCTGTTTACTGTTAGAGTAGACATAACCTGCTGGGTACAATGTGTGGTTATAATACTAAACTGTAAAGTGAATTCTATAGTGGGGTATGCTATAACGAACGGATCCTACTACGAATATTCCTATAACGAACGTTTTTACCTATAAAATTGAGAATGCTATAACGAACGCAACTCCTACAACGAATGCGGGACTATTTCGCCTGGCGCATGAATATTGTTGTACCGCGACCCACAACAAGAGCGTCAGGCGCCATCTTTGTCTCATTGTGTAGCCAGTGCACCACTGTTATTGTTGATATTTCGTCTTTTGATGTGGAAATAGAGTTATTTGTATAAATATTTTGTTATACAAGTGTACAATTGTAACAATGAATCGTCCAAAGAGAGTGAGAAAGCTCATAACTCTTGAAACTAAGAAAGAAATCATAAAGAAACGTGAGGATGGAACAAGCATTGCGAAACTTAGTGATGAGTATGGGATGGCTAAATCGACTATATGTACGATTTTAAAGAATAAAGAGGAGTTGAAAACTGTGCAAATGGCTAAGGGAATCTCTAGACTTAGCAAAGCAAGGTGTAATGTGATTGAGGAGATGGAAAATTTACTCTTAGTGTGGATAAAGGAGAAAGAAATGGCAGGTGATAGCATTAGTGAAGCTATAATTTGTGAGAAGGCCAGACAATTGTTTGAGGACCTTAAAGCCAAGACTCCCAGTGCAAGTGATAGTGATGTGCCAGTGTTTAGGGGTACCAAGGGGTGGTTTACTGGTTTCAGAAGGAGAAATAAATTACATAGTGTTGTGAGACATGGTGATGCTGCTAGTGCAGATAAGGAAACAGCTAAGGAACACCATGACATTTTTTTGAATGTGATTAAAGAGGGAGGCTTTGTTTCTCAGCAGGTATTCAACTGTAATGAAACTGGACTTTTTTGGAAAAAAATGCCTCTCCGTACATACATTACCAAGGAGGAAACTTCTGTCCCTGGCTATAAGCCAATGAAAGACAAGCTTACCCTCCTTCTTTGTGCTAATGCTTCTGGTGACTGCAAAATAAAGCCACTCCTTGTGTACCATGCAGAAAACCCCAGAGCTTTCAAAAACATTAGGTAGACCCGCCTTGGTGTTATGTGGCGGTCAAACCCAAAGGCTTGGGTGACCAGGAATTTATTCTCTTGAGTGGGTGATTGAGGTGTTTGGACCCAGTGTTCGGGAATACCTCAGGGAGAAAAATCTTCCACTGAAAGCTTTGTTGGTGATGGACAATGCACAAGCCCACCCTCCTAATTTGATGATTGAATTGCCAGAGGAGTTCAACTTCATCACTGTGCACTTGCCACCCAACACAACACCTCTCATCCAGCCCATGGATCAACAGGTAATTTCTAACTTTAAGAAGCTGTACACAAAGGCACTGTTTAGAAAATGTTTTGCATCCACTTCTTCCAGTGATGTTAGCTTGAAGGAATTTTGGAAGAGTCACTTCAATATAGCAGACGCTGTTTTTTTAATTACCTCAGCCTGGAAAGAGGTTACTGTGAGGTGTCTTTGTGCTGCTTGGAGGCCATTGTGGCCTGAATGTGTGCTCCAAAGAGACTTTGAAGGCTTCGAAGAGTTAGAAGAAGAGGCTGTTGTTCATGAAATTGTGTCTCTGGGCAATTCCATAGGCCTGGAAGTGGATGATGATGATGTTGAGGAGTTGGTGGAAGAGCACAGTAAGGAACTGTCCACTGAGGAGCTGCTTGAGCTTCACAAAGAAGAAAACGAGACACTGAAGCGGAGCTTAACTTCTGAGGAGTCAGGGGAGGAGGAGGACAAGGAGGAAAGCCGCATCATTCCAGCCAAAGATCTCAAGGATGCGTTCTTTAGCTGGAGCAAACTGTCCAAGCTTGCTGAGGATTATCATCCTGATGTTGGTTCTGTGCAAAAGGCCATCAGTGTGTTTAATGACAATGTTATGAACTACTTTTGGAAGGTCCAGAAATCAAGGTTGAAGCAGCCAACCCTGGATTCCTTCTTTAAAAAGGTAACAAGAACCTACAGACAAAGTGCCTGTAAGACAGTCACCAAAGAGGGCTAGGAAGGATGACTCCTCTCCTTCCACCTCTTCTCCATAATTCTCTCCTCCCCCCTCCCGCTCTGCCTCCTGTCCTGCATGCTGAACAACACTAAGGTAAGATAAAGTACAGTATTTTTTACATTTTCCACATAATTTTTTCAGTGTTAAGTGGTTGTATTTGGGGGCCTGGAACGGATTAATCCAATAACAAACGAGGTTCTAGAACCAATTAGATTTGTTATAGCATACCCCACTGTATACCTATCAATAAGGCCAATGTGAGTTGACTTTCACAGTCTCTCTGAATAGCAAGAGGTTAATATGCCAGTGATCAACTAAAAAAAAAGTAATACAGTTAAAAAAATAAAATAAAAACAAATTAATAAAAATTAATAAAGAACAGTTCATTTAGACACTGGTCAGAAATTTGTCCTTGTATTTTGAATTTGAGATGCGGTAATATAGAATACAGTATATATGCTGTACTGTACAATATTTGTCTTATCTGTTTAATGGTAATGCTACACTTTTAAAATATAGGGATTTATTTATAAAGTATACTTACATAGCTATTCAATACTATGTACTAAAATTCTTAAGTTTTCTTGTTACAGAAAGCCATTTTTTTTTTAACATATATCTTGTCGGGATTTCTGGGGTGTAGGAATGTGCAGTGTTGTGCTGTGCAAACATATGATCAATGAAAATATCCTTGCATAGTAATCTCTCACTTTAACACAGAATTGGAATTTTACAAACATTACTCACCAACTCAAGGTAGTTCATAGTGTGTATCAGCAGCCAGCAATTCACTAGAAGAGCTCAGGCTCCCACTTGGCTCAGCCAGGTCAATATTGTTATTGTTTATGCTTGTGGCTAAATAAACTGTTTGAACATCAATTTCATGTCTAAAGGTACAGTGTAATTATGAAGTCAGAATTGAAATGTATAATATATCATAATCACTGTTTGACTACATTCATACTACAGTAAAGTTACTACAGGTTGTACCTCTCTAGTCCGGCAACCTCGGGACATGACCGGTGCCGGACCATGGAAATTCACCCTTTTCCTAGATAGATATAAATATAAATATAAATATATATATATATAAAAAAAAAAATATATATATATATATATATATATATAAATATAAATATATATAAATATATATACAGTTGTACCCCACTTAACGCGGTCAATAGAACCCAGAGGGTCCCGTGTTAAGTGAAATCTGCGTTAAGTGAACAACAGAACATATGGGATTAATTCCAATAGAAACCGGCCCGACCCCCAAACTCCACTTTTTGAAGACACATAACTATGTTGTAGTAAAAATAACATCATAATTTTATGATGGTACATGCACACAATTAATACTTAAGAGAAATAGAGAAATACAGTCGCCAAGTTAATGTCCATTCAAATAATGGACTCAACTCCCTCCCCCTCTCACACTACACTGCCGGCTCGTCCCTCTCTGAGAAATTTTTGGGGGAAAACCACTAAATTTTAATAAATAATACCTCAAACTAAAGTTAGGATAATACAATTGACATTGCTGGATTCCTTGTAAGACCAGGAATATTTTGAATATAAATGTCATATATTTTGCACAAAAGATAACATACTTACTCAGATTAAAAATTTTATCTAAAATTTGTATGTCTAATGCAAAATATATGATGTATATATTCAAAATGATCATCAAATTATAAGAATTCCAGCAATGTAAATTATATTCTGACCGGGTAATTTGTATGAATTTTATGAGCTAAAACAAATATCTTCAGTTAATAAAAAAAAAAAAATATTCTTCACGGGTAACAGATGGTCGGTCGGTCCCTCCCTCCCCCCCACCCCCCACCAACCGTCCCAAGGAGATGTGTGGGAAAACCAGAATACTTAACTTTTTTGTAATAAATAATACCTCAAACTAAAGTTAGGATAATATAATTGACATTGCTGGATTCCTTGTAAGACCAGGAATATTTTGAATATAAATGTCATATATTTTGCACAAAAGATAACATATTTACTCAAGAGTAAACATTTTATCTAAAATTTGTATGTCTAATGCAAAATATATGATGTTTATATTCAAAATGATCACCAAATTATAAGAATTCCAGCAATGTAAATTATATTCTGGCCGGGTAATTTGTATGAATTTTATGAGCTAAAACAGGCAGTCAGGCAGGGTGGCGGGTGGGGCAAATCTAAAAATAGCGTCTCGAGCCGGACACTCACCGCGTATATGATGAAAAAATCCGTGTTAAGTGAAAGTTCAGCTCTGGCGAGGCACCGCGTATATGATAAAACGCGCTAAGTGAAACCAAGTTAGGCGGGGTAATACTGTGTGTGTGTGTGTGTGTATATATATATATATATATATATATATATATATATATATATATATATATATATATATATATATATATATATATATATATATATATATATATATATATATATATATATATATATATATAAAATGAGGAATGGATACAGTGTGACTGAGCACTTACCTTTAATGTAGTCACCTGAATGCACACGGGGCCCCCATAATTTTCTAATTATACATGGAGACTACATTAACTGGAAGAAGCAGAGGAGGAGACAGGGCTGGGTGGGTCATCAATGTCGCTTTCCTCAGACAGGTTTATGGACTGTGGAAACTTCCTGGTTGAAGGTATTGGATCATCTTGAGGGAGTGAAGAGGCAGCACTGGTGGGGTGTGAGGAGACAGCACTGGGGGACTTCTTGAAATAGAAGTCCAGTTTAGACTGCACAGTTTGCTTTTTCTTTTCATTATAAATTTTTCTGTAGCAAGCAAGTGCATCTTGGATTATTCTGTCAACTTTGGCATAACGCGCATAATTTTGATCCATGCCATCAAACATTTGCATTCCTTTATTAATTGTAGCAAATGCCTCTGCCATTTGTTTCACTGAAAACTTTTTGGGGGGTGCAGGTTCTTCTTCTACATTTTGTCTCTCTTCTTCCTCTGCAATTTTCTGTGCATCTAGTTCAATAAGATCCTCGTTACTGAGCTCTTCTGCTACACTTTCAACCAACTGTTCAACATCTTCATTTTCAATTTCTAACTCCAGCTGTTTACCTAAATCCACTATCTTGTTACTAATATCCGAAATAACTTCATTTTCATTAAATCCTTTGAAACTGTTCACATATCTTTTCAGGATTTTCTTCCATATTCCATTCATGCAATGTTTTGAAACCTGATCCCATGCTGCACTAATATTCTTTATACCTGTGTACGGTACTATTTTCATTGTTTCAGATTTAGGTCAGGCTATATTCCCAAAGTGGTGATGTATGTCAACCACATGTATGTATATATTGAGTGGTATTACATGCACATGAAAGACATCAATGAGGGTCGATGCCCACTGCCCTGCAATATTACCTCGGACATCAAAGAGGTAAGTCTTTTACAGTAAAAGTTTAGTGCCTGAAAGTCAATACAAGGTACAGCATTTAACCTGTACAGTAACTATATCTTTATTGGCAGTACCATTTTGCACCTTGTTCGGAGCTGTGATTGTAACCTCTAAGAAATATTTTGACTAACTTTCCTGGAAAGTTAACCTGTTGTCTCCCTACATGGTTTAGAACAGGCCATGGTTATAATAGGTCAAAGAAATGGCTGTTAAGATTCAATGTTATGATGTGTAGGAGGATACACCTTGGTCCTACCAATAGTAAGGAGGAGTATTACATGCCCCAATGGGATGAAGAAACAACATTAATGGAAACGATGTGAAAAGGACCTGGGTGTGTATGTTGAGTGAACTGAAGTTCTTGGGCCATTTTCAGAAGATGAATCGAGTAACTAAGCTAGTAGGTCTTATAAAACGGTCGTTCAGATATCTTGACAGCCCGTCCCTAGTAATGTAGTTGATGTAGGGTAAATGATAATGTAGTTGATGTAAGGTAAATGGTAATGTATTTGATGTATGGTAAATGATAATGTAGTTGATGCAGTGCACACTACTGTATATTATTGTAAAAAAATATATTACTAGAACCTTTGTGAAGCCAGGTACTGATGCTGGTTTCCTTCAAATTTTGAAGAATAATTCTGTATCTGTTACCAGAACTCATATATTTTTCTCTCGCACAGGTAACGAGTGCAGATGCAGTGCTAATACATTTACTAAGTGTCAAATCTGCAGAAAAATTGTCAGAAGAATTAGGTACACGTGATCAATCACAACCATGGATTATGTTTGAACCAGAAACACACTTCAAGGGTAATGTTATGTTTCGCAATGACTACAAGTTGTTAAATGGCGTTTTCAATCGCACAATGCATTATCGACGGGACTCGGACATCTTGATGTTGCATGGATTTGTTGTACGTCGTGGAAGAGATGCCAGTCTGCTACCTCCAACATGGCGTCGCCAGCCAGAATTACATCAAATAAATAATACACAAAAGCTTGCTGTTGCATTTATCTCTAATTGTAAAGATAAAAGTGGAAGACTGGAATATATTGAAGCCCTAAAGAAGTATGCCCCTATTGATGTGTATGGCAAGTGTGGAGAACTTAAATGTGGACATTCCCTATTTACTAATGAGGGATACAGAATCGATTTAGAACCTTGTATGAAATATGCTGGACACCATTATCTTTTTTTTTTAGCATTTGAGAATGCCTTGTGCAAAGACTATGTTTCTGAAAAGTTATATAACCTACTTTACTATCCCATGGTTCCTGTGGTGTTAGGGGGTGCTGATTACTCTGCCTTGCTTCCCCCAAACTCCTATATCAATGCACAAGAATATTCACCACAACAACTTGCTGAAAAGTTGCAGCACCTGGCTAATCACCCTAAGGTATGGATTTTGTAATTGTTTAAATAGCTTCAATAATTGGTAAGATTTTATAACTTCACTGCTCTAGTTCTCTTTGCCACTGGTAAGGCATCAAATTGTACACTGTAACTAGGTAGTCTTTTCCATCACCTGTCAGTCTTAGTTGCTATCATTGTAATTTTTTCATGAACCCTCTTTACTCTGCTTTTTATTTTATATTTTCATCCTCTTTGCCACTGATTGGCTTGTTAGCCACTTGGGCAGTCGGTCACGTCTTTGTTACACACTGCAAGGACTGGGCATGTACTGGCTCCAAAATATATCTGTACCTGTGCCAGTGTTGGTCAAGTTTTATCTTGAATGAGCTCACATTAGGTACTGACATAAAATTCTCTGGCAGATTTTTCCAAGAGTTTACAATTCTCACTCCAAAAACGTTTACTTGAGCTGTGACCCCTCGTGCGGTGGGCGTCTGCCAGCTCCAGATATGAACACTCGACTGAGTAATGCCCCCTTGAGATGTTACACTCTTGAGTTTGGGAAGGTGCTCACCTCGGTGCACTTGACTGCACCACACGAGATATAGTTGTATCTAATGAGTCATAACAAGCTTGCTATTTGAGATAAAAAGGTGGGATTTATTGTATTGGCATTGTAAATAAATTATCTACAAACAGTTTTATATGAGCAATCACGATAAGATAATTTATATACGTAAGCGCGAGTGGAACACTTTTTTTTACTTAATGAAAATATTCATACATCACTTTATACCTTCGTTATTTCGTGTGATTGCAATACGTTATATATTTTTTGCAGTAAATAATATTCTGTAATTACAAGTAAAGGCCATGTTTACCTATAATTACAGTATGGAGCAAAGACTAACTTTTTTTACATAACAATGTATGATGATGGTGGCATACCGGTAAAATAATTACTGTATGGTTCAAAGTCATGTGCATTTGAGTTAGAGCAAACAATACTGTGTTTTCCTGTTTTCAGAATCGAATACGGTAGTCCTTACCACTATTACAGTTATAAGATTATTTTGCAACCGAATTTCGAATCTGTACAGTATTTATATTGCTACTTCACTTTTTGGCTAATGCCACATTGTCATTCTTTATTGGTACCCTGTATTGGAAAATATATCATGCTGTTCCGAAACATCTGAATAGCTCCACAGTTTCGCATGCCGTCATAGTGGAACCCAGCCCGACGACGTTTTACAATACGGTCGATAAATCCGGAAAGTCTAGTTCTTGGTTTCTTTTCAAGAGTGCCGATCACTTATTTCGAGCACGTGTGACCGAACCCATACACATGCAGGGCTACCAATGCAAGGAATGCCTCGGGATCCTTTTTGGAAACGCTTCATTTGTAGTGTCAGTTTGTTTCACGCAGGAATTGTAACGGTAGTGTTTTTACCGAGTGTACAGTAATGGTAATCGGTGGATAAATACTAGTGTTTGATTTATGATTATTCAGTTTATAATATGGTTTTGAAAGATGCAACCCTATTGAGGTTTATCTGTATTCATTTAAATAATGACACTAAAATATAAATTATACTTCAAAATACTGTACCAAAATAATTAAAATATTGAAGGAAAATTTTTCAAGATTTATACTGTACCTTGAAATGCATTTTTTACTTCTATCTGCAATATGTAAGTCTGTAGACAATACCACAATACAGTACTGGAATGTCAGAATGATTATGCTGTACAGGTATCATGTTTTCAGTTTCTTAATCCAAGCTCAAATATTTCTTTGTTGATTTTTTTTCTTATACCAACAGGAGTACCAGACCTACTTGACATGGAGACATTATTACCAGCCTTCAACTGTTGGTGGCAGCCGTGTTCTCTGTGACCTTTGTGTTCGACTCTATGATCAAGATTTATATAGTCACAAAGTCATTGATGATTTCTACGACTGGTATGTTAAACAATCAAACTGCAGTGCAAATGGTAAAGTTTGAAACCATAATTGATTCTCTTAATGAGGTTGAAATTGAAATGGATCACTTGAAAATATGTTGATGTGAACTGAAATTTTGTACAGTACAGGTACTGTATTCATAAAATAGCACGGACAAGATGGCTATTTTTGTAGCTCAAGGTGATGTGGTGGGATGCTTCAGGACTAAATAGGAAAGGAAAACTCAGAAGTATAGATGTCAAAATGTTAAATATTAGACTATCAGAATATCAAGTTGTCATTTTATGATTAAAATGCATTCTCCACCATCCACTGTAGTTTGAGCAAGGTTGCATTATCTATTGCTTATTGAAGGAAGTGATGAGGACACTTTATTTAGTCTGTATGTCAGACAAGCTATCAGCTTAACAATTACTGTATTTTGCTTCAGTAGTTGGATGTGACATGTTCCAGTGACATAGTATACTCTTGACAAGGGGCTACTTGCTCTGCCAAACTATGGTCAAAACATAGCTTTGAATTCCTTCTCAGTGGTTGTCTGCTGCCAGCCATACTGTCCACAGCCCTCCTCAAGGCAGAGTTCTACCTCTCTTTGTGGATGATTCATGAAGGAATGGGTATTAATTCACACTTTATTTCATTATCTGCCAATGTTGATGTTAACCACATGGTCCTTTCATATGTACAGGGTAATATTTCTGTACTGTTGATTAAAATAGCAGTGTCTTTAAGAGGTAGCTGTCAAATATTTTTTGCATTTTACTGAGCAACTTTATTGTCTCTTTCTTTGTAGAGTACAGTAATCCTTCTTCAACCACAGGGATTACATTTTATATTGCTCCTGTGGTTGGCAAGTGCTGGGGTCAAAGTAAAATAAAGGGCTTTAGGAAGTAATCCCTGAGAGACATACAGTACCTAAGTTTAGAATTTACAACTCAATATTAAAAATGCAGTAAATGGTGTTTGCTGTACATATTAACAATACAGTGATACCCCGATTTACGCGGTCAATTGAACCCACGGGGTACCGCGTAGAACGAAAACCTCGTAAATGAAATAACAGAACATAAGGGATTAATGAAGGGATTAATTTCAATAAAGACTGGCCCGACCCCCAAACTCCACTTTTTCAGACACAATGCCTACGTTGTAGTAAAAATAACATCTTAATTTTATGATGGTATGCACACACAATTAATAATTAAGAGAAATATGAATAATATAAAGTTTTTTAACACTTACATTAGTAGAAAAGATGGCTGGGCACACGGGGATGGGGGATTGGTTCCGGGGCAGATTATTGGCCCTCACTTGTATCAATTGTATCACTATCCACCACAGAGGCTTGCTGGGCCTCTTTGTCAAACCCGTCAAAGTCCATATAAGTCCATATCCTCACTATCACTGACTTGGGCCGGCTGTGGTGGGTAGCGGGTGAAGAACTCGGTGATGTTTTGATGAATGGGCGACTTTGTGCGCATCCTGTCCGCGCCGCTTCTCGCGTATATGAGTAGATGCACCGCGTAAAATGAAATTCCGGTTCTGGTGAGGTACCGCGTAAATGTAGAATCGCGTAAGGCGAAACCGCGTAAATCGAGGTATTACTGTACTATACTGCATAAAAATATTATACAGCTCTGTGAGGAACACCATTAACGAAACTCTCCATGTTCGTTGCTCTCCTTACAGGCAAAAGCTTTAAGTTTATTTTAAACTTTAAAAAAAGGTGATAGTGTTGAAAGTGAAACATTTGTTGCAAGTTGTGAGAAAATTTGACCAGAAATGTACCCAAGGAACATAAACCCTATTCATATCATTGTGTCTATGGTAGAATCGTTTTCACTTAAAGTTGTGGTTTTCAGGAACCTAACAATGAGATTAATGGGCGAATTGGTGTAGCAGTAAATGTGAGGAATAAATAAAAATACTGTACTGTACCTGTACAGGTATTACTAATAAATATAAATAAAATACTGCACTGCCATTTGGCAATCGTTTCACTACACATGGGACACAGGATACGGAGAAGAGCCGAGATCCCTCCCGTCACTTCTCCCCCACACCCGCTGTATGTGCTAACTCTGGCACACGAGGAAATACTGTACAGGCATCCCCCGGGTTACAGAAGGATTCTGTTCTGAAAAATCTTTCCATAACGTGAAATTCCATAATGCGAAACCATTTTTCCCACTGACTTCCATTATAAGTCAAGATGCGCTGCTATGGAAAAGTTTGAGGCCCTAAAATGTGACACAAACACATACCGGTATATGTATGAAATCAGATAGTTTTAACCACATACAGTAAGTCATTCATGATGTAACATGATAAATGAACAAAACATTGGATTTTTACTTACCAGAAATGATGTTGAGTGCTGAGTTAGGTGATGTGGTACAATTGGAGTTACTAGGAAGGAGATGGTGGATCACTGCTGACTCATGCCTCTCCCTGTGGATCATCATCTACTTGGGCTGCTGACTGAGATTTTAGGGCAAAGAACGTGTCCAATGTGGTTTGTCGTTGATGGTCGCAATTTCTCAGTGTACAGCTCCTTGTATCCCCTCATCAGGTTCTCCTATTCTCTTGTAAACTTGAGGCTGCATCCACAGTCTGGATCATGTGTCTCAGTAGCTTGCATTACATCCTGCAGTTGACTAAACATTTTGGACAAAACCTTTGTTGACATTTCACGGGATGATGCAACTTCTGTACAGGAGTTCTCTTGTTCCTCAGCAGCAACTTGCTCCTCTTCCATTAATATTAAATCCTCATTGGATAGATCCTCTCTGCGTGACTAACAGCTCTACTTCACCATCATGGTCTACTTCCACAAATCCTGCATCATTTGCCAGTTATAATGTCCTGTTGCACCTGATCAAAGATCTGGACCTGGGTAAAACCTTAGAAATCATGAACACAATCTGGCCAGATGTTCTTCCAGACTGCATTCATAGTTGTATTTTCACCTCATTCAGGGATTAGCAATGCCTATTCCTTTTTAATACTGCATTAAGTTTTAGCATTGTTAAACTCGTTTCTGGGATATAGTGTGTCCCACAGTCTGCCCCTAAGTAGGTCATAGATTGGGTTACTAATTTCTTGATTTTTTCTTGAAATATAGTAAATTTGATTCCTGACACTGTTACAGTATTCATTATCCTGGGTTATAATAATATTCTTGTTGTCTTTACAAGTCAGCTAATCTCCTCTACATTTCTAATACTCAACCCATGTGTTGCTATATCCGGTGCTTCTATCATCCTTTCTTACTTTATTAAAATCACTTAATGGTACTGAAATGAAGTATTTATTGAAATTCCCAGCTTCTTTTGTAAAGTTACAGGTTTTGTATACTGAGGGAGATGTTGGCTAGGAGGTAATGAAGGAGATAAATGGCTGGGAGGGAGTGAGGGAGATAAATGGCTGGGAGGGAGTGAGGGAGATAAATGGCTGGGAGGGAGAGAGGGAGATAAATGGCTGGGAGGGAGTGAGGGAGATAAATGGCTGGGAGGGAGTGAGGGAGATAAATGGCTGGGAGGGAGTGAGGGAGATAAATGGCTGGGAGGGAGAGAGGGAGATAAATGGCTGGGAGGGAGTGAGGGAGATAAATGGCTGGGAGGGAGTGAGGGAGATAAATGGCTGGGAGGGAGTGAGGGAGATAAATGGCTGGGAGGGAGAGAGGGAGATAAATGGCTGGGAGGGAGTGAGGGAGATAAATGGCTGGAAGGGAGTGAGGGAGATAAATGGCTGGGAGGGAGTGAGGGAGATGATGACTAGGTGAGAGTGAGGGAGATGATGGCTAGGAGGGAGTTAGTGATCCTGGGGAGGGAGGAAGATAATGACCAGGGGAAGGATGAGGGAGACATAACCTTTTTTGGAGTGACTGGCTGAGAATGCAACATGACTGCCATGAAACTACACTGATAGTTAATATGGACATCTCATGCAGTTAGGATATTTTCTCTGGTTATGCATGAAAACCCACACCTTCATAAGTTTGTGACCACAGTAAAATATACTTAGACTAGAATTTGAGTCCTACATACAGTATTTGAAAAGTGAATGCTTTTGTTAGACACATTGCCATGTGTAGGCTATCTGATTTGTCTTCCAAATTTGATGGAGCCAGTGAGCCAATTTACTCCACTCATCACATGTTACTGTGGCAGATTATGTTTGTTTAAATTATCTTTGGTTCATTAGGCTGTACAGTACTGTATTCAGCTTTGTATAGAGCATTTTTGTATTTTTAATCAACCAACATCATTGATATTTTTTTATACTGCCTGAAGGAGTTAAAAAGAGAGAAACATCATGAGTAATGTACAGTATATATATATATATAGATATTGATGCAAGTAAATCACTGTAGGTGTGCGTGATCCAGGTATATGCTGATAACCACAAGGAAAAAGAAAACACGAAGTTCCCAAGATATGAATTACACGAAAGCGCTTGGGAACTTCGTGTTTTCTTTTTCCTTGTGGTTATCAGCATGTAGATATTGATGTATACAGTATTGGCTACCTAGAGCAATTACGGAAAATGGCCATGAAATGATGACGACAGTACAGGGAGGCCCCCAAATTCGTGGGGGTTAGGTTCTCAAAATAGCCATGAATAGCCATTCGCGGACCCAAGGGGACATTTTTACTTGTGTACAAAAAAATTTATTGTATATTCACTTTGTGTTTTCCCTCAGGTCAATTACTTCTTTTACCTGTAGTATTGTATATATATATGTATGTGTGTGTGTGTGTAGACACACACAAAACATATACAAATAAATAAAAATTGGAAAATCCTCTCACAAATAATCAGAAACAAATTTATTGAAAATGTGACAATCTACTCTCAAGTCCATGCTCTCTTAATATAGTAATAAAGCACGGACTTGAGGGTAGACTGTTAAATTTTTAATAAATTTGTTTGATTATTTAAGAGTATTTCCCAAGAAATACTTGTCCCAAAGGCAAACACATAAAGGGTAGATCCAGGGTGTCACCCACAAAAAACCGAGAACCACGAAGTAAAAATCAGCGAACTTTGGGGGACATACTGTATATACAACAGTGCTTTGCTTTTTCCACGGATTATGATTTTAAAAATCCTCTTGGGCCACAAACTTAAAAGGTAAGGGGGAAAATAGGGCTAGGGACTTGAACTATAAAATACATTAAAAAGTATCCATAATAAACTTGGTTTTGCACTGTTTGTGATTTTTTCCTAAAAAATTTAATAACATAAAAACAAATCACAAACTGTGTCTGATTAAATTTACTGTAAAGGACAATTGTGCAAACACCAAGGCTCTGCTGTGCTTAAAAATATTGCTTTCAAGATGCATTTATAAGTATATTATTCAAACATTCCTCTTTAATTTACAGTTAATATTGCAGCTATGTTTGGCAAGTAAAATAAAAACTAGAGTATGACTTTACAACTTAACAGTATATAAGGACTTGGGCTGTAATATAGTGGGATTTTAAACATTGTTCTCTAAGTACAGTATGCACATAGCATGTGTTCCGACTTGCGTACAAATGCGACATAAGAACGTCCTCTGGAACGGAACCCATTCGTAACCCGGGGACCACTTGTATATATTCAGGAAAGGCAACAATTACTGTTGCTTACACCCATCAAGTTGTTCGTTACTCTCCACCGGAGGGGCCTCCATCTTCCTCATCGCCTTCCGCTTCCTCTCTACTTTCTTCTCCCCATCATCTATTTTCATTTTCAGTTCTTGCACCTAGAACAAATGCTTGACAATTAGTACAGAATATAAAAAATTCTATAATACCTTGTACAGTAGAATGTGGATATAACATGAGACGCTCCAAGAGTGGTTGCTTTAAACCGAATTCGTATTAAATCGAAGAGTTATTTCAATGGAATAATTTAGTCTGGTACTTGAGAGAAACACAAAATACTAAGACAGAGTCTACCCAGATGCACCTCAGCCCATCTCCTAGAATAAACAAACATTGTTTTTTGTAGTATTATGTTAAAACAAACACTCATAAATCAACACAGCTAAAATTAAGGGATGCGAATTGGTCTGTTTACTGGCTGGGAAGATAGGGGGGGGTGAGGTGATATGTTTGACAGTTGATACCAAGATCTTGTGCTTATTTATTTATCTGTCCTTAAGAGTGACTTAAGTTTTTCTCTTATAAAATGTTACTGAACTGACATGGGAGAAAATAATTAATATGGCTGGAATTCTTATACGATTGTGATTAATTTGAATATAAGCATGCTATAGCTCGCATTAGACATACATATTTTAGTTCTAATTTAAGAATTTTATTACAGAGCAAAATTTTTTATCTCATTTAAAATATATGACGTTTATATTCAAATTATTCGCTGTCTTGCAAGGATTCCTACAATACAAATTATATTCTAATTTTAGTCTGACATTATATAAGATAAAACTTTAAGCCTAAAACACCAAACCCTGGCTGGGAAGATGGGAGGGGAGGGAAGTGACAGTGACATGTTTGACAGTTGGAGTCGAAGGTCTAGTGAAGTATTTATTTGTATATTTATGTCCTTTAGATTGAGTTTATGTTTTTTGCTTTTAAAATGTCACAAAAGTGACCGGGGAGAATATAATTTACATTGCTGGAATTCTTATAAGATAGTGATTAATTTGAATATAAACATGCTATAGTTTGCACAAGACAAAAAATTTTAATAATCATTTAGTACAGTACAGCTTTGCCCTTAGGAAAGTGTAGCATGCCCAGTGAAACATTAGGCACAAAATTTTAAATAGGAAGCGCCAGATTGACACGCGCAAAATAGGAAAGATTCGCTATAAATTAAAACATTGTCCTTAATTGTGGGTGTCGCTTTAAATCAATAATCTTAAATTGAATCGCTTTAAATCGACGTTCTACTGTACACAGCAGATTGCAATAAAAATTGACAGTGCTACTAAAATCTGTATTTGTAGAGAATGAATGACATGGGGAAAGGTTGTAAGAAGTGACATTAGAGCAAATAACCTGAGAAGAGAGACTGTAGCATGGAGAGTTGCCATCAGGTAATTGTGGCTAACCCACGCAGGTGTGGAAAATGACCTTAAAATGCTTATAATGATAAAGGTGTCCCTTGCTGTCCAAATATTCGCTCTTCCGAATATTCTCTTCTATTACACCTCTTTTTCGGTATCTGGAGGTGGTATTTGCTGATCCAAATGTTGGTCGATTGAAAATTCAAATCACACGCCAAGCACAGCCTTGGGGTTAGCTGGGGATGCCATTTTGGCCCCTGGATGTACATTGTTCGGTGCAAGTGAAGTGATCTTTTTACCGTCTGTATTTGTGTCATCCTTTTGTAAATCTGTACACAATGGCATCCAACCATAGTGGTGATTCCTCTATTACCATCACTAAGAGACACCACAAACCAAGCGTGAGATAATCACGCATCACCAATGGGGTGAAAGCCCAATGTAAAGTATTGTACTGTACCAACTGTGCATACATATTTTTAATTTATTTTTTGTAGCTACATTTTAAATAATGCTTCAGTAACTGTGTAAATCAAAAGAATATACCAAAACACAGTAAGTTCAACTGCAAAATGAAAAAAAAAAAAAAAATAACAAAATAAATGAAAAGTTGATTGGGAACCGATTAAATTTTTTAACAATGCAATCTTTCCCCATTGATATATTAAGTTCTTCACTTTCCAAAAGGTTATCGAGGAACCCAACCCACTCAGACAGTGAGGGATACCTGTAAGTGGGTTGTAACAATTGACATGATAATTAAGAACCTGACAAGAGAGACTGCTAACACTGGTGGCCAACCCGTCTATTGCATGGCATAGTTAAAATTAATAATCCATCCTTCATAAGCTGCCATACAAAAATCGTATTCAAATTTTACTCATGATCATTGGGCTATTATTTTTTATATTTTTTCTGGAATAGATTATCATTATGGACACACCATAATAATGCATACAGCAAAACTTCAACTGTGCCGGAACCTGATAGGAAGTGTTTGAGTTCATACGGGTGGGTGCTGGCTGGTTCCTGGTGAGGAAACTATTCAGCAAGTTGTCATCAATTGTAGGCTTAAAACTAAGAAATTATTTGCTTTTATAAATTTTAAATACTGTACATGTTAAACCTTGTATTAATGAATTTGGTAATGCAAAATTCGACTCAATATTGAAGAGTCTTGTCAACCCTACAAGCCGACACACTTGTCACCAGCAAGTGCAGTGATTTTCAGTCATCTGCAATACTTGGAAGTGTGAGGTGGTGTCTCCTGTTACGGAAAAGTCTTTTCTCGGTCCCTATATGTGTTGGTTATCGGGGTATACCTGTACAATACAGTATATGTGAAATGACGTATACCAGTACAACATATAGCGAGTTCCCACTATACCTGCTATCTTATTGTGCCAACTCAAGTCATTCACTACCACATTTCTACGGCCCATAGTTGGTGGAAATAAAGAACATACAGTTGGGTCTCACATTACGCGGTTAATGTAACCCGGAGGGTACCGCGGAAAGTGAACAACATAACATATGGGATTAATTGAAATGGAGTCCAAGCCGATCCCCAAACTCCACTTTTTGACGACACACAACAATGTTGTAGTAAAAATATTATCTTAACTTTATGATGGCATGCACACACAATTAATAATTAAGAGAAATATCAATAATATTAGGTTTTTTAACACTTACATTAGTGGAAAAGATGGCTGGGCACACGGGGATGGGCGGTTGGTTCCGAGGCAGAGGGCAGATTATTGGCCCTCACCTGTATCACTTGTATCAATTGTATCACTATCCACCACAGAGGCTTGCAGGGCCTCTTTGTCAAACCTCCCAAAGTTCATATGAGTCCATATCCTCACTATAATTATCACTATCACTGACTTGGGCCGGCTGTAGTGGGTGGCGAGTGAAGAACTGGTAATGTTTTGATGACTGGGCGACCTTGTGCGCACCATTTTCGCGCCTCTTACACAACATGGCGGATGGCGGGAGGTTTGGATCCAAAAATGGCGCGGCTTGCCAGCCGCTCTCCGCGTAATGGGGTTCACGACCGCGGAATGTGAGCATGTTAGGTTCCGGCAGGGCACCGCGTTAACGGTGAACCGTGGAATGCGGGACCGCGTAATGTGAGGGTTGACTGTATTTTACATTTAATTTTTGTTGTAAATTTAAGTAAATATGGCAAAAGGAGTTGAGTGCTGTATCCACTTGACCATCACACTCCTATGAAGGACTAAGAAGAAACAAGCTGGACACTGATACACAGATAGATAATACTTACATCACCATTGTATTCCTGAACAGTAACAGTTTCAGTCATATGAACAGATTTCTTTTGCCTTTTCTTGAGCTCTTGTACAGATGGAATTTCATTCTCTTGATTAGCTGCAACCTTGCTTGGACTCAAGTCCACTCCATTGCCCGAATTTGCATCTGAGTAAAGAGATGATATACACTTAACTGAATAAACATATCCATGTAATTTATCATTTAGCAAAGTCTTTTCTCCTTGTCTACATTTTTGTACCAAGTTATTTCTAAATGTACTGTAGAACTGTATATATACAGTATGTCACAGTACTGTATTACCGTAATCACTAATTTCAATTTTTTTACACAACAGTAAACCCCCGATAAATCGGAATTTCATATAACTTGGCATGGATATAGTCTCGGAATGTGTTAGTATAACTTGGGAAATGCCAAGATATATAAAATTATCTGGGAAAATCCCACCATATCTGGCCACCTGCATCACCTACCATGCCTCTGTGTCACCTACCATACATCTGTGTCCTCTACTATGATGCTTCATTCTTCACCTGCTGTGCTGGTAAGTGTTACTTTTTTACATTTGGTAATTACATGTAGTACATATATATGGGTCGATAATTTTTTATTGTTGTATTTTTGTATGAGGGGAGAAGTGCCTCGATAAGTTGGAATTTGGGATAACTCGGCAAGGCCAGAGCCCCATATGTGCCAAGTTATCAAGGGTTTACTGTATCTAGATTTGCCATAACCACAATATACATAAAGTTTAGCCTTGGGTCTTGATGTAGATGCTGGCACAGGTGCTCTGGTTAATGAAATACTGTACTTCAAGGAGGGAGACAAATATTTCGGGTCATGAAAGAAAGTGTTTTTACATTACACAGTGTGTGTGCAACTAAATAGAAACGGCAGTCCAGTACCTGATCGAAACTTCTTACCTATACTTTTGGTTTGTCTTTCTACTTCTTGCATTGTGTTTGGGTTCACCAATTTCTCCTTCAGTGGCACCGTCTCCATAGGAAGTGAAATTTGAGTTTGTGCAGTTGAAAAGAGCTTTTCAAAGCCAGGAATTTTTTCTACTACCCTCTTTACTTCTTGTGAACCTGGACCTGAAAATTTTAATATAAAAACAAAGAAATTATTAAGTAAATCTACACCAGAACCTCAATATATGCGAATTTAACTTTCGCAAATTCAGCTGTATGCAAAGAGCCTCAGAGGCTTATCTATCAAAATAACATAAAAAGGTATGGTGCTTGTTTAAAAAACCATGGGCATCTACCTCCTCCTCCTCCCTCCTGAGCTACTGTAACTTTAATTCTAACTTTGTCATTGCTCTCAAAAGGCCATTAACTGGTGGGAGTGTATCTGGTACAAAGAAAGTTATGACAAGCAGAAAATTGAAGTGGTGGATAAACTCGCTTGTGATATGAGTGCATTTGGAATGAATGAGCCAACTGTTATGGCTATAACCCCTCAATGGAACTAAGCATCAAAGTGAAACAAAATGTCGAGAATACTTTGTAACCTTACCAAGAAATCTATAAAGAACTAAAAAAAGAAAGCCAGGCAATTGCCAATAAAATTTTTTTAAATGTCAAGATCCAGCCCCCATCAATCACTGTTCCTCTCTAAGCCATGAGAAGCACTATTGACTTCTCTCTGCCCTGGGTGGATCAGCTGAGCTGCCATATTTACATTTATGTGGCTGACTAAAAATTTTTGAGAAAGAATTTCTTCCTTTCTCCTCTTACTATCTCACATGAATAATAATGAGATAGAAAAGGGAGGGAGGGAGAATTGAGTAAGATGTAGCACCCTGAGAAATCTTCCTCTTTCTCTCTTGTTCATGAAGGAAGAAAGAGAAAAGGGGAAAGAACTCCCTCTCCTCCCCTTTATATTCTTTCCCTCTTCAAAAAGATGTCTTGGTAAGTGGATGTATTGTGTATTTGATTTCTTGGTATCTCTAACTTTCTGCCTGTCACAGAGAAAAATACCCTATTCTTCATAATGTTGGGGTTCCCAACAAAATAAAAGAAATAAAAATTTGATGAACGATAATGGAATATTTGAAAGTAGAGGTAAAGAGTGAACACAATGTAGATATGATATGAGACATGCTGTGATAGGAAGCTGTATTGTACTGTTGGCATTGAAATCAATGTCAGTGCAGATGAACTTTATTGTTTCCTCAGCTTTTAACAACACCATGAAACATAATTTGTGCAATTTACATTGTACAATTACAGCCTGAATACTTTTATACTCATTCATGTCACAATTTTCCTTTAAGAAAATTAAACGTAAATTGATATAAAATTTTTAGGTATACCTGTACAGTATTGTATTTTTCAGTGATCATACTGCAGATTAGAGTGAATCCTGCATAGTTTGTATGATTCAACAGGCTACAGATTACCAATTTGCACATTAAAAATCCAATAACGAACTCCAACCTGATGAGGGGAAGGATGTACTGTAATTCATTATTTTGCTTCTGTATGCATACAGTACGCATGTATTTAAACAACCTCAAGTTGTGATGCCTAATTTGGGACCTAACTTAACCAAAACTCGACCCAACCATTTGGTGTGGTCTTTCTCATGAGATTAAACCATCCAGGTACAGTCATTATGGAATAAATGCCCCATTACCAACCCCAATCTCTCCAGATTCATGGCCCCATCCAACAGCACTGTACCTGCACCATCAACACAATCCCAAGTAGTTTTACCTGTGCCAACAAACATCTGAAGATGAAATTGATCCCCATCTCTACTGGCAACAGAACCAGACAACCTTTTCAGAGCTAACCTATCACTACCTGGCCATACCAGCAACTTCAGCTTCAGTAATAACTTTTCTCCATTGCTGGAAGTATTCCAGCTGGAATGCTGTAGACTGTCAAATGTCCACTTTGAGGAGCTCATGTTTCTTAAATGTAATAAGCAAACCAACTATAACGAATCTAATTGGTTCTAGAACCTTGTTCGTTATAGCATTCGGTTGTTATAGGATTAATCCGTTCCAGGCCCCCAAATACAACCACTTAACACTGAAAAATATAATATAAAATTGTAAAAATTGTAAAAAAGTGCATAAATATGCATCTAAACCCCTGAAATAAAGAATATCATTAATATTTGTAATAAAAATCAATAAATTAGAAAAATAAATAAAAAAATAAAATAAATAATGTTCGTTGTAGGAGTTTCGTTCGTTATAGCATTCTCAATTTTATAGGTAAAACCGTTCGTTATAGGAATATTCGTAGTAGGATCCGTTCGTTATAGCATACCCCACTGTACTGAGTCTATAGATTGCTAGTTCCTAATTGACAGTATAGATTGTATTCTTACAATTCAGAATAAAATCTAGTACAGTGTACTGTAGTGAACATACTGTATCTATACATTCTTCCACAAACATAATACCTGTTCAGTAAACCAATAACATGCCCATATTACTTATAACTCCATAAAGTGGAAATCATTACCTTATCAAATTATAATGAAGATTTTTAAATGCTAATAAAAATAATCAATTATAATAAATTTGACTGGCCTGCAATCATAACCATAATCAAAAGGTGTAATGTCTGATTGGAACACAATGTTCACTAAGTATACTATTCAAGATTCAAATCAAACTCACTTATCTCTCTGTTTTTCTCTGAAGCCATTTCTTCCAGTTTCACCGTCAACCTAATTATTTCAGCATTTGTTGCATCTCTTGCTCCTTCAGCCTGGCGAAGCTTTCGCTGTAACTGTAGTATTTGGTCACTTAACACTACTTTGTCAAACTGTGCTGTGTGCAACTCTTGACCAAGCTCAGCAATTTTTTTCCTGAACAAGATACAATTTATATTGTAGAATACTGTACTTTACTTTCAGTAGAAACTCTGATAAGCATTAGAGAAACTATTCATAATACATACTGGTGTGCATACAAAAAGTCATCATATGAAGAACTTTATGCAAAAACATAGATGTGAGCCAGAATTCTGATGCTGAAAAATAAAATATTATATAGTATAGAGGTAATATGTGAAGAAATTTTGTATGAAGTGTGGTTAAAAGTACACTATTTGGCAAAGACTTTGCATAAAACCCACCTCTATGTGAAATATACTTGTGAAAGAGATTAGGGGGAAATATTATGAAGAAAGAGGGTATAAATTGACTGACCTGTAATAATACTGCCATTACCGTAAGTGCTGCTTGGCAATTTATCATTGCTTAAGGAGCATATAGTGTTTACAGCAGAGCACACAATCCTATGTGAACAATGTTTGTGCTACATGCAACATTCTCCCTATGCTGAATTTGGATTCAAATTCTGGATTTGGTGATTGCTCAGGATAAAGGTTTCTGACTCTTTAAGAAGATTTACACATCAATCCTCCTATATACTTTACAGGTCTTCATTAGTGACATTCAAGATCTAAAGTAGCTGTGAAGTGGGAGAAGGTGGTCATTTGGCAAATGCACTACTAAAACTGGCTGAGGACCATGTACAAGGAGAGGCAAAACCTCATAACTCAAGTGCTCTTAACTGCACTGCTGGGTTGTGTGACCTTCATCAGTTCATTATTAAATTAGGGATATATCTCATACATAACTGTAAATTTGAAACTAAATGCCCACAAAGCTGACATTGGTGGCAGTTTAGTGGGATTTTAAAACTATACTTGTATCAGCTTTGTGGGCATTTAGTCTAAACTTATATTTCATTAGTGTGATAATATACCACTGGTGGCAGTTATATGTGATTTAATCTTGAATTTTAATTAGGGAATAGCACCATATTTTTTAGCTAAGAATTCTTTGTAAAGATGAAACTCTGAATTTGGAAACTACTGATGAGGAGAAACAGGTTGAGTTATGAGGTGCTACGGCTAATTTAGTCGATCGAGTAGATCAATCTCAGACTACAGTACTCACAACACAAAGTCAACTACAAAAATCTTGAATGAGTTTAGTGGTAGAGTTCAGAATGCAGAGGAAGAATTTGGAGGCTTAACAGTAAATACGCATTGTATTTGGAACATATTACTGATGATACTAGAGAAGTCTGGAATTGAAAACTCCAAAGAAAAATTAAACAAATGAAGATACCATAAAGGGTATACTGTACAGGGGGTCCCCGGGTAACAAATGGGTTCTGTTCCCAAGGATGTTCTTAAGTCGTATTTGTACCTAAGTCAGAACACATGTTATGTGCATACCGTACTTGCAGAACAATGTTTAAAATCCCATTAAACAGTATCATAGCTTAAGTCCTTATATACCTCTAAAATCACTTAATTTAAGAGAAAAGAAGAAATAGAATGACAAAATACAGTACTATATGAAAGTAAAAAATATGTCATCAGGTAAATACAATAATGTAAATTTCAAGTTTAACCATGTTCATATTGGTGGGTGTTCGTAAGTCGGAGACCCCCGCGATATTTTGCAAGACATTAATCAGATTGAAGCACCTAAGTAATCATGTATTCCTGAACACATTTTGAATCCAAGGGCTAATAGTACAGTACTACATTTCAAGTGATGTTACTAATGTCTGACCAAACAACATTTCAGCAGTGTTGACAGTATTGCACAAATTATTGGTACTGAGAAAGTAGAATTTGCCATATCCAGGATGGACAAAGATCTTAAAATTTGTTGGTGAAAATTAGAATAGTGCAGGACAGAGGACATTTAATACAACAGAACAGCTTTTAGAACAGGAACTAAAATGACTAAATACAGTACAGTCTCTCCTCAACTTACGACGGAGTTCTGAACCAAAGACCAGGTAGTAAGTTGAAAAGGTGAAAATAATACATAGAAAATCTAAAATGGGTGTCTTTTTCTTCTTCTTAGCACCATGAGAATGCTCACTTTTACGCTTGCCAGCCATTTTAAAGGGAATTACAAACGAAAATTTTGTCAGTACACAGCACGATCACTAATGTCGGGACTCGAAAATACGTAATGTGAAAAATATTTTATACAACTGTGGCGGTCGTATGTCCGGATGGTCGTGAGTCAAGGAGCACCTGTAGTTTAACAGATGCCAAAAGAATGTTGTTCAACGAAGAGTATGATTTTTCTGAAAGTCCTAGAGAATTTGCTCATAGGTTTAAAGCAGCAGTTCTTAACCAGGGGAGGTGTGTGTGTGTGTCGTGCAAACCCAGAGCAAAAATAAGGAATGGTCTTAACAGGTGTGTATGTCCTTATTTGGATTTTCGTGGGGGTCCTTGCTCCCCACAGATACTTCAAAATGTCATAAATGGTAACTACGTCAGTCAAAATGTAAAATTCCACAAAAAGTGACTGAATTAAGGTAGTAATAATGTTGGGAAGTGTACGATAATTTTGAGGCTCCAGCACAATAATTCACATTTGAAAATTTTTCAACACTGACTGCGAACGGTTGCTTATACAGACTCTTGAATAATTAAAGTACGAATGAAAAACTAGTTTCTCAATTTTCCTATTTAATTCAAAAGGAAATTGTTTTAGAATTTTTAGATTTAGAATTTTATATGAAGGAAGGAGGGGCTGTGGAGATGAGGACCAATTGCTATAGGGGGCACAACCCTCAAAAGGTTAAGAACCACTGGTTTAAAGATAAATTTGAAGCCACTTGTAGCACATTTCCTGTACTGTACATCCTGTGCTGTGATGATTCACATTACAGAAGATCTTATCACAATGTTTTAAGACTAAGATATTTAAACATAAGCAAGAAGATAAAATTATTTATACTGTACCAATAAATATGAGGAATTAAAAAATTTATGTATCACCATTTGGCTGCTCGATGACAAAATATTTCTTAATTGTTTCAATACTGTAATAAGGATGAAATGCTGTGACTTTAGATAATGAAATTCTTGGTGTTATTTAAACTTGTTTGCAACATTCATCTTCATGATTGCAAAGGTATGGACTGGATTCTTATTTATCCTATACTGACTCCTGACTCTACTGTAGATGATTATGAAACATATTTTCAGACAAAATCCACCTTTCTCCAATGTACTGTCCAGTACATAACTCTTAATAGCACATTCAAAAATAGTAAAATTTAGTGGAACCATGGCCACCTGTGCAATTATTTATTCATATATTTTGACCTTTGATTCATCTTTTTCTGTTTCTCTCTCAACTTGTACACAGTTATGGATTTGCTGTAATTCCCCCCTAGAAGTACTAATCTCCTACAACTAATATGACTTTCCATCATACTACTCCCACCTTGTGCTGGAATACATTTGTATAAGTTGCACCAATCCAGTGAGCTTTAATTATTACACTTGCAATTATATTAACTTTAATAATTACCACTCGACTAATGAGCCGACATTTAAAATTTCGTCAATATTTCCGCTTACTAGTAAATACTTAGATCATGCAGATACAGTATCTAAAAGATCAGGAAAGAACCTCCAATTGAAGACAAAATCGTAAATAGTATGTCAAAAGGTTTGTTTACTTACTGACTTTTTCCATACATATTTTGGAAGAAAGAATTTGTATCCTGGTCCTCATCTACTCCTTCCATCTGTAATAAAATCATCAGTTAATTTATACTGTATTACAGTCAGACAACATTGCAGTATTTGATTCACCAAATAAAGGGGATATGGTGTCTTTTAGTCCTTTCTTTACAGGCATAATTACTTTTGAGTTTCTCACTCATCCCCTAAAATATTTAGACATTCTCCTCCTCCTGTGTACAGTCATGGAAAAAAGTCATGTCAGTCCACTGTCCCATCCATGAATTTATGAATCTGAGGCATCAAACAGTGTGCCATCTATGGGCCCAATAATGTGCATTGTTTCAGATTCATAGGTTCATGAGTCTCAGGGTTCGTGAATGGGATAGAGGACCGACAGGACTTTTTTTCCGTGACTGTACCTTGTTTGCAAAGTAGTTAAGTTTTCCTAAAATCTTCTTATGTTTCACTACCCATTTTGATAATGCACGTCATCAACTATGGACTATTTATTCTGTATGGCATAGCTAAGTCTACCATACCATTCTTTCTCTTAATAAAACACCACTAAGAACAACTGAGGTGCGTACGACCAGAGTGATCTGCCGTCTACCAGTCACCAGTCCTGCACGTAGCAATGCAAGGGTGTTTTGCTTCATAGCAAAATTTTTCATCTTGCCACTTCCATTCTGAGTAACCGAGTTTCTCTTTCTCTGGATATAGAGGTGGATTCCATATTCTTTTGTGAACAAATCTTGATTTTGACCATAGTGGCGCCTTGTCCACTCTGGTCGTACACGCTTCAACTCCTATACAGTGATCCCTCGGTTAATGAAATTTCGGTTAACGAATTACCTTCCATAAGATTCTTCACTTCGATTCACGAATTCCTTACGAATTTTTCCCAACATGTTTTCGCCTGCTCACCAGCTGTAGTATTAGTCCGCCAATACAGTAATCGGTTTTAGGGCTTAAATTCGTTACCATTTGAGTAAATATGAAGAAGATTGAACTATTCAATAATTTTCCAAGTCTTATATTAAAGATTTTAGTAATTTTAACAATTATTTAACATAATTGAAGTACAGGGAACTAGTTTTTAGCGCACCAAACAGCCACTCAACACACCCAAAATGGCGTCAGTGTGTGTCCCTGCTCAGTGGAGGAAACTTCTTGCTTGAGACTCTCTTGAACATAAGCTATTTTTACGTTTTTACAGTACAATTATTGGTCATTCTGAAGTTTATTTTACATATTGACAATATAATGCAGTGCAGTGTTGATTTGAAGAAAATAATCTTGAATTACACCTAGTGAACTAAAATTTTATGGATGAAATGGTGGCATGGGGTGACTTCTCTTCCACCCTAATGCCTTCTCTTCTCCCTTCTCCTCCACTCCCATCATCATCATCATCAACCAGGAGCCTTCTACATGCACACCTCAAAGTAAGTGTACTTTACTGCATTTATTTTTAGTTTGTATGTAATTTTTGTTGAGCTGGAACCAATTACCCCAAATCCCATTGAAACAATGGTTTCGGTTAACGAACGACCATCTGGAACGAATGGTGTTCATTAACCGAGGGACCACTGTACAGCATTTCCCCCAACTTTGCGGATTTTTACTTTGCGGTTCTCGGTTATTCGCGGAAGACACCCTGGATGTACCCAAGAATGTCTGCGGGTAGTTTTAAAGGTGCCAGCATTCTCACGGCTGGAACAGGGAGCCATTCGTTCTAGAGATAGTAATTTCCTTTACCTGTATTGTAAATGTGTGTGAGTGTAGACACACACAAAATACATACAAATAAATAATAATTGGAAAATCCTCTCACAAATAATCAAAGATGTGAGTCTACCCTCAAGTCCGTGCTCTATTACAGTACTTTATTAATAGAGCACTGACTTGAGGGTAGACTGTCACATTTTTTATAAATTTGTTTCTGATTATTTGTGAGATGATTTTCCATTTATTATTTATTTGTATGTATTTTGTGTGTGTGTGTCTACACAAACACACACACATATATACAATACTGCAGGTAAAAGAAATAATTGTCCTAAGGGCAAACACATTAAGGGAATGTACATTACTTTGTACACAAGTAAAATTGTAGGAAATGCTATTCACGGATTTGACAATTTATGCCATTTTGAGAACCTAACCATGAATTGCCCCAGGTAGAGGATCTCGGTTTTGGGGTGTGTGGATAGCAACGACTCATGGCAAGAAGTGAGATAGTCAAAGTTCTAAATAGTTGTTAGAGTTGGGAGAACAGTATAGGAAACAGAAAAATAGTCACAGTAGGTAGAGATATTTAGAGCCAGATGACATCATAAAGAGAAGATTCAAAATCCGTGAGTCGAGCTATAGGTGTACGTGTGTTGCAGTAGGCCCATACACCTCCCTAAGAACGGAAAGAGGTATAAAGGTTGTAGTTGGAGACTTGAAAAGGTTTGGGTGTTACTGCATTTTTTAATGTATTATGTATGATGTTTAGTGTTTATTAAAGCAGTTTTGGAAAAGTTTATGGGTATTTCTTGGCTTCTGGAATCAAACTAGTTATTTCCATTTAAATCAATTAAAATATAATTTGTGATTTGACAATTCACAATGCTTTTTTGGTATTTAACCCATGAAATATTGAAACTCCACAGTAATATATTACTCACATTAGGTATAACAGCAGTAGTACGAGTAACCTGCTGAGTTTCAAGTTCCTGACAACGCTTTGTAAATATCTCTAGTTGGGATCTTGTAGAGGCTAGTGATTCCTCCAGGTGGGTAAGGTATTCTCCATCTACTCTGTTGTTACTCAAACACAATAAGGAAGCCACCTGCAGCTGAAATAGGAAGGTATTTTATATTTCACTGTTAATGTGTATTGTATAGTTACAACGGCATCAAACTTAAACCCCTCCAGATTGGACACGTATCTTTTAAATTGGGCTATTTTGCCTTAAAACAGCAATAATTAGTTTACTCCGAGACCTGGTGAAATAACGCATCATTCTGGAAAATTTCTATAGTCAACCCTCACTTTACGCGGTTAATGTAACCCACAGGGTCCCGCGGAAAGTGAGAAACACGTAAAGTCAATAACATAATATATGGGATTAAATGAAATAGAGACCAGCTGACCCCCCAAACTCCACTTTTTCCAACACAATACCTATGTTCTTGTAAAAATAACATCTTAATTTTATGATGGTACATGCACACAATTAATACTTAAGAGAAATAGAGAAATACAGTCGCCAAGTTAATGTCCATTCAAATAATGGACTCAACTCCCTCCCCCTCTTCTCACACTACACTCGCTGGCTCTTCCCTCTCTGAGAAATTTTGGGGGGGAAACCAGGTATAGTAATAAATAATACCTCAAACTAAAGTTAGGATAATATAATTGACATTGCTAGATTCCTTGTAAGACCAGGAATATTTTGAATATAAATGTCATATATTTTGCACAAAAGATAACATATTTACTCAGAGTAAACATTATATCTAAAATTTGTATGTCTAATGCAAAATCTATGATGTTTATATTCAAAATGATCATCAAATTGTAAGAATTCCAGCAATGTAAATTATATTCTGGCCGGGTAATTTGTATGAATTTTATGAGCTAAAACAAATATCTTCAGTTAACAAAAAAAAAATATTCTTCACTACACTATCTGTCAATCAATGTACCCCACCTTGCCTCCCCCACTCTTCCAAGCGCCAGATGGTCGGTCCGTCCCAACCCTCCCTTCAAGAGAAAGGTTGGGTGAAAAAACTAGATTTTAACATTTAGTATTAAATAATACCTCAGATTAAAGTTAGGATAATATAATTGACATTGCTGGATTCCTTGTAAAACCAGGAATATTTTGAATATAAATGTCATATATTTTGCACAAAAGATAACATATTTACTCAGAGTAAACATTATATCTAAAATTTGTATGTCTAATGCAAAATATATGATGTTTATATTCAAAATGATCATCAAATTGTAAGAATTCCAGCAATGTAAATTATATTCTGGCCGGGTAATTTGTATGAATTTTATGAACTAAATAAAAAAATTATACTTCACCACGTAAAGGGGTACACCCACCGCGGAATGTGAGCATCCTGGGTTCTGGCAGGGAAACGCGGAATGTGGGACCGCGGGACTGCGTAAAGTGAGGGTTGACTGTACTTAGAAAATTCCGGGGATGGGGATTTTTTTTCCATCTTTTAGAGAGTCTTCTCTTTACCTTGAATCTCTCATTCCTGGAAGTGCTCTGCACAAATTGTTGGCAATATCACTGAACAAACCTTCATTTTATGAATCTGTTGAGCTTTCAGTTCACATTGTTTCTTCACTATCGTGTAGTTAGTCTTGTACTTTAGGAGCTGTTTCTCCATAGCTTGCCTGTGATCCTCAACCTCAGCAAAGAGAGAGTTTCCCTTCCTGGCTGGGTCTGTCTCAGCCAGCCTTAGACTTTCTATTTCCATATTTAGCTCTTGCATTTCCTCCTTGTTTTTCTGGAAAAATATTTTAATATTATCACAACCATATTTTATAACGCTATGAAATTGTAGGTAATAAGAAGCAAAATATACAAGGTAAAACAAATGAAAATGTATAAACATTATTCCTTTGCACAGTATTTAAATAATGTACAAAAGAAAAGCTCAGGTCACTTTGGAGTTCATCATGCTACTTATCCTAAAGTGTCCCTGTTTAGGAGTGAGGACCTGTATACAATTATGCAAGTATAATGTTCTTCTCATTATTCAAACAGCTAACTACAGTACAGGTACCACCCCCTCCCCCCCCAACACATACACAGAGCACTTAAAAATTTCACTTTATACATCTTCAACGAAATCTTTTCACGTAAGAGTACAATATTACTGTACCTTGAAAAATTAAATAGCAGCTAAAGAGAGCAAGAGATCTCTTGATCCATTGGGAATATATATACACGGGGTCCCTGGGTTATGAATGAGTTCCGTTCCTTCGGACGTTCTTAAATCTGATTTGTACGCAAATTGTAACACATGCTATGTGCATACCATACGAACAGAACAATGTTTAAAATCTCACTATATCATAGCACAAGTCCTTATATACAACTAAAATCACTTAATTTAAAACGAAAGAAATAGAATGACAAAATATAGTAAATGAAAGTAAAAAATAAGTCATGTAAATAAAATACTGCAAATGCCAGAAGACTGGCATTAATCCACTATCAGAAGACATTGTTCTACCCTTAGACAAGGTATTTGCCTAACCTTAACCAGCCCAGCAGTATGCACAATCATTACTGTGCAAGAAAGCTTTAAGATTAGGATGAACACTTTCCTCAAGATCTAGTCTACCCTTCCCCAAGTCTTATCTACTGTAAGAGAGAGAGACAAGAACGGAACAGTTAATTATTTCAGGTTATATATTGTACATCTTTATACTACACCAGAGCTTCTAGCAGCCTTTCCATTCTTCTTTTTGTCAGTTACTTTTATCACCCATTCCCTTTCAATCCTTGGGTATGATTCCTGCACTGGCTCTACTGCTTATAGGCTGCCTGTCCTTGTCAACCTCCTCATCAGCAGAAAAGTTGCAGTATTTTCTCCAAGCATTATTTATCTCCTCATTAACACCAACCATATTACCATAGTCATTTCTCATGCACTGCTAACCAGGATTCGTTGAGGACAGGTGAAGCTCCATCAAGAGTTTGATATCTTCCAGGCAAAATGGTCAATCTCAAGTTCAAAAGTGGGCACATTATTGAGGCAAAAGAAGTAAGATCTCTGAGAAAATTCCAAACAAATTTCATATGATAATGAATGTATAAGGATCAAACTGCTATATAAGAAACAGGATACTGAACAGAGAAATAATACATGTAAGCACAACAGCCTTTGGTAAGAAAGCTTGCCTCTTGGTATTGCCAAGGATAATTTTTTCCATATAAGTGTTCACTAAAGAGCAATATAAGGCTGTGCAGATGTAGAGATTGGTAAAATGGCACTTTCCACTTCACAAAGGTCAAGCCAGAAAAACAAAACAATACTTATGCTGCTATAATGCAGAATTCTTTTAATAGCACTAGTACAGTTCTTACCTCCAATGCATTATAATACGAAGTACACTGACATTCCTTCTCTTCTACTTCTGCTTCCAATTTTGATACAGTCTTCTCAGCCTTTGCTAGTCTGTACTTGTCAGCCTTTTTAAGAGCAGTAAGGGATGACACTTGCACCTCTAATTCTTGTTTTTCACATGTCAAGGTCATAATCTGACTCTGGAAGAGAATCATTATATATATATATATATATATATATATATATATATATATATATATATATATATATATATATATATATATATATATATATATATATATATATATATATATATATATATATATATAAACAGTATACTGTATATCAGTAAAGTCTCCCTTAACCAAACATCTCCAGTACAGTGCTAAAAATGAAAGCTGTCCAGTTGTTTCCTAAAAGTTTCCTCATTTCAGATAACAGTACCGTAGTCCATAATTTATGAAACTTTGGTGTACGAAAATGTCAGGTTACAATTTTTCCCATGATTTGATATACAAAAGAAAAACCTGAAGTTACAAAAATATGTTTTTCCATTTTTGTAACTTTTCCCTAAATATAAATGAAAACACAGCATGCTAAAATAATGCATTCTTTTACCTACCAGGGAGTCCTATGGTGCCTAAACAATTCCTACAAAGACAATTTGAATCATCCTATAGGTCATGCACTACTTAATGTTCTTCTCTTATTTCTTCTTTTTCAGGTGAGGGAATCGTAACAAATCAAAGAAGATTGGGCGTCAGGACCAGTCTAATGGCCACCAAGATCTCTGTAACTCACACCTCTCCTTTCTTCCTTTGGGGTCATATTAATGATTCTTGGAAGAGCTTGGTAGATGACAGATTTTAGGTGACCCCAGAGGAAGAAAATGAGAAATGTAAGACCTGTACACCTTGGTGGCCATTTGATTTGACTCCTTGTTGCCCAATCTTTATTGATTTATTATGATTCACTCGCCCGAAGAAGAAGAAATAAGAGAACATTAATTTTTCCAATGGTGTGCAACTTATGAGACACCCTGAACAACACAATTAATTCATCGAACACCATAATGAACTTAACAATTAATCTGAAGTTAACTATAATCTACCTGTACATAGAGACTTTTGTCAATTGGTAACCATGTTGTATTGGTATATTAAATTAGTGAAGGTGATTACCTGCATAGTTGCTGTAGCCTCATCAGTTGACTGCTCATGAATGGAGGAGTTACACATGTCGAGTCTCTCTTGTGCTTCCTTGAGCTGTGCTTCTTGGAGAACCATGCGTTCTTTCATTTGGCTTAACTCCATCTGTTGGTTCTCTATGGTTGCTTCCATATTGGACACCTATAAACAAATACACTATCTTAAATTCAAATTAATACAGTGGTCCCTCGGTTAACGAACGCTTCGGTTAACGAATTACTTACCATAAGAATCTTCAATTCGGTTAACGAAAAAAAATTAGATTCACGAAATTCTTACGAAAACATGTCAACATGTTTTGGCTTGCTCATCGGCTGGTAGGTTAGTCCGCCAATACAATAATCGGTTCTAGGCTTACATTCGTTTCCATTGGAGTAAATATCAAGAAGGTTGTGCAATTAAATATTTGTCCAAGTTTTAAATTAAAATTATTAATCATTTTAACACTTATTTAACATAATTGAAGTACAGGGAACCAGTTTTTGGTGCGCCCATCAGCCACTTCACTCACCCACCAAGGCGTCTGTTTGAGTCTCTGCTCAGTGGAGGAAACATCTTGCTTGTGGGTCTCTTCAACACAAGAGTATTTTTACATTTTTACAGTACAATTAGTGGCCATTCTGAAATATATTTAACATATTGATAATATATAGCGCAGTGCAGTGTTGATTTAAAGAAAAAAATCTTGAATTACACCTAGTGAACTTAAAATTTTATTGGTGAAATAACTGCATCAAGCATGGTTCCCTGAAAGGTGATTTCTCCTCCATCCCCACTTCCTTCTCCTCCACCCCACTTCTAATTCCCATCATCATCATCAACCAGGAACCTTCTACATACACACCTCAAAATAAGTGTACTTTGCTGCATTTTTTTTTTACTTTGTATGTACTTTTCGGTGAGCTGGAACCCATTACCCAATATCCCATTGATACAATGGATTCGGTTAACAAACGACCTTCTGGAACGAATTGTGTTGGTTAACCGAGGGACCACTGTACAGTAGTACAGTACTGGTGTTTTCTAGGAATGCAACCCCTGGCATAAACAAGGGTAGCTAACTTGTATCTGCAAATAAGCTAAATCAGTTGAAATTGAAAATTCCAAGATAATAATGAGTGATGCTTCATAAAGGAAGGTCAAACACTTCTTAAAGGAAGTACCATACCTTCTTAACATGCTGCTGGTGTTCGTGATCATGGTTAAGAGTTGCCTTTGCTTCCATCGACTCTATCTGTATATTGTGTTGCTCACGAAGCTGCTCTAACTCCAGTGCCAAGGAACGTTCTGTATGCAAATGTGTCTCTAATTTCTGGGAGAGGCTATATTTCTCCTGTTCCATTGCCTGTAGTGACAAACTTAGTTAATGTTATTATCTTTATCTGCTGTACTAAGGCATTACAATGTGATAAAATAACCCTAATTTTACTTTAACGTTCTCAGATATGCAAGAAACCTGCCAGTTGAAAAAACACTAATGACTATTACATGCAAAATATTACAAATCATTACATGGCTCATTTCAAAAAGACTTGGAAATGTAAATACTGTAGAGCAAATAATGATACATTTAAGTTACATACCATATGCAGTGGTGAGTTCAGTGGCTGAAGGTTTAAATTAATATAAATTATTATTCATGCATGCAATTCATTAGGGGGAGATGGTCATATGGACAAGGTACTTGTTGTGAATTAGGTTGATAAAATAAGGCCATAACCAGGTTTTGGTAAGGTATCAAAGCAGTAGCTTGATCCCCTGACTCACCACCCATGCCTACTCGCTACACCCTTAGTGTTTATCTAACTGGCATGTAACTATCTGCCAACTACTGGTACTGTACTGTTCTTATATGGAAATTTAAGGGTGACTAAGAAATTCCCAGAGAAGTGTACAGTACACACATAAAAGGGCACATAACGAAATAGGTTTCTACTACCCAAAGAAGATTCAATTCCAAAACGAAGAAAGCACAAAAACATCAAAACACTGAAGGTACTCTTTAGGTAAGTCACTGCTTTAGTCATGCACAAACAGCGACCATAATTCATATTCATTGGTTAAACTAAGGGCAGATACAGTACAGTAGTAGAAAACCTTCGGAAGGAAGGTAAAAAACTGGCCAACACCTAAGAGGGGAGGATATTGGAGGGAGATACTTCCCTCTACACAAAGAAAATTTTTCAAAATTTACTCTTAAATGATGAATTTTGAAAATGTTCTTTATTCTAATAATTGTAGAATTTCTTGTTGTATTTAAATTTTGCTATCTTATTCCCAAGTACAGTCGACCCTCGTTAATTCGGACTAATAGGGGGGGAAGGGTGTCCGTTTTAGCAGATTGTCCGAATTAACCGATTTAGGGGTTAATATTGCATTATATTTCAAAGTCATTGTTTTCGTCACGATCTTATCCCACTTTCCACTGTAATACGTACGTAATTTCAGCAAAAATATTACATTTCCGTGGATGTATTATATCAAGCACAGTATGAATAGAATATCATTGTAATATAACATTATTTTAACCGAAAACTATTAAAAAAACGAATAACATCTCAAGAACATCGGAAGCTTAGGTAAAGTCTTTTGTTTTCGTCATGTATTTTATCCTATTTTACATTGAAATACAACACGTTTCAGCAAAACTACTATTTATTTCCGAGAATATATTCATTCAGGCGCAGTTTAGGTAAAATATACGTGTGATGTAACAGTTTTTTAACTGAAAACGATTCGAAAAACACGTACCCTCTACCCCTGTTCAAGGAGAGGACTGGGAGAAGCTGTTTGGTGCTGCAGACGATGACAAGGAAAATGATTTGGATGGATTTTAATGAAAATATTCAGAAATATGGTATCGTAGTATTTATTCAAGTCAATTAGGATAGAATATTATTGTAATACAACAGTTTTTTAACTGAAAACCAATCGAAAAGTGATTACGGTAACATCTTTTGAACGAAAGAAAGCAAAAGTCATTGTTTTCGTCACGATTTTATCCCACTTTCCACTGTAATACGTACGTAAATTTCAGCAAAAATATTACATTTCCGTGAATGTTTTATATTAAGCACAGTATGAATAGAATATCATTGTAATATAACAGTATTTTAACCGAAAACTATTAAAAAACGAATAACACCTCAAGAACATCAGAAGCTTAGGTAAAGTCTTTTGTTTTCGTCATGTATTTTATCCCATTTTACATTGAAATACATCACGTTTCAGCAAAACTACTATTTATTTCCGAGAATATATTCATTCAGGCGCAGTTTAGGTAAAATATACATGTGATGTAACAGTTTTTTAACTGAAAACTATTCGAAAAACACGTGTACCGTCTAGCTGATACGCAACAGCTGGTGGTGCGTTATGCATCGTTGTAAACAATAGGAGGTTGAAGTAGATTACCGGGTATTATATTAAGTGTGAAATATCGAAAAGGTTTTTATTACCGGTACTTTCTGTCGATCAATCAGAACTGTGATACCTAATATGATATGATAAGTTAGCCTGTGCTAAGAACTTCAACATAGACTACTGAAAACACGTTGTAAGGTAATCTAGCCTATTGTAAGTTGGTGAGCTTCATTTGCTGAAGGAACTGCACAACTTTTCATTTCTAATTGGTACATATTTTACGTTTCCATTGTTTACTGGCAGTAAATGGTAAATATTTTTCATGTCTGAAGCTGAAAGTTGCATCCTCCCCCCACACTAGTGGTGAAGATGTTACATTTAACCAAAAAGACGCTGGTGTTTTATCCCAGCAGTGGGTGGACCAGCATTTTAGCTTAAGGTTCGCGTAGGTAATATTCCTACAAATCTATTAAAAAAAAAAAAAAATAAAAAAAAAAGTTCAGATTTTGTCCGAATTATCCGAAATCCGGATTAAAGGGGTCCGAATTAACGAGGGTCGACTGTAGTCACAGTAAACTTGCCGACGATTTGCTAGGGTGTGTGTCCATGGGGAGGGATTCTAAAATAAGGTAGGCAAAACAAAAGGTTTGCAGTATTTATGCATTAACAAAGAGCACATAACATCCACATATATTAAAGATCCTAATACTGACCTCTATCTTAGTTGCATATTCTTTTATTACATTTTCAAGTTTGGTATGAAGTTCATGATTCTCCTCTAAAAGTTCCTTGCCATATGTAGCGGCGAGGATGGTGTTCTTCTCCGCCTCTTTCAGACGTTGCTGGAGTTCAGCAAACTTTGAGCTCTCATTTGTGTCCATTGCGAATACAACTGTAAATGTAATTTTGGTTATCAGTTTAATCTTCCTTATACAATTGACAGATATCAAAATTAATACACCTTGTACTGTATTACAGTACCATCCAGTACGGGTACTATCTTTATGATGAGAAATTTGGTAAAATTATCGTTTCGGTCATCCATCTATTTGGAAGTACAGGGTAGTTCAAAACAACAAAAACCACAAGAAAAAAATTCAACCTAACTTAAAATCCTAAAATTCGTTGGATGACCGAAACAACAATAATACCAGAAAAAAAAATTAATAGAGAATAAATCTTGAGATCTTGGTTTATAACCAACCCTGATTAGAGCATCTTATAAAAATGCACGCCAGAGGCTTGGGGTCTAGGATCCAATGAAGCTGCAAGTACTTTAGTCCTTCAGGAGGGGCAAGAAAGAAACCCAGCCTTCCCTAACTTGTAAAAGGTTAAGAACTGCTTTTGAGTTTATGGGACCCTTCTCATCTGAACACCAAAAACAACACCATCACATACTAAACATCGAAAACATCATCTCATACTAAACACCGAAAACAACACCCTCTCATACTAAACACCGAAAACAACATCAGCACATACTAAACACCGAAAACAACACCATCACATACTAAACACCGAAAACAACACCATCACATACTAAACACCAAATACACGAATCGTTTTAGGATTTTTAGAGGTTAGGTAAAGTTTTCAAAGGTTTGTTTGGCATTCTTCACAGTATTTTACCCCACAATTTCTCTCTAATTCAAAGCCCTGCCCACTTTGAACAACCATGATTGTTGGAAATTGCATGGGGAGGGGGGGGGGAATCTCCATAACAGCTCATTTGTGCAAGAAATGAAGGTCAAATTCGATTAAAACAACACAATATACAGGAACCAAGCAAAGTAAGAATGTATAAGGGCTGAAACGGAGTTCCAGAGGCCAGATTGCAAGAGAAGTTAAGTCAAACCCAACCTATGGGTATGTTAGGTCAGGTTCTATTCGGTTCTATACATTGTCGTTTCCATTTTTGTGTTTAATGATATTAGGGTGTAGAAAAAAGTTCAACCAATTCGGACAATTCCTTCTGGTGGTTATCCTCTTCTACACCTTTACACCGCGTGTGAGCTCTTTCAAGACCAGACTTGACAAGCACTGGAGCAGGTTCAAGTACATTCAGGAGCCAGTGCATGCCCAGTACTTGCCAACAGTGCATAACAGAGACGTGACAGGCCATCCAAGCAGCTAGCTAGCCGATCAGTGGTGAAGAGGATAAAAGTAAATAGTAAAAGTAATTCTCACCAACTTATCAAGGTTTCGAGCTTCAGCCCAGACACAAGTGAGAAGGGTGTTTATCCAGTATTACCCTTCCAACTATCACAGGTTTCCTGGTCCTGGTTTCCTCTTGTACTAGAACTGGATAGGCCGCCCAAATGGCTATTAAGCTTATAAGTGACGAAAATAATAAATTAATTATCTCTGTACCACAAACGCCTTGCTGCATCTGCCAGCTCTAGCTGTTAGGTATGAACACACGACTGGGTAATGTCCTATATATTAACGTTATAAACTTCTACAGTATAAAAAAAATAGGTAGACAACTGCTGGTGTTCCAATCTCCCCGAGATGCGTACTGCAGGCACCAGTCTGGTGCCCCTCATTTAGGCGGTCTTTAACGTGGTACAGCATATCTCGAAGACCAGACGAGGTAACAGTGAGTAAACGGGTCATTAACATCTACTTCCGACTGAAATGCTAAGTTAAGTCTCTACAAGTTACCCACTGTACAGCATTTCCTTCTTAACCACAAATAAGTGACATAACAAGGATAATATAACAATACATACAACAGACGCCACTAGTATCAGCCTTTCAAATCTGGAGCTCTCGTTGGCAGCTGGCGCTACTACACTACTAAACCATTTCTGTATTGAAAAGTTGCATTTAATAATAAAGAATTTTTACTGATTAAGAATATTCTGCTATTGTTCTGGATTTACATAGGCTGTGATAATAACAAAATACAAACAAGGTTAAGTCGATTTAACCAAAGGCCAAATCACTTAAATTTACATTAGCTGTGACAAAGGCGAATGGCTTTGTCTTTGGTTTAATAAATATAAAATCTATAACTCCAAATAGTTTATTCTTGTATATTAATTGTTTTTAATAAATAAACTATATGGAATTAATTTTGACTATTTGTGTATGCTTCTTTGAATATTAAATTTTTAAAATTAAATAAAGACATTGGGACAGGTTTAAGAAGTAAACAACAGTCTTGGTCTCTTGTGAGTGGCACTATCGGTGGTCCTCACTAACGACTGTCTTATTACAGTAAGAATATCTTCATAACAACCTTCATAATGTTTTAGAATATTATATATTTCTGTTTGGTAAATTTTTAGTTTTGGACATGAATCCCAAGGGGGTTGACCAACATATTTTTCCAGTGTATTTTGGTGTGTTTTAAACGAATCTTACCTCCATTTTTGGCGGAAATTGCTCGGTTTTGCCCCCCCCCCCCCTAACAATAATTGGGGAAAGCCTGGGAAATCTGGGTGTTTGGGTGGAGCAGAAAACGAAAACGAGTCATCTGACCTAACCTAACCTTACCTCCTGGCCGGGGCGCCGCCCCTAGACCCCCGGTAGGCCTAACCTGACCCCTCGCCAGGAGCTCTGGCTCTATAAACTTAAAATAAGTGGTAAATTTGCACTTCCACCTCCCCAACTGTTAGAAAGTTAAAAATATATTTTTCAAGTGTATTTGTGTTCCGACCGAAAATGACCTTCATTTCCTTCAGAAATTAGCCGGTTTTTTTTTATCGATTTCTTTTCGAGAGATTTTTTTCGAAAAAATTAATTGCTAACCATATAAAGTATACACCAAAACACTAGAAAAACCTAACCTAACCTTACCTAACTGACTTTCACCATATGATGGAATCACCTATTTCTTACCTTAGTTGGCCTGGAGACCAGGTTCTTGTTCGTCGTTGGATTCTGAGATTCTTACACAACGCCACATATGTTGGTCTTTGCAATGTTTACCTGGATCACACGCACCCATAGTGATTTATTTGCATATATATACAGTAGTACCCTGATTTACGCGGTCAATTGAACCCACAGGGTACCGCGGAAAGTAAAATCCGCATAAAGTGAGCAACAGAACATATGGGATTAATTCCAATAGAGACTGGCCCGACCCCCAAACTCCACTTTTTGACGACACAAAACTATGTTGTAGTAAAAATATTATCTTAACTTTATGATGGTATGCATACACAATTAATATAGAAGAGGTTAGGTTAGGAAAAATAAAGGTTAAGTTAGGAAAAATAAAGATTAGGTTAGGAACTGGAGTCTACCAAAATGTCAGTTTTTTCTGCTATGTTCCTAAGATGTCTGCGTATTTGTGACTCTGAATTTATTGACGATGAATTGAAACACATTCGTTCCATTGCACAAAAACTCGGGTACCCTTCTGTGTTTGTTGATCGTTGTTTTAAAAGGGCTAAAAAATCCTTTCATTCCTCTCAAACCAGGCAAATTCCTACACTTAAGAATATTTTGACTCTACCCTATCGTAATGAATTTGTCCCGTTAGTTCGGTCCCTCAAGCTACTAAATATTAATGTTGTTTTCAAGTATGACTCAACCATTACCAATATGTTAATAAGAAATAGTCCAAGTTTGAATGTAAATGGAAGTGTTTATTGTATTCCATGTAGCAAATGTAATTGTAATTATGTAGGACAGACAGGAAAAACACTGCAGCTCAGAATCAAACAACATAAGTACAATATCAGAACAGCATCTGAAAGCAGTGCCCTGTTCGTTCATGTTAGGAATAATAATCATCCCATTGCTTGGGAAAAAAGCTAAGAAGTATTTAAATCATCTTGTGTCACAGAAAGACTTCTGGTTGAAGCTAGTTTGATTAAGGAATTAGAATCAATAAACCTTAGTGATGGTCAGTTCAAAACTGATAATATGTTACATAAATTTATTTGTCAGTGGCCCAAGGTTAAAAATGCTTTGAAAACCTTTGATCTAGATGTATGATAGTTTTTTAGTGGGTCCCTTATTTTTGACCTGACCTGACTAGTCACGTCACCCTTCTTCTCTTAAGCTCCTCTACGTGTGTGTTGGTGTGGGGATTAGTGGATGACATCATTATGACCTGACCTCATGTTTTATAAGGTCACCCTGTATATTTAAGCCTCTCTCTGTCCATGTAATCCAGTTGCATCTGAAGATGTCTTGAATAAAGACGAAAGCTAAGGTGCTCCGTTGTTTCTCTTTTCCCGTGTGATTTTATCAAGATATATATATATATATATATATATATATATATATATATATATATATATATATATATATATATATATATATATATATATATATATATATATATATATATATATATATATATATACACAGTGGTCCCTTGGTTAATGAGCACAATCCGTTCTAGAAGGTTGCTCGTTAACCGAAAACTCGTTAACCGAAACCATTGTTTCAATGGGTTTTGGGGTAATTGGTCCAGGCCACCAAAAATTGCCTAAATTCAACAAAAAAGGTAGAAAAGTACACTTACTTTGAGGTGTGTATGTAGAAGGCTCCTGGATGATGGTGATGATGATGATGGGAAATAGAATGGGGGTGGAGGAGAAGGGAGAAGAGAAGGCATTGGGGTGGAAGAGAAGTCACCCCATGGTGCCATTTCACCCATAAAATTTTAGTTGGGTGTAATTCAAGATTATTTTCTTTAAATCAACACTGCACTGCATTAAATATTGTCAATATGTAAAATAAATTTCAAAATGACCAATAATTTGCTTGCAAACACAGAAAAAAAGCATTTCGTTGGAGAGTCTCAAGCAAGATGTTACCTCCACTGTAAAGACACAAAGACTGACGCCTGTATGCTGTGTTGGCAGGCTGGATGGCGTGCCACAAACTAGTGACCCTACCTTCAATTATGTTCAATAATTGTTAAAATGACTAAAAAATTTAAGATTAAACTTTTAAAATGATTGAATAGTATAAACTTCTTGATATTTACTAAAAGGGTAAGGAATTTAAGCCCTAGAACCGATTACTGTATTGGCGGACTTATACTACAGCTGGTGGACCCCCAAATGCAAGCTAAAACATGTGGAGGTCGGCTCGTAAGAAACTCGTTAATCGAGGGATTGCTCGTTAACCGAAGTTAAGAATCTTAAGGAAGGTAACTCGTCAACCGAAATCTCGTTAACCGAGGCGCTCGTTAACCGAGGGACCACTATATATATAATTTTACATCATCAGAGCCTAAAAAACAAAAAGTTTTAAAAATGTTTTAAAAATACAGGTGATATACAATAAAAACGTAACATTATTAAAAAATTTACCTTCCACAAAATTTAAAGAAAGAGCACTCCAATTTAAAACTGACAAAAATAACGAGATACCTACGAGCCTTAGTGCGAAAAACACAACAATTCACAGGAAGCCATATCACAAATGGATGGCTTTCCTTTATACTGGTGCAAGGCTTCCATAATGAGGAGGTCCGTTTCACAGTTGCTCCTGCCAAGAACTGAGAAATCAGACAGCGAAAACGAGTGGTCATGTTGGTGGGCGTGGTTACGGATAGCTGAATGTGGTGGTTGTGTGATTAACTGGCCTGTTCGGACGGAACGGCCCAAGTGTTCATGGATGCGAGTTATCAAATGTCTTTTTGTTTAACATATGTATGCTGCCCTACAGCTAGCACAAGCTCTTGGACACCCCCCCCCCCCCCTATATTTCTGGATCCGCTCCTGAGCCCCCGGTTAGGGAGTTAGGTAAGGTTTGGTTGGTTAGGTAAGGTTTTGTGCATTGTTGTTTCCATTTTCTTGTTTAGAATCCTGCAGATAACATCTCCATAGATTATGGTGAAATTTCATAAGTATTTTCTACTACTAACCGTCTCCTCCACCATTACCTAATAATGTTTAAGTGGTGAAGATTAAGGGCAGTTGCCTGGGTTATCCAGTCACCTGAAGAAAAATATCTGTAGAAGAAAATTTATTTTTTACATTGAAAATAAAGCAAACCATGAGTGGGAACATCACTTTTCCTTTTCTGGTTTTGGTAAAGATTCATTAGTGATCATAATGGAAAATCACTAAAGAAAATCTGTTTTTAATATGTTTTTCATTGTAATTTAATAGAATATGACCCTTATTTTTGCTGCTGATGTATATTTATGGAGACATAATGATTTGCAGAAAGTGGGCAGGGCTTTGAAGATGAGGGAAAATGTGGGGTTAAAACACTAATAAAAACACCAGCCAGACTTTTGAGAATCTAACCTAACTTTTCCTAACATACAAAAAGTTCTGATACTACAAAAACTTACCTTATTTACCATTGAAGGAGCACTCAGAGTGGATGAGGCTGAGCTGTGAGCTATGTTATTGCTCAGTTATAATTTTGGTTAGATACTGTACAGTACAGTATACATATACTGTACATTACAATGTACAGTAGTAATTTTTTTTTTTACTCAATTACATGCACACACAAACCTTCGTACAGAATGTTCAATAAAAAAATAAAAGAAATGATTATTGTAAGGTCAAAAACATAAAGAGAATAAACATTTCTTAAGTCCGCTGAAGTTGTGGGAGGTGAAGGGGGATGCAGTGTCGGGGATCTCAGCCTCCCCCTACCAGGCCAGGTAGCTGTATTGTACCTGTATGTAATTTTCTTCAAATTTTTTCTCTTACATGCACATACAATCATTCATACAAACTGAACAAAACAAAATTTCATAAGGTCAAAAAACATAAAGGGAATAACACTTCTTACATGCACTGGAGTTAACCTTCAGAGTTGGGGAAGGGTAGAGGTGTGGAGGATCTCTCAGCTGTTCTTTGTTTTGTGTCCTGTGAAACAATTGCCAAATGGCAACGAAGTATTTTTTCTTTTTGATTTATTATTATTGTTTTTATTTATTCCTCACATTTTCTGTGAGTGTGAAGTGCTTTTGCTCTATTTTTGTGGTTGAGAAATGAGTAGTGTAACTTTGAAAATGTCTAGCAAGCTATTGCTGAAGACTCCTGTGTCTGGGAAGGCCAACACGCCAGGAAAAACGTGTCTCTGGAGGTGAAGCTTGACATTGTGAAGCGACCAGGCTTGTGCTTAATGATGTGGTGAGTGTTGTTTAATTTGTTTTCCAGTGACACGTGCGTGTTGGACTGGCTCAGAATGTATCCAATTGAACCCCATAAATATAATGAACTCGATTTACAATATTTCAGTTTGCTGTAGGGTTTTCGGGAACGTAACCCCATCATACAGTTCTTCGTCATTTGTTTTTGTCATTGCAACTTATTCTTAACCTTTGCCTATAACACCACATTTCAAAGGCCTCTAACCTCTTTCTGTTGTCTGCTGAAAGTGTCCATGTTTCTGACCCCTACAACAGTCCTGACCATATACAGGTACACAACCGATTTTTCTGGGAACTGATGGTCTGGCACCTCCTTTAGTCCTGACAAAATTAAGAGATGGCATTTAACTTCCCTCCCTCCCTCTCTCCCTCCCAGCCAGGGTGAAGGTAGTTTTAGGCTTTAAGATTTTATCTTATAAAATGTAACAGACTAAACTTAGCAGAATATAACTTGCATTGCTGGAATCATTGTAAGATATGATTAATTTTAGTATAAACATCACATAGTTTGCACAAGAGATAAAATTTTTAGTCCTATAGTGTACTAGTACATTTAAGTACAAAGTGTGTACAGCTCCTCCCCGACTTACGACCACTCGCACTTACGACCTACCTCAGTCATACCAAAATTTTGTCAAGTTACGTATTTTTGACTCCCAACGTCAGTACACAGAGAAGATTTTTGTTTGTAATTCACTTTAAAATGGCTGGCAAGCTTAAAAGTGAGAGTTTTGTGGTGCTGAGAAGAAAAAGAGACCCATTTCAGTTTTTCTATGTATTATTTAAGCATTTTCGACTTACGACCATTTCGACTTATGGCCTGGATTTGGGTCCCTAACCCCGTAGTAAGTCGGGGAGGAGCTGTACAGTACAGTAATTTGTTCCTCAAAATTATGGCTTTTTTACATTTTATTTATATTTAACATTTGTTTAATTTAAGTTTCTAGCAGTCCATGGTGCATTAGAGACACGGGGGTGTATAATTAGTGAGTCAGAAGTGTGTTGTTGAATTATTATTACCTGACCTCGGTTGGTCCGCAAAACGGCTAATCCGGCAAGGCTTTGGTACCAAGGGTGCCGGAAAATCGGTGGTGTACCTCTTTTGTACTGTATAGCCTTTCTGCAGCCTTTTTCTCAAAATGAAGTTAATGTTCCTTTTAATTAAGTCTTTTAGATTATTGAAATCTGTTTTTGCTTAACCTATTCTTGCTATGATTTAATTTGCTCATCTACCATCACATTTAATGTTACAATACTTTGGCAATACAATGCATATACAGTACACAAAATTTTCCACTTGCTTAAGTTCTCTCTTGCCAACCATAATTTTTATTTTAGGATTTATTTCCGACTTGGAAACAACCATTACTTTTGTCTTTATGTACTGTATATAGGAACAGTATTTAAACTTAACATTATCTGTTTCAGATCTCGGTCTTACCAGTAACAGTCACAGAATGAGGCGGCGTGCTGGTGTTGGTGCTATTCAGAGACAAAAGATTCAGCAAGATAAGTTCAAGGAGAAAGGAAGTGAAATTCAAGAAAATCAACTAGAGCAGGTAGGGGTGAATAGAAGAACACATGCATTAATGTACAGTACAGTAAGGTCACATATAATGCAGGGAATATGACCTTGAATGGTAGTGTATCGTGTTGGGCAAACTTGATAGGGTACCTTATGGCACAGGTGAGTGTTTATTTTGACTGGTGGGTCACATCACCTTCTTTGGTAATCTTCATGGAGCAGACAATTTTGTCAATGTAAATTGTAAATGTTTAATATTAGCTCCAATTCATGTATTTCATTTGTGCATAGAGGATATAAAGGCTATATAATTGACTTCTGTGAAAACTTAGATTAAATAATAACAAATCATTGTGCAGACATTTATTCAACACTACTGTACACTCGTACCAAAAAGTATCGGTGCAGGGTGAGATCGACGAGTTCCAAAACGATACGTATACACTGTGATATGTCTGGAAGGTTGGTAAGTGTATCCTCATAACCCCCCACTTCACTAGGTGTTGCCACATGGCTGACAATCAGGGCTGCCAACATATGGCTGGAACAACTCGCTTTTCCCAATACCTATCGTTACTGGTCTCAAATTGTTCACACTACAGTATGCACCGATACTTTTTGTTGCGAGTACATGCATTTACACATTAATGAGAATGTGAAGAGCTCACTCTGTGGAAACAATAGAAATGTTGATGTGCATATGTTGCATGATATAAATACATTACATTAAATAAAATGAATAGACTTCGTCACCGGTCACGGCAAAGTAACCTGGCAGGCTGTCTTAGGCTCTTTTGCCGGTCCATTGTTTATGTATTAATTTGGGTTGATGTACAGTATGCATTTTATTTTTTTTTTCATGGTACTATATGCACCCAATCATTCATAAAGAACGTGCAAAAGCAAAATTTGAAAATAATTAGCATAAGATCAAAAACAAAGGAATAAACATTTGGTACGTGCGCTGGAGTTAACACCCACAGTGGAGGAGGGGAAGGGGGATCTCTTAGCTGTTCTGTCTTGTGTGTAGTGAATGGCACTGCAGTATTCATTCTTTTCTTCTGTTTATCATTATTTTTATGAAGTAAATACACGCTAGTGAAAATAACCCACGTGGTATTTGCACACTTTAAGTTAAATCACTTCCCTGCCCGATCCATGTACTATTTAAAGTAACATTATTAAGGAATATTTGATCTTGAATTGCAAAAATCCACATACTGTCTCACTGAGGATTTTTAGTGAAGAGGATAAATTAATGTAAAGACAAGTGAGTGGATCTCAGTACACTGTACTCACTTGAAGATTTGCCCCAATACTATCTGGGGCGTTCTTCAGGTTACAGTGGACCTCAGTAGTCACAAAGATTACACCCTCCAGCATATACCACCTGAGGTTTAACCACCCGGACATTCTCCGGCGGTATTCTACAGTGGACCATGTACCACCTGGTGATTGTTGTGCATTTTAAACTAATGTGTTCAAATACTGCATGCATTATTTACACTAAAGTGTGTTATTTGGACTACAAGTGTGTAAACCCTTATAAGTCATATTTTTATTTGCATACTACAGTACAATACTATTTTATCATTATATCATTACTTCTATTACATAAGCATTGGACCAGCAAAATAGCCCAAAACAGGCTGTCAGGCTATTTTGCCTAAATAGAATATCCTGTACTGTATATTAATTTTGTTTAAATGAATAAAGATTCACTGAACAGATTTTTTTTATGAATCATTCAAAATGTTGATGGAAATGAGTACAGTCGCTCGTTCAGTGGGAAAAATGACAGCGTTAGTGTGCGATAACCAAACTTTTGAAGTCCAGTGTTGACTCCATTGTTGCAGTATTTTGATTTATTATGTTTCATCATAGAAAATGTCAGCTCATATATGTAGAGCGGAAAGAGAAAGTTAGGTGAAATATAGTAGTTGTGAAGGAATGGTTAAAAGTGAAAATGCATTGATGTAACTAAAGGCCAAGTAAATTATTAACAAAATAGGGCAACAGGAGGTTGTCCCTCTCAGCTACCCTATATACATAATGTATACTTATCCCTTGGTAGTACTTTCACAGGCATCTGATGTTTCTACCTCAGCCACTCTAGCTGTCATATTCCTCACCACTTTATCCTTACATAGGTTTAATGACCATGACAGCATAACACTTCTTTGCCTTACTCTGCTCCTACCTCAAGGCTTTCATTTAGTCCTCCATTTAATCTCACAAATGCCTTATAACTTTTATAAAATGCTTCAACTGCACCAAGTACAGTACTGTAGTTTTCTTCTTACTCCATAAATCCAAATAAAGGTCCTCTGAGTAGTAATTTATGAACATTCGTCGTCATCTTTTCAGATGACTCTTCAAATGGAGAAATTCCGTGAAAATTTGGAAGAATTTGCAACAAAGCACAAGAATGAAATAAAGAAAAATCCCCAGTTTAGGAAACAGTTCCAGGAGATGTGTGCCTCAATTGGTGTTGATCCACTTGCTTCTGGCAAAGGTAAGTACAATACAGTAGTCATTCACTTTGCTTAAAATATTAACCTGAACCGATTATCTGCATAATAATAATAATAATTAACGGATTATTGAAAGAGCATGGCAGCTGGAATGCTGGAAATATACAGTTGTTTAATTGGGGAATGGGTCTCTTGATTGACAAGTAATATACAAGTAACATAATTGATACAAATATGATATATAATAGCTAGGTGGCGAGAAGCTCAAACTACAGGGTATTTCAACATAGTGACAGTGCAAAAAGGTAATATTGACTGGGAGTGACTATACTGATTGATTACAAGTTATTGATAATTTTTACAATGGCTGGGACTGGGCTGTTCTTATAGCGATCAGTACATGCTCATATGGGCTGGATGCGGTTGTGGTGTCGAACAGGAATTTGCGGACGAGGGATCTCGGGTGGTAGTAGGAGCCGGTGTCAAGGATGGTGCAGAAGCTTCTCAACAAATTTGCAGATGAGGTCGTAGTGATGGTCAGAGAGGGTCAGTGTGTTGAACGCTTCTTGATATGTGGAGTAGGAAGGGGAGAGAATAATCTTGCGTGCCCTCTTTTGCACTTTTTTTAGGTGTTTACGTTGTGTGACATGTAGGGAGGAAGACCAGGCAGGGGAGGCATAGGTGAGCTGGGGAAGTATAAATGTTGAGTAAACACTGAGGAGCTCGGGCATAGGAACTCCAAGGGACTTGAGTTGGTGGAGGAGGTGGAGATGGAAACTGGAGGATTTGACAACTTCACTGATGTTTGTTTTCCAATTTAGTTTGTTATCTATAGTGACGCTGAGGAACTTAGTGGAGTCTACAACTTGGAGTGTTGGGGCCTAAAGTAATGGAGGGGGTGGGACAACGTCAGAGAAGAGGTTGATGTGCATAACCATGGTCTTGGTGTGGTTGATGGTGACGTGGTTGTTGGTGGCCCAATTTTGGAGACTGTTTAATAAATCTTGGAGGGCGGTATAGTCGGGAGCTGAGTTGTTGACACTGATCCCTATGGTGGAGTTGTAGACATATTTTCATCGAGCCGGGGTTTCTCTTAGGGCATCATTGATAAGCTTAAGGAAGGAGAGTGGTCCCATCTTGGTGCCTTGGGGGATGCCACAGGTGAGTGACTGAAAGATGGAGACAGCCACTCGGAAGCGTACAGTTTGGCGTCGGTCACTAAGGAAGTCTGTAAGCCATGGTATAAGACTTCTTCGAAACCCATGGTTGATAGCTTTGTTGATGATTTAATTGTGGTCGACTAGGTCAAATGCTTTGGTGAAGTCAATGAAGGCGACAGCCACAGATGTTTTTCGTTTTTCCAGATGGCGGTATATGTAGTCGAGAAAGCTGAGGATCTATGGCGCCTGCAATATCGGCATAAGCCCAGTCAAACACAAAACTTTCACAGATTAAGCTGGGTATTGGGGTGATTGCAATGGGTTGTAGCTCATTTAAGGATTGTGGGCTGGTTAACTTGGGCACTGGTGACACATATGAGGTCTTCCAATCAGCTGGGCATCTAGCTTGACTGAGGGAAGCATTGATGATGGAGCAAAGGGGTTTAGCTAGTTCCGGGGAGAACTCCTTGTAGAGTTTCATTGGTAAGTCAATGGGGGTGTTGGAGCGCTTTAACTTCAGTTTGTCCAGACGTTTTGCTTCTTCAAATTCTTCTACTAAGTCAGTGGGAAAGTGGGATGGTAGGTAGGTAGGGAGACTGGTTGTGTCAAGCCGGGGGAGCGTCTGGCATATAGTTGCGAAATGGTCGTTTGGCTGCTCAGCTGCGTCAACATTAGTGAGATGGCTAAGGAAGGGGAGGGGGTGTGTCTTATTGTTTAGCCCACAGAGTTCATTAAGCTTACCATACCACTGACTGATGTTGGTCTGCTTCAGGTGTTGCAACTTGGTTGGGTAGTGGGACTTCTTTGCGGTGCATATTTCGCAGATGACTTATGTGCATGAGTGCATGCATGTCACTGACCTATGAAAAGTAAGTGTTTCAAATGAGCTGGAGCAGCTCCTTGCAACATTCCATGATCATAAATTGTGTATGTATGTATTGAGATGTCTTCCACTAACAGGTGTACGGGCCAGGGGGCTTTCCTGTTCATGACTGTCGGTCTGTGGGGGGTAGTAGGTTCTAACTCCCTCTACCTTCCATTTTTCAGAGTGAAAATCATTTGAAAATTAATAGTTGTAATTTATTTATTTTTGGGAATTTTCAATTAAGTTAACACATATTTTAAGATTTACCGAGTTAAGATAATTAATTTCATGGATTTATTGGCAAGAATATAATTAAATTTATAGAGCCAACCTGGTTACAAATGTTTACAGGATGTGTTCCTGGATGCGGACCTTCAAGATACCTAATATAAACTAAACTAACCATATTAAATATGTAAGACATTAGTATTTTATAAATCAGTGCAGAGTATCATTAAGTATACTGGTATAATTAATTGAATACTTTACGAGGCCAAAATACATTAAAACAAAACAAAAAATCCGGTATCATGGGGATGGTTTTGATATACTGTACAGTAAAAAACCCATAATTCGTACCTCTTTAATTAAAAATCACTCATATTTCGTAATGTTTTGCTGTTACTAAGTACAGTACAGTACAGTACAGTATGCATATGCAATACTGTATTTAAATTTTCATAATACTGTATTTTGTAAAATTTCAGATTATGAGAGACATTACGAATACTGTACAGTGGTCCCTCGGTTAAAGAGCACAATTCGTTCCAGAAGGTTGCTCGTTAACCGAAAAATTCATTAACCGAAACCATTGTTTCAATGGGTTTTTGGGTAATTGGTTCCAGCTCACCGAAAATTACATACAAACTAAAAATAAATGCAGTAAAGTACACTACTTTGAGGTGTGCATGTAGAAGGCTCCTGGTTGATGATGATGATGATGATGGGAATTAGAATGGGGGTGGAGGAGAAGGGAGAAGAGAAGGCAGTGGGGGTGGAAGCGAAGTCACCCCATGCCGCCATTTCACCCATAAAATTTTAGTTCACTTGGTGTAATTCAAGATTATTTTCTTTAAATCAACACTGCACTGCGCTATATATTATCAATATGTAAAATATATTTCAAAATGACCAATAATTTGACTGGAAACACAGAAAAAAAGCATTTATGTTGAAGAGTCTCAAACAAGATGTTCCTTCCTCTGAACTGGTAAACAAACTGACGCCAAGCTTGGTGTGTTGAGTGGCTGTTTGGCGCGCAAAAAACTAGTTCCCCTGTTAGACCTTCCTCTTTTTAAATTTCCAAAAGGTCTTAGGACCCCTGGGAACAGTAATATGAATAGCTTGCTCAACAGCTGATCTATACTTAACTAATGCTTATTCCTCAAACAAAGCAGGAGAAAGAGGGGAAGAATGTAGCAATAAATAAGCACTATCATTTAAAGCATTATTAGTGACTTGCTTCCTTCGCTGGGCTTTTAGTTTTAGGGCTTTCAACAACATTTCCATAAATGAGTTGTACAAGGAATATGGAATCCCTTGTATAGCAGCAGCAAAACATCTGTCTACTTCTGAAATGTCTTCATAGTCCAGCACCAACTTAGTCAATAACTGTCCGCTGCCAACTTCCTAAATTTGAACTCTTCCTGCAACAGTGCAGAAGCAATTGGTGTCAAATTTATTTCATAGTTTATGTCAGCATATTTTGGACCCGACAAATACTGGGAAAGTTCATATAAGGAACTCTTTTTGTCATTGCATTGGAACTTCAAAAAACTAAACTTGAGAGGATTCCTATCTGAGGGAATGAATGTTCAGTCTTTCAATATATTAGCCAAGACTTAATCTATTTCAGAGATCAATTTGGGGCATTTATCAGGCCAAGAAATTGTAGTATCACCTTCTAAAAACAATGAATGATGACCCACAGTTGCTTGGCCTTCCTGTCTCTTTGTAAGTGCTGAGAGATCAGGAAGTTTAAAAACATTTTCATAAAATACCTTGAATGAGGAATCCACAGACTCGCATGTGGTTGAAAACAAAGAAGACTTAGATCTTACCAATGTTACCCAAGGCCTGTTTGGATCATCCTTACACTCAATGTTCTCCATCAGCTGCTTGGGAGTCAACAGCAGCCTGTTTCCACTCATAGTAACCAACACTTTTGCCCCAGGTGGAAGTGGTTGCCAAAATGGGGGATAGGATGAAGTTAGTGTCAACAGGTTCTCCCTGCTCTAGTGACTGAACACTATTAGTGCCAACTTCCTCATCCTGATTCTGGAATCCACTAAAATCGGGCTGACTGGGTGGAGGTTCTTGCCTTAAATATTCAATAACCTACTTTTCTTACCAGAAGCAGGTTGGTCTAACTGGGGATTAAGTCTCTTACCTATCACCTATAGGTTAACGTCGTGGTTTTCGGATACGGAATCACGACGTTAAGCGAGGACTTAATGTATTTTCACAAAGATTGACTATATATTTGAAATTTAGTGTGACTCAACATGTATACATTTCTCTCACCTCACACCAACTTTCTTTGCTTGTTTTTTCCTTTACCGTATATTATGCTGTTGTTAGTTTCATTTATTGCTGTTGTTTTGCACTATATCAGAGATTTGGACATAGCCTAATAATTTCTCATGATAATGTTATATTTTTTAGGATAAAAATAATTAGCACAGAAGGTTTTATTTGAAATAGATAAAATATTTATTATAAATATATACATGGGAGGGGGTAATGGCTAAAGAAATAAGGAGAATCTGTGGCAGCAATTAAGCTCTTGGCAGGGATAAAGGAAGACTCCAGGTACATTAATTTCACCTGAATAAGTTTTTACAACATAATATATATCTGTATACAGTACAATATGTCATTGTATAAGAATAAAAGGTACTGCTCAGCAAACCTGACTATATATTTATGAGAAGACACTATTGTATCTTACTCTGTAACAAGGTAACACTATTAACTACAATCTGGGAATGGGTAGTACTAGTGACCCTATGGTAACAATATAATACAGTATATACAGTATACATTAACTCCAATACTACTGTACTGTATCATGTTGGGGAATAAGATACATATTGTACTGTTCTGTACATCTCACTGTATTTCATGAGAAATAAATTAAGTTTGGTCCCCTACAGTATTTTGGCATATGAAATTACTGTGTAAGAATTTTTTTTTTTAATAGATTTTATCTTTTCTTTTTTCATAATTTCTGCAGATCCTTCATATGACATTGATGCCGTACTGCATTTACACGAGTGAATAAAATAAGATTCTTTACAATTCATCAATATAGGCTGTACAGTATATACAGGTTGACTATGAAAAATCCGGCAACCTCGGGAACTGAGGAGTGCCGGATTTTTGAAAATGCCGGAAAACTGATGGTTATATTTGCTGTATAAGTTTAACAGAAAATGACTACCTGTACAGTCCTTTAAACAAAGAAAATTAAACACTTAAGTTAGGATAATATAATTGACATTGCTGGATTCCTTGTAAGACCAGGAATATTTTGATTATAAATGTCATATATTTTGCACAAAAGATAACATATTTATTCAGAGTAAACATTATATCTAAAATTTGTATGTCTAATGCAAAATCTATGATGTTTATATTCAAAATGATCATCAAATTGTAAGAATTCCAGCAATGTAAATTATATTCTGGCCGGGTAATTTGTATGAATTTTATGAGCTAAAACAAATATCTTCAGTTAATAAAAAAAAAATATTTTTCACACGTGCCAGATGGTCGGACGGTCCCTCCCTCCCCCCACCCCCCACCAACCCTCCCTACCAGATAAATGTGTGGGAAAACCAGACTATTTACCTTTTTAGTAATAAATAATACCTCAGACTGAAGTTAGGGTAATATAATTGACATTGCTGGACTCCTTGTAAGACCAGGAATTTTTTGAATATAAATGTCATATATTTTGCACAAAAGATAACATATTTACTCATAGTAAACACTATATCTAAAATTTGTATGTCTAATGCAAAATCTATGATGTTTATATTCAAAATGATCATCAAATTGTAAGAATTCCAGCAATGTAAATTATATTCTGGCCGGGTAATTTGTATGAATTTTATGAGCTAAAACATATATCTTCATTAAATAAACAAAGAAATATTTGATAATGCGCTCCGAAATCCATGCCGGAAAACTGAAGGTTCTGGTTTATCGATTGCCGGATTTTTGATGGTCAGCCTGTACTTTATTTTAACAATAGTGTTCCAGTTCTGTATATTCATACTGTATTTAATCATGTAAGTACAATTGTGGCATCAAAACCTTCTCCTCCAGAAGTCGACTAGTGACCTATTATTCAGATCTTTGAGATTCAACCTTGAACTTCAGATAGTTCATACAATTGTACCTTCAAGGCCATTCACACTGACCTCTGTTGTTACTGGAATGTTTGGTTGTAGAATTTCCCCAGAGGGAAGATGACGTGGCACATCGTATTGTTCCATCGGGTCACTGGGGACGGGACGTGGAGTGTCATACCTCTCCATGGGGTCACCTGGAGTACCAACCCTTGAGTATCCTGGGCCAGGAATTATTGAAGTTTGGGTTATGGGGCTTGCCGGAACTAGACCACTTTCACCAATACGAGAATATGGGGGAGCTTGACCAGTATCTGATGCTTTGGATTGGATTGGAGTATTTCCACTCGTGTTGTCCTGAGTTGGATCTGGTAATGGAAGCTTATAAATAGTTTCAAGAGTTTCTTGGGGTTGTGGCACTGGTAGAGCCTCACTGGAAGAACTTTTCTTGGGGATCATGTAACCCTCGCAGTCCTCTATGGTATTTGTGTAAGTTGGAGATTCAGGAGTTGTGGCCTCCACTATTTTCTCCATTTTTGCAGAATCATCTTTCTTTTCCTTAATTTCTTCATAAATGTGATATGTACTGTAAGTTGAGGGAGGACGAGAGAGATTGAAGCCTCTACGATCAACGGCAACATCGGGATCATAGGAAGGGTTGTCTACTACTGTGCTTACGTGAGGTGAATCTGCGCTTATTGTTGTACTATTACTGGCAGACCGAGAACGGCCAATAGGGAGAGTGGACAATGTTGACAGTGTTGTTCTTGACGAGGCAGAAGATCTGATGCTGGAGCCTGGCATCATGATATATCCATCAACACTTGACCCTACTCCAGTCATGTCCAGATACTGGTTGTAGTGATCCAGGTCTGTGTACTGAGGGGGAAGTTTCTTTCTTGGTTCTACGGCCATAACTGAAGTAGTCGTAAAGTCAGTTGTGGGTAGCGTTTTACAAGGAAAATCCATACTGTTACGGGGAGAAAAGTTGAGTATTTTTCTAGTTTCTTCAGAGTTTGTATTCATTCGACGATACAAGCAAGTGAAAAGTGTAATGACTGTGATGAAGAGGATGGTGGATATGAACACTAGACCAATCACCAGGAAATTCATTGAATCATCATTGGGGGCCACTAATGGTGTTCCTTCTGAAATATAGATAATTTGTGTCAGGCTACTTTCATATATGATATATTTTATTCAGTACAGTATATAAACAATTGTCATATTTCACATGAAAATTTGATCTTTAATTAATGTTTGGTAAAAGAGTACTGTATAGATGGCAGATGACTTACCATGATTGTGACTAGAAGGATGTTCAGTGTCAATAATATGTAAGTGCAGAAGGGGTCCTTGAAACTCCTCCTGCTGCTCTCCTATACGTACGACACAACGCCAGTTCCCTTCATCCTGTTGCCGCACTTCACGGATATGTAAAGTACAGTTCCCTTCACTCGTGTCACCCTGCAGTCTGTAATCTCTCATATTCTTGGATGGCTTATTAGAATGTTCTGCATCTAGTAAAAAAAGAGTTGCTTCATAAATGTTTGTTTGCCTCGTACAGTAATTGTTATTAGTACTTACAGGAATTAGCATAAAATATTAGAAATAATAAGAGTAAACTACAGGTATATAAAATTGATTTTATATCTACCTTGTGACATCTTAAACAAATCTCCTTGTGGCATGATCCAAGAACATGAGGAGATGGGTTTGTTGATTTGACACTTGAGCACAGCAGACTCTCCAATAGGAACATCCTGGATGTAGTCTTCATGAGTAGAATCAAACAGCACATGGGTCTTCAAGGTTTTTCCTCCATTAGAGTTAAACTGCAAATTTTATTCAGTATTAGGATAAAAAATAAACTGCATACAGTAATTGTATAAGGGAAAATAAATGATAATTCAATAAATATTTTTGGTTGGATCTGTATTTAGGTTAAGAAGTAAAACATATTGTATAATCTTGAAAGGAGCCAAGTATTGTATTGGTTTCAAAGTAGAATTGAAGAACAAGGTGATATTTGGATTTCCAAGAGCGGTTGAGGATAACATAAACTCACCTCAGGTTTGTTGTGCGAGTCATTTCCGTGGCGACCTTGCCGAGGAGTTAAATGTGGCTGGTCTGGTGGTGGGACCCATGTGGCACTCTCAGCCTCTGTTGGTTAATTCAAAGACTCAGTTTTCTATTCACGTTCAATAAGTAATAGGAAATTAGTCATTTGATTAGGTTAATTCTTTGTAATATGTCTGCAGTACAGTACAATAGTAGCTGGGGAGAAAGCTTTGGTAAGGTTATTTTGAGACTCCAGTTTAAATATGTTGTTCCATATCGTAGTACAGCTCTGTGGTGTATTATCAAAAGCGTAATGTACTGTAGAATGATTCCTAAATCTTAACTAAAGAAGCATAATACTGTAGCTCTGGTATTAATTTGTATGTACAGTATGATCTGGTTTCCTAGTTTGTACTTTATTGAAGAAACCTAGTTTAAAGGGTACAGGTACTTTCTCTTTAGATATGATACTCACCAGTGATAACTCTGAGAATGGCAGGTTTTGAAAGTAGGAATTCTGAAGACTGAAATGTGAGAGCCTGGCACAGCCATTGTCCCTCCTGAATTTTTCGAACCTGTTAAAAAAAGAGAATACGTACAGTATTACTGTGCTGTTCTACATTAATTTCGTCTTGAACAACAAAATAGTGTTTTAGAACAATTACAGACATGTTAAGTTTTCATCTTATATTGGGGAGACATGTTTAGAATTTATTTATTTTTTTAATATTTATTTAAACTTTTGCAAAGTACAGTTATGAATCAATTTACGAAACCTCTTTTGATGAAAATTAGCTAATACTTTACATAAAGTTATTTGGCTCCAGCACTTACGAAAACCCTGGTTTTACGATAAAAAAATTATGGTACAGTATACGGTACTATATACTGTATTATCATTTCCACCATGTATCAACTTATGACCTTCATTGTCTAGTGTTATACAAGTGGAAACTGGAGTTTGGTAGGGTCACATTGGATAACATCCTTCTCACATTTGTCCTGGGCTGGGGATTGAACCCAGGATATAATGGTGAGAGACACATCTGTTACCACACTCCCACCAACACCCCAGTTTTCAGTGAGAGAGAGAGAATTTCTGTACCTTGTTGATTTTGATGGAGCAGTCCTTGTAGCGGGAGGGGTTAAAGTTTTTGACTAACACCGGAGATACACGTTTATCAAAGAAGTCCAAGCCCAGCTCGAGGAAGTACCAGCGGCACAAATGAGTTTGTCTTGCAATCTAAAGAAGGAAGTGAATTGACAAACTTCAGATATCTTGTAACAACAGTATTAAGAATAATCATTATATTGTTTTCAATGGATACAATTACAGGGTATTGTACTGTACTGTAATTACATAGTGCTGTATAGTATATGTAAACATCTTTCATAATTATTTAATTTATGTACTGCACTAATGTATTACAGTATTTCACCTTAACATCTTATGGATACACCTGAAACTGACTTTAGTTGCTGTTAATGGTGCAGTTTGTGAAGGAAAATACTTACTAAGCACTTGAGGATGGCTCTCTCACCCTCTGGGACAGTAACATTTGAAGGTTGTGTAAGGAACTCTGAGTCAGGAGATGTTGATCGTAGGAGTTGTGAAGTCACTGCTGGGAACCGCCACACCAGAGTGCCAACTGTGGAAGATAGTGTATCATTATAAAACTATTACAATCTTATATGGAATCTCCTCCCAGGATAAAATCCTTTTATCAAATGTACTGTACTGTACTATCTTGGACGGTTTAGGTGAGAAAATAAAGACACTGATTCTCTTACCATTTTATTATAACAGTATTGTATCACCAAAATACAGTATGAATGTTGTAGGTCTGAGGAAACATTATTTCTTTTATTATAGGAGGGATGTAATGGATTCATGTAATGGACAAAAAAGATCATTTATTTTAATAATGTAAAATCAAATTACCTCGGAGATTAGAGTTATAATGTACAAATAATTCTCTTTGCCATTAAAAGATCACCCCAGCAGCTTTTCCACAGCAACAAACAGTGCGGGTAATTTAGTGAAGTGTATTGTTGCAGTCTTGTAAGTATGGTGCAATAATTAATGTACAGCCTCAGGTGTTATTTGTACAGTACAGTGTAAGTACAGTGTATGTACCTCATCATAACATAACACATCCCTGGAAAAAGGAGTCAGGAAACAGTCCCCTTCCCTCATTTGTGATAAAAGACTCGGCAGGCACTTGATATAGGTCAAGACAAGTGATCGTGGGCACTTCGTGCCCTGTGGCGAGTCCGGTGGTACAGTTTACCAAAGAGTGAAAGTTCGAACGCTCGTGTTTGGCTAGCGCACAACCGCCGGAAGGCTGGCAGCGTACAGCGACATGGTTTTCCAGCGTAAATAAAATGGTTAATTAATGCCTTCCTAAAGAAACCTTCGACATGGGACCAGGTTTGTTCCACTTTACGAAATTTTTTGCGATTTTTCCACCAAGTTTGATGAAAAAAGATTGTGCCGTTTCGGCTGCACAGACAGACAAACAGACAGACAGACGGATAGCGTTATAGTATATTAGATATTATGTTTAATTACAGAGCCCAAAATGTACTGTACTGTACACCGTGTTGTAAAATCCACCCATTGCTGCAACAATTAATGTCAATATCAGAGGAGCAGTTAAAGAACTGACATAAATTATTATTCAAAAATATACCCAAGTAACCTAAAATGTAAGTTTGACTCTGGTAACACTTGAGTGCCACCCTTACATGTTCCCCTGAAGGAATTTCCCATCATCAGAGTTTATAGTGGAATGTGAATAAAAAACAACCAAAGCTTCTTAAATTATACTTAATTATGCTGTACTTGTACAAAAATATAATGAATAAAAATTATACATACTGTCAAATATATGTATATATACTGTACACTATATATTATATATGGTACATATATTATACAATACTGTATTCATTGTATCATTTTTTATTTATCACAGCACAGTATTTCATTGTGTATAGTATACTTTATCATTCACCACATCTTTATAATACAGTACAGGGTATGTATAATTTTTATTTATTATACTTTTGTATACGTAGTCGAAAATAATTTAATAATTAGCATCTTATTGTTTGCTGGTTGATATCATTGTCTGACCAAAACAGTGGAGGTGAATGATGAGTCAGGCCCCGGGGGGGTACACACAGGTGAGTAATAAGAGGTGTATTTAGTTCTTCCGGTGGGGCTACGTCATATCATCATATCGTGATGCTGCTGAGTCTAGTAACAATAAAGCACTGTTTCTTGTCTTGATACTTTAAATAATTTTGTAACTGCACATTACATATTAAGTTTCATGGTCTCTAAAGTTAGAACTACATTGTATTGCTTAGAATTCTCATGCCAGGCACTGAGCGTGTTATTGAGTCTCAAAAGGTATGTCTTTGCACTGTATACTTGGAGGAGGAAGTCTGTGGAATGCTGCGCATGGTATTGTGATTGAGGGGGCGATCACGTATTGTGTATGTAGTGTATATGCATAAGTGAACATGCGTGCTTGTCTGTGCTCTTATTTGTGTATGTATTTGAACAATATGTGCGCATGTGTTAATGTTAAAGACACTTTTTAAGTTAAGCAATATAACCATATAACCTTAGTTTAAACCATTGTCAAGACCACTGGTCATAAGAAACAATACCTGTAGTCCTTGCTTGAACTTGGTGCAACGAAGCCTTCAGTGTCTACCATTAACAGCGGGGTCAGGCTCAGATGTCAACCAAGTCCCATTTTTAGTTTATTAAATATTTCTCATTAGCTTTTATGATTGTGACACACATTACCGTTAAGAAGTTGTGACCTGCGAGCCCTGTTAAGTCTTGTGGGTCCACCCACACCTACTCGTCGCCGATCATTCCATGGATGTCTTTCACGAAATAACTCAGTTGTGCTAGAACCAGATTTTCATTTCGTTTTAAAGTTTTCTTAGCTCTCTGAAATGTTTTATATTTGTGTTAGACAAGAATTGTGGGTGTTGGCATAGTGAGATAGAACCGTTGTTCCAAGAGCCAGTTCAGGAATTCAAAAGAAGTGGCGTGATACTTTTTCGGAGCCAGTTTGAATAGTGAATAAAGAAAGTGTTGATTGTGTATCTTAGGATCCAAAGATTAGTACATTGCCAGATGTGAACTTTAAATGTGACCCTCAAGCAATGTTTAATGTTCGTAGTGGTACAAAGATGACAATATTTTGGGCTCAGAGATACTTTTAACACACGTATAAATCCAAGAAAAAGTGTACTGTACTTGCCAATTTTAAACACTCAAACTGGCCTCTTCAGAAAATCAGTTAAATTGTTTTGTGTTTTTCATAATACAGTGGGGCATGCTATAACGAATCTAATTGGTTCTAGAACCTTGTTCGTTATAGCATTCGTTCGTTATAGGATTAATCCGTTCCGGGCCCCCAAATACAACCACTTAACACTGAAAAATATAATAAAATTGTAAAAAAGTGCATAAATATGCATCTAAACCCCTGAAATAAAGAATATCATTAATACTTGTAATAAAAAACAATAAATTATTAAAAAAATAATAAAATTTTTAAATAATCTTCGTTGTAGGAGTTTCGTTCGTTATAGCATTCTCAATTTTATAGGTAAAACCGTTCGTTATAGGAATATTCGTAGTAGGATCCGTTCGTTATAGCATACCCCACTGTAACTTTAAAGGTCGATTGTTGTGTGGACACTGAAGTCAAAACACCCATGTGTGATTAACACGTGACGCCATCGCCACGTATTGATTTTTTTTTTCGTGTAGGTAGTCCGTTACTCTTCGAATAATCTCAAAATCCTATTTATTACATTGTACCCACGTGTCCCCGTTTATCTACGGGTATATGTGGCTATGAGCAAGAATCCCACACATCAAGGTTAGGGTAATTCTGAAGAGTATAAATGCACAAGTTGTAGCTACGGCACATTTAGAAAGTACAGTAACCTGTATTACTATCACTGCGCATTTTGTGTTTCTCTGTCCAATGAACTCCGGAAATTTGTCACTTGTGTCCGCTTATAATTGCATTCAGAGTTAAATGCAACTTGTACGCATGATAGCAATGAGTGTATTGAGCCATATGGAGCATTAGACCCCGATTTCCTCCTGTACTAACACTGGATAAACCGCCCAAACGGCTAATATGCTGATAAGTGGCGTGTAGTGGACGTCTCCCCTACAACTGCGTAGCCGCATGCCACCTGCTACGTCTTCCCTAGCAACCAAACGAGCAGCCCAGGGGGGGGGGGGGCGTCACCAGATGCCACAGTATCCTAGCAACCAGCCACTTCTTCCCTAGCAACGGAGTCAAAAGACCGGCGACTTCCCACGGTTTACTCACGGCTGCTGTGTATATAAGCTCTGTCTCTCCATTGAGATTCATTCTGGCCTCTCTTCTTGAACACGCAACACCTCCTCCTCCGCCTTTGCCTGGCGGCCCTCGCTTCTCCTCCGCCTGCCTGGCGGTCCTCGCTCCCGCCGGCGAGCATGGCGACCCACCAGCTGTCCTTCTCTGAGCGTCCTCACCAACCAGCTCTCTTATTCTGCTCTCGGTTCCTGAACACGCAACACCTCCTCCAAGCAAGCTCCTTGCTGTCCCGTTCTCATTCAACCTGGAGGCCAGCAACAGGCAACATCTTCTCTAACGAAGCTCCTGCACATCTACCTCTTTCAACACGTTACTCACCGAACGTGTCTACTGAGCAGCTCCTCACCACACGGCATCTCCAGCACCAGACTGTCTACCATATAACTTATATTATATAAGAAAACCACCACCTTAGAGTTTCCATCCATCCTGAGTGCTAGACAACATAATATCACGAAACCCTACAGGCGTATATGATACAAAAAAAAATAGTGGTTGTTGGCACACATGGCCGTCGCCGCCCGATTCTCGTCTTCCTCCTTGATGTGGTGGAGGTGGACTGCAGGACCTGGTCTGAGAAGAGTATGGAGATGGCTGCCACATTATTGAGGCAAAACTTAATTAAATGAAGTAGTTTACACATCTGCGATGCCTATTGTTTTGATTTGAATTAATTAATAAGTTGTTTTATAATAAGGAAATACAGCAATATATGCATCAGGACATTTTGTGAGCAGTGCCTGACGTTTTACTTGCTGGTCTCTGATTCTGTTTTGTTCGCGATAAAATTTGCCGCCTTTATTTCTCCTAGAGAGATGACAGTGGTCTCTAAGAAAGAATACAGTACAGTACTGCAGATTAACATTCCCCAAGCCTTAGTTTCATATCTGGGAGGTGGGGATATTTGTTTGTTTTTTCACATGCTGATTAAGGGCTTCATTTTGGCAGCCCCAGTTAACTAACCCTAATTCTTCGGTTAGTATCAGTACAGTATTGATGAACACGGTGAAGCCATGTACAGTGTATACCTGTTCATGTGTACACTGGATGTTAACATCTGTACTTAGTTTGTGAAGTGAAGTGTTGTGTGTTGCAGGTAAGATCATAATTTTATTTGGCAAACAAACAATATAAAATGTATTTTTTATCACCAGGAAATTGATAGCCCTTTCATGACTAAACACACACACATACACCACCACCATCATAACCCGTGTTCTTATTAGTACATATTCTATAAG